AGTGCCGCCCGTGTTTGCGTTCCGCCCAATTCCTCACAACATCACTATACTTTTGACGCGCCACAACACTACAACCATGCCTGGAATTAATGATGCAATCAAGCAGATTGATAATTTGGAGCCTAGAGAACAAGTTATATATACAAGAGTTGCCAAAAACCATGGTGTTAATCGCACAACATTGTCACATCATGCACAAGGTGTTCAGATGGATCGTAACACCAAGAACTCCAACCAAGCCAAACTGATGCCACCACAAGAGCATGAGCTTGTACAGTACATCATTGGGCTTACAGAAAGACGCCTTCCACCTACAAGAGAGATGATCAAAAATTTTGTGCTTGGTATAGCCAAAGTTGATGTCTCTGAATCCTGGGTTACTCGCTATGTACTTACATCATGCTTGACCTCCCTTATGGCCTCTAATTGACATGGCGCTGATTCCTATACCAAGTACAAGGAGTACTTTGACCTTATGACGCATAAAATTACCAAGCATGTGTTACAATCCATGAACAACTTGCAAACCAACACTGAACAAACAGGACTACGCAACGAGACGAGAGCAGCCAAGGAACTGCAGTATCGATTGACCAAGCTGTGAAGCTGCGTCAGTGATACCCAGTATAATCGACACTCACAATATCTGTTATACAAACAGAGATTGTACAAAAAGGACTGCAGTGGATACAACGTGGATCTCATACACAAACGATCGTCACGGACCCATATACCAACCCACTTGCAGAGGACCCACGTTGACAACGATCAATAGGACACCGAGGACCGAGTATCGAGGTCACGTTGACAACGCTCGATTGGACTGAGTATTAAGTCACTGACAATACTTGATATGAGCAGTACAATCAATCCTCCTGTCAAGTATATAAGCAAGTAGACACGCTGCCCTTATGGCATTGTGTTCAACCTCGTCAATCAACTTTGTTATTGGAATCTCACTTGCTCTCGAGCCAGACAGTATACTCTGTACTACTCATTGCAACCAGTCGCCATGGTCTTTGACTAGACGACTACCCCCTGATTATCACGGCGATTTATCACGGTCAAACCTCTGCCACTCCGAGCTTGCTTAGTGATAACCAACCCCCAACGGCTTTCTGTACCTCTGCTCATCCCGGAGAACCAATCGAATAGTGTCTACGAGCTTTGCTTAAGACACGACTTCAACATTGGTATCCCCAGCTGGCCCCCTCTCACACCAGGCCTCATCTTTGCAGCAGAATCGCGCAACATTCAGAGCACCTGGGTGAGCAATGTGGATAAGAGAAAACACTCAGTGTTCACCACGGTGTAAGAACCGTACCAACCGTTCTTCCTCATACTACTCACACAATTGCTATTCGACTCCTATCCGATCCCTACCTTACTATGTACCGGTATCCCCCAAGCTACATCAAACTGTTAGGTATATAAGCAGGGCAGTGTACATAGTTATGGTAGATAGTTTTTGAGTATCCTTTCATACAAGACCTATAGGAATAGAGGTTTACTCCTAGTTCTATCTATCCCAGTGCTCCCATACACCTCGTAGCGGATTCGAACCCATATCGGAGTCCTCTCTTACCTGTGTCGATACACACGGTATCTCCCTCTGGCTGGTCAAACAACGATGCAGGATTAGCATGGCTTGAGCAGGTGTTCAACCACTACACCAAGCGCAAAGCTCATGGAAGGTGGCGCCTTCTTATACTTGATGGCCATGGCAGCCATATAACCATGCAGTTCATTGAGCTTTGTATCAAGTGGCGCATTCTACTTGCTATATACCCGCCACACAGTACCCACACACTGCAGCCGCTTGATGTGGTGTGCTTCAGCCTGTTGGCAGGCAACTACTCCAAAGCGCACACCAAACACCTTCACCAAAGCCAGGGCTTGCTGCCATTCAAGAAAGGCAACTTTTTCAGCATCTTCTGGGAAGCCAGGGTGAACACATTCACTGAAAACCTCATCAAAAGTTCATTCAAAGCAACTGGTTTGGTGCCACTCAACCCCAACATTATACTTGATAGATTCACCACAAGCAATGTCAGCACCAACAACCCAGTATCTGCCAATAGTGGTGAACAATGGCAAGATACTGACAAGCTGTGGCGGAGTACTGTAAAGGATCCAGCTTCAGTCAATGCAAAGAGGCTGCGTGCAACCCTTCATCATCTCTCTGTTGAGAATGAGTTACTCAAAGTAGAGCAAGATGGCTTACAGTTTGCTCTTAACACCGCTTGGAGTAAGCCAACACAGGGCAAGCCTTTGCCACTTATTCAGCGCAAAGAGACCTGTGCTAAGACTCAATGGTGGTCTCCACGTGCGCTTAATAAAGCACAACACCTCTAGAGTATATTTGAGCAAGAAGAGAGGGATGAAAAAGTGCGCAAAGCTACTGAGCGTGAGCTGCGTGAGTCCAACAGACTGCTTAAACAAAAGCTTGATGCTGAGAAGAAAGAGGTGGCCAAGACAAGGAAAGAGGAAGCTGTGGAGAGGAAGCGTGTAAAGGAGCAACAACAAGCTGAGCGCAAAGCTGAACAAGAGCCTCAAAAGCAATCTTGCAACACTGGAAAAGCTATACAATTATCCCAAAGAGGCAAGCGCAAGGCTTCACAGGCTGCAGCACCTAGAAAGAAGCAGAATTGCGGTGGTGCAGCTGCCCATAGTCAGGTTGTTGTTTGCAAGCCTTCCCTGTCACCACCAGCCAAGTACAACAGCAGAGGTTGCAAAATTGCTCCACGCAAAAAGTTTGAGTGAGAAAATTTGTTACATAGGCCTATAGACTACTACAACAAAAAATATTGCAATAATATCTATTTTGTGTGGCTCTATAGCCTTGTTTTTGAGTGTACTGTGAAGGCATTGGGGCGGCACGCGAACACGGGCGGCACGCGCACAGACACGGTACGCAAGGATTACAGTCCGTGCACGCCATGCACAGCGTCAAGCCGTGCACACCCCCACCAAAATATACTATATTGCTCAACCCAATAACTCAACACCACAATGGACCTCAAAGCTGCGCTTGCAGAGGCAGATGTAGCAGATGCAGCAGGTCAACTTTCATACCGAGCCCTTGCAAAAAAATACAGTGTGTGCCGCACAACATGATCGCGCAACCACCGACGCGTCGTTGCATCGCGTACCGACGCAGACCAACAATTACTCAAACTCCACCCTACGCATGAGCAAGACCTTTGCGAGTATATAGATGAGCTTACTAGCCAAGGCCTACCTCCTACAAGGCAAATGGTACAAAGTCTACAGTTCCTCGACTCCTCTCGTATCATTGCATAGTCCTGTTTGTTCAGTGTTGTTGCGAGGTGCCCTTTGATTGTAACACAACCTTTGAGCCAGACAGATTGCCTGTACTACTCATCGTTACCCCAAGCTGTCAAAAGGTGTTTCACCCAGGCAACTGGCCCCATTGTTCCGTCACCTTCACGCCTTACTCATCCCCGAGAACCAATCGAATAGTACTTGCGAGCTTTGCTTAAAGTACAACTTCAACACTGCCCTCTACAAAGCTACAAGGTTACTCAAACAGAAGGTTGATGCTCAGAAGGCTGAGGCTCAAGAAAAAAATAAGAAGGAGCGGGAGGAGAGGAAGGCTGCTGAACATGCAGCTATCAAGGAACACGAAGCAGAGAGAGTGCGCAAAAAGGAAGAGCACAACACTCAAAAAGCATCATGTACTACCCAGAAAGGTAAGCGCAAGGCCTCACAGCACCAAGGAGCAAGAAAGAAGCAGAATTGTGGTGCTACAGCTGCGCAAAGTGGTGGTGTTGCTACAGAGCCTCCCCCAGAGTCTCCCATCAAAACCATCAGCCGTGGCCGTACTTCAATTCTGCCAAGACGGTACAGATCAAGAACCATTTCTCTGCGTTCCTCCATATCATGACAACTCTCCTCCAAGTTGATCAGATTCGATTGGTTGGTGGTCACGAAGCTGGCGGTCATATTCGGAGGGAGGCAGATGCTCGATGGGTTTCTTGAAGTTGCCAAGACATTGTGTGAGCATTTGTTCTCGCTGCAGATATTGCCGTGACTTCATGCTTGAGACGTCGTGGTGGGTGAAAAGAAGGCGGGCGATATGCACTGAAGAAGAAGGCAGTTTGCCGGGCTTGCTGTAGTCTGCCACAGGGTCTGGTCAGGTGACTGAGACGCTCATGCATGTGCAATGTCCTGCACAATTTGGACACAAGTGGTCATGGGTGTTTTTTGTAAAACTGCCCTTCAAATCTCACAAGGGTCTGAGACATCAATGTGGAATATCGAGATACAAAACATATTAATGTTCAGTCGCCCGAAGACACTTCACCACACTCACTGCTCTCCCTCACCTCCGCGCTCCTCACCACGCTCCTCCTTTCACCTTCGGCGTACCCTCCATCCGTTCTCTTATCTCACCCTTAAGTATCTTCGCCTCCTCCATGGCTCCCTTCGCAGACTCATGATGCCCCTTACCCAACTTCTCAAACTCCCTCGAAAGGCTCTTCTTGGGCTTGCATGCTGTTCTGAGCGCCTGTTGCTTTCGTTCTGGCATATTTCAGGTGCCTCTTGGCTTTGGCAGCAATTTTACGGAGATGGTCGATGCTGCCTTGCTGGATATCACGGAAGGTGTGTATGAACTCGGTTGTGTGAAGATGTTCTGTGTCGTTATGGAGTGGGGTGAGAAGGCCCTGCAGCCTTTGTTGAGTCGCCCGTTCCGCTAGTGCTGGGGCCATTGTCACGAAGTTGTTGTGGGTATGGAGAGGAAGGAAGCATAATCTTTGAGGAATTAGACCGCGCGAGAAGTTTGCTAAAGGTCTACCACGAGATTTGGTCGGATGACTATGACGTTCTCGCATAAGTGGTCAACCAACCATACTTCGTAAAAACATTTGGGGTGAATGCAACATCCGAATTGTTTGTGCAGTTGAGCAGCTCAGCTGCATTTCGCCAATATCCGCTAAACGCAACAATCAAAAATGACAAACCTAACAACGCCACACCTAAGCCGTCGTTCTCCCAATCAGCTTATTCGGATCCTCCTCATCAACCCTCTCCGGCGTCATACTCCCACTCTTCTCTAGATCCTTCGCACCCTTGCTCTTACTCCGTAATCTCCCCCAACTCATACTCCGCCTATTCTGCTGCTTCCCCTGCTTAATACTGTGACTCCACCTTTTCCTCATTGGTGGTCTCCTATCATCAAGACCCAGTAAAGACCTTATTTCTGACACCTCAGCGTGACCTCGTGTTGTCTTCATCCTATGTACCCATGTGCACTCGCCGTCCTCGAACAGGAACTCGCCGCCGACTTGCTTGAAATCTCCGCCCTTCAGTGCCTTACGACCGGTCGATAGGCCCTGGAATATCGACTGGACGCTGTTGATAAGGACGTTTGTCTGCATGTATCCGGGTTTTTTGCCGAGATCGTATGTGCGTGTCATGCCTAGGTAGTCGTATATTTTGCGTGTGGGTTCGGCGTAGATGGGGAAGGGGCAGCCGGTTGCTTCTGTGTACATGGGTATCAGCTCGGGGCGGCCGCAGCCAATCACGGTTATGGAGGTTGGTGTGGAGAGAGCGAGGAGGTCTTCGGGCGTCACGGAGGAGGAGAGTGTGCGGAGGTATTCCTGGCAGTTCTATGGAAGATTAGCGTGCGGTGCTTCAGACTGGCACAGCTGGCCGGACATGGGCGACTTGCTCCGCAGAAGAAGTGCCTGATGAAGATGATCAGCTGCCGAGGCGCGACACCTGATGCATCGTAGAGCTCCTTGAACGGCCGGCTCTTCCCTTGCGCGTCCAGAATAAGCAGGTCCTTCACCTTCTTTAGGTCTTTCTCGGTTGGTAGGTCGTTGTTGACGTTGACTGTGCCCTCGAACTCATCCTGCTCCTTCTGTAGTACTGGCGTGTCGCTCGCTGGCGAGAAAGGCGGCGTCGAGTTGTCCAGTGCATCTATCGAAGGTTTGGGGAGCGTCTCGCGCCCTGAAGAGTGTGGGGGGGAGGGCGGTGCGGCTGAGGTCTGCGGCGTCGAAGCAGATGTGGGGGGCAGAGCGGTGTTTTGGATATCTGAGGTCGCCATCTTGTCTATGGGAATCGCAGGATTTTCATACAAGGCACAGTCTCGCGCGTGAGTCGAAAAGGTGGCCGTTGGCCTTCACGGAAGCTATGCTTTCCGAAGCTAAAGCGTGTGAGAGGACGATCGCTCAAAGAGGCTGAGCAGCCAAACGAGAACGAATCTATACGGGCTGACCGTGGAAAACAGGAAAACGTTGGTTGTATGCAGTCAGCAGATTGAAGGGTAATGTGAGTGAGACTCTGTGATCAAAGGCAAAACTCAAGGTTGCTTAGAAGACGCGCGACAAGTTTCAAGACGCTTTCAGCTGCAGGAACACAGCAGCGACGTCAGCGGCTAGGCAAGACCCTGGAGGTTAGTTCCGCTATGATCTTAGCCCAGGGGGAGACTGGAGTGGGCATGGTTTGGGCTAGACGCTGCTTGGCATGGCATTGTCTGCCATCTGACAATCAGTCGTTGGAAGTGTCAGTGAGAGCGCAGGCTGATGATGACGGCAGTGCTTCAGATCAGTCTCACAGCTGCAGGGCAAAAGACGACCGGGGTTTGCCGCCAACCGATGCCTACGGGTTGTTTGCGAAATACCGAGCCCACCCCGTGACTTAGCTCGATTTTGACGCTAGATCTAGTTTGTTAGCGTTTCATAGTACAAACAGTATCTCACAACATTCTGCTTCTGCCAACACGGTGGAAAGCATTTCAGGTCGCTCAAATTGATGCCTCGCGATATTTTTCTTGGTGTTGTAGCTCACCCAGCAAATGGCAAAGCGGAAACACGTGACTCTGGCAAGTGGCAAGGCCTCCAAACCTACTAAACGTCATCGCAAAGTTCCTCAACTATTTGAGCAAGGTGTTAATCCTGCACCGCCTTCTCTGCCGCCAACTGCACCTCGTTCACAGCGCTCGCGTGAGCCGACTCATCAGCGCGATTGCGACATTCTGAGCCCGTTGTTTGAGCCGCCTGAGGCGAGCCAGCTTGCTGTTGACGCACACGCCGTTGATATACTTGGGGAGGATGAGGACGAGGTACTAGAGGTTAACGCAACAGCAGATGATGAGGAGCAAATAGAGCCTGTTGGGGAGGAAACTGTGGGAGCTGTTAGCAAGCCGCCTGCTGAAAATTCTGCTAGAAGCTCACCTGGTGTTGCTGCTGCTGCCACAGCGGCTCAATTGAGCCAGCGGCAGCGGTCAGAGTCGCATCCTGGGATAATTGACAAGGAGCCACATTTGCACTGGAGATACCGCGCGTGCTAGGGGACGATGGAGAAGAACGCAATAGCGTCAGCCTTTAGCTTTAAGCGGAGGAAGCCACTGTTTACAGTCAGCCAAGATAGCGTGTGGCAATGGGCGGATGGTGTAGTAGAGTTGCAGAAGCCTCGTGTTAGCAAAATTGAGAGCTTGACGACAACGCTGCACTACACTAGCGGCAGCCGCCAAGCCAAGGCAGATAGGTGTACAATTGCGCTGCAGCGAAGCCGACGTGTAGCTGGAGAAGGTGTTGTTGTTGGCAATTGGGTCGATTTTGAGGAAGAGCTAGTTGAAATGGACAAGGAGAGCGCTCAGGTTATGACGTGCGACTTTGATTTGGTACTGAAAGAAGAGCTGCCAGCAACCCAGCCAGCATCCCAGCTAGCTTGTGGTGTTGCTCGCCAGCGACCTGGCATCGTTACAGCTATCCAAGAAGATGGGCTTGCTGCCATCGTTGCAGCTGAGAGGTCTGCCAGCGGCGTTGCAATTGGCATAAAAGACTATTGGAGATGCCTTGAAGCAGGCTGCAGCAATAACACCAACAACCTGGCCGTCAGATTGATTGCCCGGAAGATCACTATATGGTCAACGGCAACACTATCGTGAGCTGGGCGGCTGCTGTGGCTCAAGAAGAGTGTACAGTTGAGGAGCCATCTGATGAGATTCGTCTCTCTCTCATGATGGCAAAAGAAGAAGCGCCGCCGGCGGAAGGTCTCCAACATCATCAAACTCCAGCATTGAAGGTCTTACAAAAGCAATACTTGCTGGTCATCTTGCTCAGATGAGTGCCAATATTAATCGCTGCAGGCATGAGTCTTCTCAGAGCATCTTCACGCCTCGCCCCCGTTGCAAGAATTTTAATTGCCCGAGAAACGAGCTGGTGCAACATACTTACAACTTCTTCAACTACTGGAAGCACTCCATGCCGCAGATGAGAGAGACTATCAAAAATATCGTTCAGCAGGTTGTCAAGGAGGACAAATACGACATCAACATGTTAATGGATGAGCAGGTGGGGATGACAATGGAAGTGTGGGTGAATTACTTCTGCATTGGACCAGGTCACCTTGCACATCTGCGAAGAAAAGCGATTGATTGGAGGAAGGATTACGGCGGCCTGACAAAAGCTAATTGGGATGCAATGGGTAGAGTATATAACGACGTGAGGGAGTCAGCGTCGCCTGTGAGGGAACCGTTGGGGGAAGTGAGTGCAAACTCACGTCAGAACACCGAGCCTGACTGAGAAGCTGCACAATGACGCAACACTTTTTTAGAGTGAGCTTTAAGCATATCACAGGTAAATACATCTCGGAGTGTCTGCAAACCTTCAGAATTTACCTATCACATTTGTGGGTTGCCCAATACCCGGCCAAGACACCACAAACTCAACCATCATCAGCATCCCCATACAACCCGCACTTTCTGTACCATGCCCTGCAGTCAATCCTGTAACAAGCGCCTTGAACAGTGTACTCCATAAAAGACTTAAACTGCTGCCACTCATCCTATTCATCTGAGTGCTTCTTTATCCAACTTTTCAGTACCTTGAAGCTCTTCTCGATGGGGTTGTAGTCTGGTGAGTATGGCGGCAGGTACTCTAAATTTATGCCGAAGTCTCTACAAAGCTGTACAATTGCTGGCGAGCGATGGATAGAAGCGTTATCCATGAGTAGTACATGGTAGCCAGGCTGGAGCATTGGCAGCACCTCTTCTTGCAGGAACCCCTCCATGATTTCTGCAGTAATAGCGCCTTGAAAGATAGTGTGCGCAAGGTAACCGTCTACAGTCATTGCTGGCAGAAGACTCTAGCGTTCTGACCGTTTCATGGAATACTCCAGTTCAACAGAGCGGCCAACAGGACTCCAGCCATACTTGCAACTGCCAGTGCGCTCATTGCAAGCGCTCTCATCTATCGCGACAATTTGCTTGGCCTTGCAGTTCAACTGCACTCTTGCTCTGAAAATTCTGCGTAGAGCGTCAGACTGCTCAGCCGCTCTCGTTGTCGCGATCTTGCGGCTCCACTTCATCTTCTTCAGCTCCCGCAACACCATGGTGATGCTCACAGGTATATCAAACGCGTCCAGATGCCAGTCTCTGATCTCCTCCAGGTACGCCTGTGGCCGGCCATCAAGAAACTCAAGAAGCGGCGCCTGTGAAGGTCTCGAAGCATGCTGGGTCGCCTCAACTTCACACACTTTGGCGCATATGGCTGACCCCACAACTCTAAGTTGCGTCGCTTTTTTCTTGTACAAGCACGCGTTACACCAGTCTGGCGCTCAATTTGAGTATTATTGACTCCATAATCAACGCGACCGAGCACGATTCAGCACTGCCGCGAAAGTGCTTGGAGCCAGTTTGCGGCTGTGGTAGTCAACGGGGCGGGTCATCAGGGCAGCTGCAACACCAAACAATCAATCACAATAGGCAATAACAAGTGATAATAGATCTTCAAGAACCATAGGACGCTGCTCAATTGCTCTTAATTCTCGATTATTGAAGTTTGCCATACTGTGTTGTCCGTGCGCAGGAACTCCCCGCAAGTCACGGGGTGGGCTTGGTACTTTGCAATAATAATAAGCGAGCGTCAGCATCGTGACTTCCTCACCACCACTCATCCACGACAGATGCACTTGCTGTACTATAGATCGACTGGAATTTAGCAACTTTTACCAACCTGCCTTCCCGTACCCTGAACGTCAATCAGTGCATCATGAACTTGAGCAGTCCAAAGCCTTCCACCCATGAGCCTCTCCCATCTCCCTTCTCCTACTAGCCTTAATCCTCTCCACAGCCTCGGCATGCCTCTTGAAGTTTGGAAAGTCAATACCCTGGCAACCCCTCTTAATCTGCAGCGCCTTCTCACCTGCCAGTACCCCCATCTTGTAGTCGCCATTATACTCACAGACGAGCGCAATGTCAAAGAAGACACCGGCGAGCCTAGCATCCCAGCATCCCTCCCCCTGCAAAAGCACCGCCATCTTTAGCAACTTGTTCGCAAAGGCCGGCTGCTTGGCCCCTTCCGTCAGTTTGAATCCCCTCAACAAACGAGTCTCGCGATCAAGCTCCTGAACTTGCAATCTCCTCTCCGCGCTCTCGAACGCAAAACTCTTTTCCTACAACATTGTCAGCACTTCACCCTCGCCCTTCATCCCCATTGTTCGCCATCAACAAGCAAGAAGGTACTCACATCATCCTCATCCCCACATGCAGGGCAATCGCACACAAACCCATAATGCCTTAGCTCCCACGCGCGCAGACGCTTGTCATGCTCCATGTCCACGTAACTAATCGTAACTTCCTCTCCCTCCTTGATATCCCGCATCGTATGAATCGTCTCCTTCCCGATCGCCGCGTTCCAGCTAAAACAAGCGTTGGGATTGCACGAGTGGTTGAAGCGCACGGCGTACGGGAAGACAGCGGCGCCGGCGCCCATCTCCATGCAGTTCGTTTGGAAGATGGAGATCAGTGTTGCCTCTTTGCCTGTTCGTGCTGCATGCTGTTCTTCGATGCGCTGGCGTTCGCGTGCGGGGACGCTGGGGTGGATTTGTGATGGCCACGCGGAGGCGGGCTGGCCGTGGCCGCTGTGGAGACTGAAGTAGAGGGCTTTCTGGGCTGAGGCGAGGCTGGAGAAGGCGAGCTCGATGTCGGTCTTCATGTAGTCTGCCATGGGGACGATCAAGAGCGGTGCGTCAGTGAGGATACGTGTGCCGCGTGAGATGTTCTGGATGGCGATGCAGCCATAGCCTTTGCCGGGGAGGGCGCGGATCTCGTAGTAGGCGTTTTCTGCGTTAAGATTAACGATGGGCTTGCTGTGAGCGCTGGCGTTAAGAGGACGGAGACTTACTGGGCGCTACTGGGGCAGTGTCAGTCGATGGCATGGCGTCGCTGTTGTGTTCCGCCAATACGGAGAGGATTTGAATAATGAAGTTGAGAGGATAACTCGGGCAATAGATTGGGTCCAGAAGACAAGTTGCGTCGACGAGGCCCCAAGTGAGTGGGAGCGTTTGCCAAAGACAAGCTCCTGTGAGCAAAGCCTGGCGGTGAGAGTTTGATGAATTACCACTCCCTCTCACCTACTGCAAGAAATCTGTGGGGCCGCACGAAGTGCTTGGGCAGAAAGAAGATACGATTCATAGACCGAAACTAAACAACTATAGGCAAGAAGATGTATGCAAATGAACCCAAATGAACGCCATCGCTGTGTCCCAATAATATACAATCGTCCACCCATGAATCAAGCAAAATGTCAACGTCGCCACTCCTTCAAGCAGATAGGCCGTACTGCGTACTTTGACCCCCTACCCCCCATCTCTCTCACAAAAGCATCATTCCCCTACCTCTTCTCCTCCGCCCCATTCCCATAAAAATACTGACTTCTATTATCCACCTCAAAGCTCTCCTCCTTCGGTGTAGCCCACACCTCGGGGCTCACCACCTCACTATCCTCCGTGCCCTGCCTCCTTGCGCCATACCGTCCCTGTTTGGGCGTCGGCATGCAATCCTCAGTCCCCGGATGAATGCTATCCGGGCTAGGCGTAGGGTAGTTAGGACTCGTCACTGCGACCGTAGAGCGGTTGATGAGCTTGTTGACTAGGTTGTGGAGCGTGGAAACTTCTGTCTGCAGGGCGAGGACGCGCGATTCGAGGGCGAGGCGGGCTGTGCGTTCGTCGCTGAGCAGGGTGTGGAGAGATGCGAGGTCTTCTTTTGTGGTCTTCGTGTCCTCGGTGTGGGTTAGTGGTGGAGAAGGTGGACTGGATTCGTATGCGAGGTTACTCGTTGGAGCACCTCCGGCGGGGAGTGGTTCGCGTTGGTGGATGCTGACGGCAGACACAGAACGTGATGTAGAGCGTGTGCGGGTTCGTAGGTTCCGGGGCGCAGATTCAAGAATGATGGTTTGCCGGTTGTTGTGCGTTGAGATGCGGCGGAGGGAGGATTCGAGAGCGTGGATGTTTTCTTCGAGATTCTGGACGCGGTCTTCTACTGATAGACGCTTGGGGCTGCGGGAGGGTAATGGTGGGCCTTCGAGCTGTGCGAGAGTTTCAGGATGCTCATGAGGGCTACTGGGCTCCAGGTTGCCGAAGTTGAATGCGGATACGGGTGGATGCTCTGGCGTCTCCCAGTCTTGTGCCCGAGGTGCAGCCTCGGGAGTGCTCGGTCCTTGAGCCCGCGGCGTAGGTTCGTTTGGTGTCAAATCATCTGGTCCTACAAGCGTCGCACTCATCCCCTCGTGGATTGACTCGGCCTCCTGCACGGTAGGTCCTTTCGTGTGCACGCTCCGCATGGTCTCCACTGTTCGAGCAGTCTGCGGCCTGGTGTTTTGGCTGTACACGCTGGCTGAAGCGTAACTCTCCCTCCAGCTCTTGATCACATCGTTTCTTGTCGTGCTATCGTCGTTCGAGAACCGGGCTTTCGCTAGTTCTCGCAAAGCACCAGCACTCCTGGATCTGCGCCTGTCTCCGATGGAGTTTCGCGCGGCGTGAGGTGGGCTTGAAAGAGCGATGCCAATGCCCGGCGATGGCACAGGTTCATCTTCAGTCCTCTCTTCCCATGTTGACAATCGGCCACGCGGTTCATCGAGACTGTGTCGCTGAGCTACGCCACCCGGCAGATTTGGTAGTGTTGCTCTCCGAGGACCAAGATCAGGTCGCTGGAAGTCGAATCTCAGATACTCATGGGGTGGGCTTGCTGGTGGTGCGTTAACATTCATAGGATAGGGCAGATGTTGGCCTAATGGATGCGGCGGCTGCAACTCCTTGACAGTCAAGTCAGAGATTCGTTGCGTACTAGGTGTGGGCGGTTGTTGTTGTGGTGCTGTTTGCGATTTCTGCAGCATTCCAGGATCCTAATCCACATTAGCAAAGAACCTTCCATTGAGCATATCGTTATAACCTACACTATGGTGATAGCTATGCCCTCGGCGCACAGGCTCCTCATTGCGCTCCACGTTATGCTCCTGCGACTCTTCTCGATCCTTGCGCCCAAACATCTTGCGGAAGACACCTCTAATCCCACTCTTGCGCTTCTGCTTTTTAGCGTTTACAGTCGCGTTGGAGTGAGAGGTGCTCTCAGGTGTCGCTCTGAAGGGTGTTGGTGGTGTATGTGATCTAGGCTGAAACACGCTCTCCCGTTGTCCAGCGAGTATGCCATCTGTTGGATGCATTCCCAGTGGTGACCTCAGCGGAGACCGCGCCGGATGTTGGTCATGTAGCTCCAGCTCTTGCCGTGCAAAGTCTTGGTCCCGGCTTGCCGTCTTCATCGCTATCTCTTCTGTGACATCTTCCTGCCGTAATGTTCCTTGAGAGTTGGGAACCTGTCTTATCATGTGCTGATGAGGTACTGGCACGTCCAGTGCCTCCTCGATCCTCTTCTCGCCACGCCTCTCAGCAAACTCCCTCTCTTCCTCATCACTCAACGGAGTGTTCTCCTCAATCGGAATTGGTCCACTGATCTTAAGATCACCTCTTCGAATAGCTTCCACCTTCCAGCTCGCACTCCTAGGGCGTTGCAAATTGCCCTGCACGCTCATCTTGACGGCAACAGACCGCTCTCGCAGGTGCATGCGAAGCGGCAACGTGCTGCTCTAATAGAGCACACTAGCTGCAGATGACCTTATGCGGAAGAGATTGCGCTCGCGCAGATGTTGCAAGGTACACCCTGGTGAGTACTGTAGTACGAACCGCCGTTTCCCAGCATCACCAACGCGCGAACGGGAAAGTTACTCTTGTGTAACTACACGTTAGAAGGAGATCCTAGTGCAGCGGAAAGGTCTGGTCCAAAGCAATGCTGACGCAGTGGTCGAAAATGAAACAAGTGGCTAACAACGCGAAATGGACTGGTCTATTTACCCTAGTTCTTGCTTTTAAGTCAATTGTGCAGTTTTGAATCGCGAAGACGAGGCTAAGAATAGTAAGCAGAAAGAAGAAGATTTGAGAACGAGCGCCGGAAGTAGAACAACAGACGTTAGAAAAGATGAAGGGGGCGCCTGGAGGAATAAGTATCAAACAGCAGCGTCATGTAGCAGGGGGCACGGGCGGGGTGAGCAGTATCGATAGGGTGGAAGAGGGAGCATCGCCGGTATCTGCGACAGCGTCTTCTCTAATAGCAGCAGCTCCAAACCCCGGCACAATCACCCAGAAGCACGCCTCGCGCCGGCAAAATGCTCAAGAGGCTTGCTCGCTCAAGCAATTTGCGTCGATTCGCGTGGGCAACATGGTACGAGCCTTCTCCAATCGATGCCTCGCACAGACATCCACTGGGTCGGTGGTGCAGATAGCGGTAGCGAGGCTTGTGCTATCGATGTCTGAAACAGCACGCTTCGCCCAAACCAGCTCGGTGCGGAAGCCACAAGGGCCTCTCACACGCCTTTCAAGCAGCGACAGCACGGAGCGGTTCCCAAAGAATCAACATGACGCCACAGTCCTCACCCTTCATGGGTTCGCGTCGACATCGTGTTTCGACGGGTTTCCCAAGAGAGCAATTTGAGTGGTGTGTGCGGACTCTTAGTGCACGTCAAGAACCATGGGACTGCATGCTCCGAGCATTTAAGGACGTGCATGCACGAACGCGCCATGCACACGTATTGGCCAGCGGCGGGCCCCCAGGTACCGAGTGACAGCCTGAGGAACAGGAAGAGTCCTGGCGCGCGCGCAGCCATGGGCCGCTCGAGTGCTGCTCAACCGCAGCGATGAGACGCGGGTGAATGACGAATGCTGGCCGTGGGCGAGGGGTGTGGTGTTGCTGAAGCGGTAAGAAACGTGGCCGCACAGGTAATATTGGGGGCTCAACGCTCGATAGCACTGGTGTCGAGAAACACGACTCGATGGCTTCAGCTATTACACATTCACCATCTTGAAAGTTGAGCATGGTACGATTCTGATTCAGCGCTGCTATTGGGATATATCTAGCGTATCATATCTTCAAGATGTTTTGGACAGCCTCGAGCTGGGTGTGCTGGCTCTTCGCTACCCCATAGGCTCGACTAGTCTTCTGCAGGTAATCTTTAGCGCTTCTGCATCTCTCGCACCTCCATCTCCATACAGCATGGAACAGAGCCTCGCCTGCCCGTCAATTCACCTATCGCGACACTTGCTTGAGGTATCTGACTTCTACACCGGTGTGCGTGACAGGCCTGACCCTTCAACTGCACTTTACAGTTGTCAGATGGCTGTTATCGCCCATGACCCCGCGGCACTCAACACCAATCAACTCGTAAAGTAAAGGCACTGTAAATCTCCGCCAAGTGCGAATTCCACTCTCATGCAGCATATCGGCCTGTCTCGCTTGTTCTCGCCTCTCCCAACAGCCTCCGCAGCCTCGCTTCTTTGCTTCGCTGTCACTCTCCACTTCGATCCCCACAATGCAACCAGCTTACCCTAGTGTCTCACTCACCGTCCGCTACTGATCATCGGTATACACATCTGCTAGGTTCGGATACCTCAGGTCAGCATTCTCCTCGAGATACTCCATCCACTGCTTCAAGAACGCGCTGCCCCTGAGAAGTGCGTTAGCAGTGTTCGAATGGGAGAGGCGTGCATGATGCCGTGACTAGGCGGGAACGGTAGCGAGGGGTAAGGGAGTGTGGCTTGCAGGTGCGGGATGGGCCTTGTCGGGTATTCGCAGGCGCCTCCGCATCACGCATCCCTCCCTTCACCTGTTTCAAGATCCCACTCAACTCCACTATCCAGCCCGCCACACCGCGCTCCTTCTCCGTTCCTATGATAGAAGATGCGGTGAGGATAAGAGAGTGTAGGGTGTACGTACTTGCTAATAGTGTCGCTGTCCCCCACAACGCAAAGGTGTCTCTTCGGCCGTGTCATAGCGACGTTGAGTCTCCTCTTCTCGCCCAGGAACCCGACTTCATGCTCTGAGTTACTGCGCACCGTGCTCACGATGACGGCTTCCTTCTCACGGCCTTGGAATCCGTCGACGGAGCCGAGCTCAAGCTGCGGATACTTTTCTTTCAACAGTCCTGCGAGCAGCGCTAGCTGTGACGTTGAACGGTCAGTGTAAGTCCTCAGATATGACAGGGATTCCTTCACCCTCTCGGATCGGCGCGGCCGTACCGCAGGCACGGAGATCTGTAGGCGAGGGGGTCGCAAGAGCGAGCGCATGAAAATCTAAAATGGAAACGTACCTGCGCATTATATGGCGTAATAACCGCAATATCATCTTCCTTCACACCCGCGGCGATCAGGTTGTTGACGTGCATCTTGACCAACGCCGCTTCGGCTTCGTTACTCTTACTATCGCCCAGACTCATGCCCTTCCCGCCCTTGCCAATGACGCCTTCGTCCTCGATTTTCTCGGGGAAGTCGCCACCCTGTGTGTCCCAAAACACCAGAGGTTCTTTTGTATCCTCGGTTTCTTGGATTTCGTACGGTAGGCCTGTGAGCAAGCGCGCTTTGACCGAATCGGCGGCGATGAGTTGAGAGTCGTAGAGCGCGTCGGACGGGAAGCGCATGATGGCTTCATGCATGCGGTATTGGGTTGTGAGCATGCGTTTTATGCTGGGGCCGTGGAGGGCGAGGAGGCGGTCGAAGAGTGTGGTTTCGAGGGTTTTGCTGATACCCGAGGAATCTGTATCTATAGTCGTCGCAGCTTTCTTCGCTGCCTTTGACCCTTTTGAGTTCAGTGACTTGATGGTGGGTGGGAGTTGGAGATGATCGCCGGCGAGGACGAGCTTATTTGCTTTGACCCAGAGTAGAGGGACCCAGCATTGTGCTTCGAGAGCTTGACTTGCTTCGTCTACGATGACGACGTCAAATTCTTGGCCTTTGAGATGGAAACCTCCGGCGCCGTGTAGTGTTGCGAGAACGACTTTGCTGCCTCCAACGAGGTTGTTGACGCAGCCTCTTTCTCGCTCTCTGTATTCTTGTCGTAGCTCTTTCAGCTCCGTGTAGATCTGGCGTTTCTCTCTGCCGTTACGTGTTTTACGTATTGAAGCTTGCTTGTCGTCCATCTCCTTGCGCACGTCTTGTACCAAGGCTGCAGCTTCTGATGTGCGGGTGAGCACGTCCAGCGAGTGGTTTAGGACAGATGGTAAGAGCCGAGCAGGATGACCAAGCCGGATCATGTTGACTTTGTGAGAGGCCAGTCGTTCGACGATGTTGTCTACTGAGATATTGGACGGACCGCACACAAGGAGACGGAGATTTTGCTTGAGCAGCTGCAAGATCAGCTCGATCAATGTGTGTGTCTTTCCTGTGCCCGGAGGGCCGTGGATGAGGGCAACTTCTCGAGATGCTAGAGCGAATCTAATAGCCTCCTTTTGACTGTCGTTCAAGCTCGGGTCTTTGAATTCCAGCTTGTGCAGGGTATTCGAGGGATCGTTGAGATCTGATGGGAGGGGCGAAGGTGAGCCTTGCCCAAAGAGCACGCGCATGAAGGGTGTGTACTCCTGATCGCTGAAATTCTGCAGTCTGGTCATGGTTTGGTTCATCCTGTCAAATATGAGCAAGCAGTGGAGGCGGGCACAACTTCTGGTATTGCCATGAATGCGTACCTCTTGTAGGTGACATCATTCGCCAACTTGACTCTACATGGTCTATCAGCTCCCAGCTCATATGTCCTCGACTCCAGTGTATGACTGACATCCACAGCTTGCTTCCACTTGGCACATCTGCGTCTTCTTTGTCCAACACCATCTCAATGTTTTCACGTCGCACCCTCAGCACAACGCCCCCGGCACCCTTCTTTTCCAGCTCTTTCTTCTCCGTCTTCTTTGCGCTGCCCGCGGGCTGGTCTGCAACAGCCACGATGTCTCCAACCCGAATGCCATGCTCAGGTATCTCTGGTCTGGCGCCCTTTGTGACAACCGCGGGGTCCAGGGCGAGCTCGACGATGGTCTTTCCGCCCATGCCAGTTCGTATCGAGGAGACATTGAGGTTCAGGATGGCTAAGCCGCTGCGGGCAAGCGCAGTTGGTGTGTGTGAGGAGAGGAGGGCGTCCGTTTCCAAGAGTTCAGCTTTGAGTTCAGCGTCCAGCAGCGTGAGCTGAGAAGTTGCGAAGGCTGGGATATCTGTAGGATCCGGCATGGTGGTCAGTGGCTCTAAGGTCAGTGTGCGATGTTGAAGCAACAACGATGCAGCTGCAGATGGTTTGCGTAGCTCTGGTGGGGCTTGCTATGACGCGCTCAAATTTGAGGCAAGCAACAATTGCGCGTGTAGAAACAAGCTCTCAGCTACTATGCCACTGTTGGAGAGTACAGACTGCACTCCTTTGTATTGTCTTTTGTCCTGTCCTTGATGATCTCGCAAGGGTGCTAGCCGTGATTGATGCTCGCAAAGCTCTCTGGAGCTCCACAGGCGCGTCGATGCGCTAGCATTTGCGCTGAATAAGCCAGGATTCTCTCTCCACCTCGCGAGACACTCTTTGCAACGGCGAGGACACGGAGAACTATGATCGTACCGACCTGAGTGCATTCAGGTCCATGCAATAAAAGTCGGGTCTGATATCGTACACGCTCTAGTCGCTAGCTGGAGGATATCGGTATGCCTCCCGGTCTTGTGATGCGGATGCTCGGCTCAACGGTTGCTATGGGAGCAGCAGAGAAGAGCTTGCGTGTGACTATCTGACTGCTCCGCGAAACTGGAAAGCGATAGAGTATTCTGCGGTCTCTACTGTCAAGTTACTCGTACATGCAATCGTACACATGCTCCCAAGACGGTGATTCTGTAGAGGTGCAGCCGTGTTCCTCAACCGGAAGGGGCAAGTTAACCCGAGGCCTTCTACGTCAACGCGCCCCGACGCGCTTCACGGCTCCAGCTCCGCCTAGATGTGGTTAACAAGCCCCGGGTACGCTGCCCAGCCTATCCACTTGTCAGCAGCGGCTCTCGAATGCCCAGCAAATGCGCCTGTTCCGAGCGCGACGCGAGCTTCAGCCTCTTGACGCGAGCATTGCGCGAGAGATGCGACAGATACCGAGCCTCAGCCGTGAATGAGGGGCTGCGGTCGCCCTGGAGGGGCATATGCGGTGCCATCGGAGATACCCCACACCTTCAAATAAAAGGTTAGGAGCCCTTCTAGAGCCTGTAGCTTTGACTAGTCTTCCTCTCTTCTCCTCCCTTCGTCCTGTCTCTGCACTCTTGAGACTGTATTCCTCACTTCTAGATACCCTTTGAATTCATCGCACCGTTACAATGCCCGCCGATACCGTTGGCAAGGTACGTCATTACACAACACCTACAACACAATTGAGAACAGATGAGCTGACAATTGCATAGACCATTACCTGCAAGGTACGTTCCGGAGCTTCTTGCTCTCCAGCTTCGCAATGGACGTGCTCGTCGAGCTTCTCTGTCCACCGTCTGTGGCGGCATTCCAGGCTTGGCGCTTGCGGATCCGCAGACGAGCAGACAGCATTGCGCAGCGGAAAGACGCGGAGATTGGACAATTCAGAATGCAAAAGGTCCGAACAGCTGCACTGACTACAACAGGCTGCAGTTGCCTGGGAAGCCGGCAAGGACCTCTCCATTGAGGATGTCGAGGTCGCACCCCCCAAGGCCCACGAGGTCCGCATTGAGATCTACTACACCGGTGTCTGCCACACAGATGCCTACACACTGTCGGGAAAGGACCCCGAGGGTGCTTTCCCCATCGTCCTCGGGCACGAGGGTGCTGGTATCGTCGAGTCTGTCGGTGAGGGCGTCACAAACGTGAAGCCTGGCGACCACGTTGTTGCCCTTTAGTACGTGCATCCAGCCATGAAGCACTTCACACCTGCTGACTGCTTTCAGCACACCAGAGTGCAAGGAGTGCAAGTTCTGCAAGTCTGGCAAGACCAACCTGTGCGGTAAGATCCGCGCAACACAGGGTAAGGGTGTCATGCCTGACGGCACCTCGCGCTTCAAGTGCAAGGGCAAGGACCTCCTCCACTTCATGGGAACCTCCACATTCTCCCAATACACCGTCGTCGCCGACATCTCCGTCGTTGCCATCACCGAGAAGGCCCCGATGGACCGCACCTGCCTGCTCGGCTGCGGTATCACAACCGGTTACGGTGCTGCCGTCATCACCGCAGGAAAGGGCGGCGTTGAGGAAGGCTCCAACGTTGCCGTCTTCGGTGCTGGCTGTGTCGGTCTGTCCGTCATCCAGGGTGCTGTCAAGAACAAGGCCGGCAAGATCATCGTTGTCGATGTAAACGACTCCAAGGAGGAGTGGTCAAAGAAGTTCGGTGCCACCGACTTCGTTAACCCCACCAAGCTCGGCTCCCAGAGCATCCAGGAGAAGCTCATCGAGATGACTGACGGCGGCTGTGACTACACATTCGACTGCACAGGTAACGTCAACGTCATGCGCGCTGCACTCGAGGCCTGCCACAAGGGATGGGGAGAGTCCATCATCATCGGTGTCGCTGCTGCTGGCCAGGAAATCGCCACTCGCCGTACGTACTACCTCTCCCAAATTCAAACGAACAGATTTACTGACACTCACAACAGCCTTCCAGCTCGTCACCGGTCGTGTCTGGAAAGGATGCGCCTTCGGTGGTGTCAAGGGCCGCACTCAGCTCCCTGGTCTCGTGTCCGACTACATGAACGGCGACCTCAAAGTCGACGAGTTCATCACCCATCGCCAGCCCCTCGACAATATCAACCAGGCCTTCGGCGACATGAAGGCCGGCGACTGCATCCGTTGCGTCGTCAACATGCGCGAATAACTACACTCGGGCCCCCAAGACCAGATTTTGAAGGCTAAGCTTTAGCTTTGTCTTTAGTCTAATGATTTGCGATGTTTGATGATATAACGAGATGTTCTGAGAGGCGAGGCGTATAGAGTGGTGGAGGGCATGTGTGGCATTGATGATGTTGGCGCTAAGAAATCTGGCTTGGGTCTTTGCGGTATGTAAATTTCAGGTCTGGCATGGGCTGATATGAATAACAAAAGTCTTACTACACGCATGCAATAGGGTCCCATTCACACAGGACGTGTCGCTGAAACCCTTGCAGTCGAAGCAACTTATGCTCTTCTCTCTCTCACCCTTGTTTGTCTCCTTCAGTGTCCAAAATCACAAGGCCCTTGACCGATGGAGTCTCTGTTATTCTCAAACGTGGATCCCAAAAGCTCATTTTCAGTCCCTGCCTCGGCGCCGCAATTACATTTGAAGGCTCTCCCATCAATTCAAGTATTGTTGACTTTTCTCAAACTTCTACGCTCATACGCATCTCTGAACTCAAAAGACCCTCGACAATATGCATGGAGATTTGCTCCTCTACCACGAAACCGCACATCGATAGTATGATGTGTTTGCGCTCCGGTTGCTATTCAGTCGCAGTAGATGCAATAAATGAAGGTGTAACCACGCAGAGCAGTGAGTCAGGGTAGAACCGCGCAAAGCAGTAAAATCAGTATACTCTGTTGTTCTTGTTCTGTCTTTGGCCTCTCACCAGGCCACCAGCAGGGTCTGTTTTACATGACGTATTTATCGTGCAGCCAAGGGCAGAAGGTGCCTGTTGGAACAAGCAAGAGCACTGCACCAACACACGTGGCACACATGACCTCCTTACTCCATAAACCATCACATCTTCCCTTATTCCAGCCCTCACGCCAAGTCTTTGATCCGTCGAAATCATGTGCAAACTCCTCGATGAAATTTCAAAGCCAGTCAAATTCAACGCATGGCTGTCTGTCTCCGCTTCATGAAAGTCGCAGGTCAGATGAGCTATAATTTTTTTTTGAAATTCTGCCGTCTGCGATGCGATTCGAAACATTTTGAGTTCTCAAGCACTGACTGCATGTTGTCCTCTGCTCGGTATAGAAGTTTAAAAGCCGCGGAGGAAAAGTACATGTCTGTCTGTCGTTCCTGCTTGCCACAGCACCCTACAGCAGGCAAGTCTTGGGTAGAAAACCATTTCTGTTCACCCCAAGTCTTCTCTCCTCACACAACCTCTACCTTCCTTAAACATCGAAATTTATCCCACCATTGACGTGATGTCCCTGCTCTCTGCACCTCGAGAATATTTTCATTAGGACACAAAAGTCCTTTTTGTCTGCCATATAAGGTTCGTAAAGTTATCTTATTTCGATATTTGTTCACATTGAGACCCGCGAGCCAAAAGATGCTGGCGCGGTGGTGGGTGTTTTGCTCTCCTGCGTTCTAAAATCCGTGGGGTTCCGGAACATGTATCTTGCTTTTGCGAGATTCTTCGCAGCCTTGAGCACTTGGAAATATCTACAATGACATTAACGTCCCACTTAAAGTCCGGCCAAGACCTTAAATTTTGCGACCTGATCTTGCTTCTCAAATAAGCGACTCCGAGTATGTCATGATCCTTTGCTTCCGCCTGCAGGTTGACCTGACTGCTTAAACCCCGTGTTCGAAGTCCTCCATACATGCTCCACAATTACGCAACTAAACTTCGACGGAACCCAGGCGATGGAGTGTGGGTCGATTTTGCTATCTCAAAACGCACACACAAGTTCGACGTCCGGTCCGTTGCTGTGGCTGGCGCGCATCTTCAGATAGGATGCCAGAAGAAGTCTACGACTAAGAAACGACGGATGAATTTCTTATACTTGGTCACGTCAAAAACCGAAACATGGGCTACCTACTTGTCGGGAGATCATCTGGTCTTCTCTTTGCCAAAAACACAGTCATCACTCTACATGAAGTTGCTGTACTTCGGTCGCTATATTGTCACCATGCGACAATAGTTGCCAGTAATTTACATTCCAATTGCCGTGTCTCGTTTTCAAAAGTCGTCAGACAGAAGTTGCATGAAGTGTACCGGCTCCCTCATTCGGAAGCAATTTGACGTTGAATCGATTATTTTTGAGTTGCGCGTCGGCACATCTAAAAACCAAAACCTGATATTCAATGATCTCTGTTCCCCTGGATTCCATAAACTAGAAACCCGGACATCGTCGATTATGCGCGTCTGCTTCTTCTGAACGCAAAACCCGCGACTCTTGACGGCTATGGTTCGGCAACGGCGTAATATATATGGCCATTCCGAACTCTGTTTTCTTTCTTTCTTGCCGATACTCCGCCCTTGAGCAATACCAGAAGTTGTATCATCATGGTCCGATGCACTCTTCTAAATCTCTCACCAAAAGATAAGTACGAGACAGCTTTGTCTTTCCGAGATCGCCCTAACAATCTGAAAAGTACATCTTCGCTGGGCATGCTGTGGGCTTCTGTGGGGATCCATGTGCATTTAGGAGTAATTTGAAACGAGCATGGAGTGACAACATGCTCGCTGCTGTCTATTTTCCAAATCCATAGCATGGGTCTTTCTTCTGCACGGAGCGGGTTATATGCCTTGGTTCTGATGAGCGATATTGAAAAGAGTTGGCCTCGGATCTAAGACTCTTGCAAAGCCTGGAACATCCTGGTTCAACTGATAACCAGTTGTCCTTGTATAAGATGCACTAACTTGCCACTCACCTACAGATTGCAACACAACCATGATGTCGCCTTCAAGATCATCGGACCTCAAGGCTGCCTCACATACGTTTAATAGATTCATCGCGTCTCTTGTGCACCTACCCGTGAGTAAGATTCTTGAGAAACAACAGTTCAAACAGACTGTCTCCATGCCAAAACCGCCTCTTTTCGTCAACTTCTACGACAGATATACCTTTCAACGCAGCGACGAAGAGGTTTATCCAACCCATTGGCTGAGAAGGGGCTAGAGGATTTGACTAAGCTACATGATGCAGGCGATGCACTATTGGAGTTGGCGTAAGGTAGAGGGATGTTGATATCCCCGCATTCTAAAAGAAACAATAGTTTCTTCAATGTGCTCTCACGGGTTTGCATCACCAGTACTCGCTGTCTTGGTAAGCGAAAATGTTGATCGTACAACTTTAAACATCTTCTAATGACACAAGTGAGCTCGTGACTGATCTATAGCAAATGCAACAAGCTTCGTAACTCTTTACACGGGCGAGCATGCCCGCACAGATCAAGGACTTTATCGCAACAACGGACCCGTTGATGCAACTGTTAGACGAAGAAGAGGATGACTATGAGCTTCTCATAAAACAGGATAACCGAACCATGAGCAACAGCTTGACGAGTTCAAGGAAACAAACGAGCACCTGGCACCTGCTGAACTGGAACGTAAGTTTCGCGACTAACAGCGAAGCATGATCGACAAACTTCGCAGTGAGGTCATTAGTTTGAAAGACAACGTTCAAGAGATGACCGAACAGTGTAACAGTGCACTGGAAGGCGTACAGGAGAAGTCGCCGAACAGATTGGAGGGTCTGTAAAGAAATACAGAAAATCTTTTTGCTCTACTCGAGCACTTGCAACAACAAACGGAGAAGGATAGTAGGTGGAAGGCGATGCAGAAGAATGTGGATGAGAATATCGCGCTTCACGCCTCAGGCGACTTGATGTTGGCGGAGCTGGAAGAGAAGCTGAAGACGAAGTGGATGGCAGTGAAGAAGAGGAGTTGGGAAGACAAGCGGGATGTCATAGGTAAGCTTTACGAGGAACTCGACATGATATTGAAGAGTCAGAAGGAGTGCCGCAAGCCACTCGAGGAGGAATTCGCGCGAGCGAAGGCTCGTTTGGCGGAGATTGAAAGAGAGAGTGGTGGAACATAGGGGAGTCTGGGTGGTGATACATTGTAAAGTTGCAGCATGATGTCACAAGTATCAGAGAACGCCAAAGAAAAGAAGTACAGTGTTTTGATACCAAACGAGTGTATTGGTCAGACTAGCAGTGAAGTATGATTTCGTGGTTTTTCTTGCGTGAAATGTGTTCGTACGAACAGGCCCTGATCCCAAGTCAAGAGCGTGAAGAAGGAAGTGTGTCTCTATCTGACGCTTCCGGTGGCTGCATGAGCGCTCTACTTCCCCAAATTTGCCCAAGCATGACCGGCGTGCGCCAAAGTCGATATGGTTGCCGATGTTGTGTGTTCAACGTTGCGAGCAAGCCGTCGTGGGAACAGCTGTACTTCCATAGTCGAGCATGTCTGGTCCATTGAGCGCGCTATCGATATTGATTGCACCGTAGGCTGAGTCCAACATTAGGTCTGAGGCCATTGAGATGGCTTTGAGCAGCCGGTGGACGTGCGTTCGGCAGGTGTACTGTCTGGCAAGACATCGTCCTTCTGGGAGGCTCAGACTTTGGTCGGACATTAGTGGCATACCTCATGGAGGAAGTGCTCCTGAGGTTCTGTTAGAGATGCAATCAATCATAGTTGCCAGGCCCACCGATTTGACTTGCGAAAGCAGTAGAAACACTGCGAGCATCGTCGTCGTCAAATCCGAGACCGTTGCGCAGACCACGACCAGCAGCGAATCCGCCACTCATGTTGGGGCCTTGACGAGTCGACTCGACAAAGCGATTCAGGCGGTCAGACTGACTGAGTGACGTGGGCTTGTTGTAGTCGTTCAGGTTCAAACCGGACAGGCTGATGCCACCAGGAGCATCGCTGCGAGTATCGGTCAGCTCACTTGCAGCAATGGACTCGCCAGCAACGCTCTGTGGTGCCCTGTTCTGGCCCCGAGGACCTTGACCATTACGGCCAGGGAGAGGCCACGACTCCTGGAAGTTGGAGAACATCGGAGGGTAATTGGAAGGTACGCCACCGAGCGCGGAAGAATGGACCGATGAGACGTCGTCGGGGATGTAGCCAACAATCGAGCCGTTGTCGTTGAACTCCTGGCGAGTTGGCTTGCCACCGTTGTAACTGCCTTGGCGGGCGGAGGTCATAGCGTTGGCATGCTGATATGCCATCTGGTAGCGTTGGGGTCCGCGGTAAGTCTGCTTGGGACGGCTGAACTGTAGTAGCGAAACCTGGAGGTTGGACAGAGGTCCCTCAACGAGACAGTTGCGCTCTTTGAAGTGGAGCAAGAGATAGTGCCACAACGGGTGCTTGCTGAGAACTTTCGGGTTTCCGAGAATGACAAGACCGTACTTGGCACGGGTGAGAGCAACGTTGAGACGGCGAGGATCGCTCAAGAAACCGATACCTTGGTGGTCGTTGGAACGAACGCAAGATAGAATGATGAAGTCCTTCTCACGACCCTGGAAAGCATCGACTGACGCCACCTCGACTTCCTTGTAGTTCTCTTTCTTAAAGCTGCCGGTTGCCTGCATGGAGCTGACAACGTAGCTGCGCTGACCCTCGTACGGCGTAATGATACCAATGTCGCTGGGTTGCACACCTGCCTTGAAGAAACGTGTGACAATCTTCTCGACGTTCTGAGCCTCAGTGCGATTGAGGTAAGATGTTCCACTGGCTGAGATTTCCTCCGCACCAAGATTGGACCAGAACATCATAGGGTTGTCGCCTACCGGCCATGGGAAGTCAACGTCGCGACGAACGCGTTCCTGCATAGTCACGCCGTTCTGGAGCGAGCCTTCGTAGAACATGTTCGAAGGGAATTCAGACAGACATGGGTGCATGCGGTACTGAACCTGAAGACGGATCGGAGAGCAGCCCAGGATGACAAGACGCTCAAAAAGGGACTGGTTCAGTCCTGCAGTGGCGGCCTTCTTATTCATGATGACGGGTCCAAGTTGCTGGTGGTCACCGACAAGCACGACCTGCTTGCATCCAAGGACCAGAGGGATCATGCACTCGGGTTCAGCTGACTGCGTAGACTCGTCGATGAGGACTGTGCGGAACTTCATCTTGGAGAGACGTGGGTCTCCTGCACCAACGCAAGTGCAGCAAATGACATCGGCCGCGTTGAGAATCTCGCGCTCGGCCGCACGGGTGAGCTGCTTGAACTTCTTCTCGTCCTGGCTGGACAGCTCGCCAACGTCGCTCTTCAGCTGGTTGAGCTTGTTCAATTCGACATTCGTGTCGTTCATGCGAACTTGCTCGTGGAGAGACAAGAAGCCAACTGGAGACTCAACGTCCTCCCTGGACTTTGCAGTCACACGAACCGTCTTCAGTCCAGTAAGGTGGATACGTTCGCACAGTTGGTCGACAGCGACGTTGGATGGTGCGCAGACCAACACTTGGCTACCGCTGATCTTGCAAAGATGGTAGATGATGGTAGCTGAAGTGACGGTCTTTCCGGTACCTGGAGGACCCTGGATCAAGCTGAGAGGCTTTTGTAGAACGCTCTTGACCGCGTTGATCTGGCTGCCGTTCAGCTCTGGCAGGCCTGGCACACTAAACTTGCGAGGGATCTGAATCTTCATGGGTGCCGATGCTACCTCATGGCCCAGGAGACGGTGGAAGATGTAGCCAGAAACACTCATTTCGTCGATGGCGAAGGTCTTCATGGCGTGCTGCATGCGGTCGAACGAAGTGGCCTTCCAGACGTAGTCGGCGCTGAAGTTGTGGGTACACTCGGTTGGGACAGACTTGTGGTCGCCCTTTGTGCGTAGCTCGATTGTGACCTCGTCAGACTGGTTGTTCGGAATCTTGATGACATATCCGACGCCTTCCCAGTGAGGGCGCAATTCTCCAGTGTATCGCAGGCGCATCTCGTCTCCAACGGCAAGCTTGACGTCGCCTAGCTCGAGCTTAGGGAGGATGAAGCTGGCGGTGTGCTTGTTATTCAGCGCCATGTCCCAGCGAACGATCAGGTTATCCTGCGATTGTGACTCCTTCAGCTTGCGGTCGTAGTCCGCCTCGATCTTGACCAGGGGCCCAAAGACGTTCTGGTACTGGAACGCATCGTCGTAACGTAGCAGCACCTTGGCAATGACCTCCTCTTGTCCAGCTCCCTTCTCCAAATCTGCGATTGTAGCGTTCGCGTTGTCCTTCCACAGCTCCTCGAGCTTCGCAATCGTCTGCGGGCTGAGATGACGAGCACGGAGTTGCTCTTGATCGGTCGGTGGGGGCACGAGCCAGGGGAGGAAGGAGCGATCTTCGATCAGCGGTTGCCAGCGTGAGGTGTCCCAGTTCATATCTTTCTGCGAGGGCATCGAAGCGCATGGCTGGCGGCACAGAAGCACGACAACCGTGTCTGACTTAGCTGGGATAAAGCCAAGCAAGAAAACGTTCTTCACGCCGCAGCTGTAGCATTCGAGGGTGGTGTCACCGAGCGAGGAAGCTGGGTGCAGCTGCACTTCCTTGTGGCGAGCGCGGACAAGGTGGTTGATGATGTGCGAAGACGACGAATTGCCACGAGCGCTACAGAACCACTTGTTGCAAGCCAAACATTTGACCACACTGCCTGCGTTGTGGATGCCGCAGTACGCGCAAGCATGTGCTGGAAGCTCGACTTCCTCCTCCTCCTTGGCGAGCTGCTGTCCGTTTGCTCCTCCAGCAGGCATATCCATCATGCTCTCACCATCGTCATCAAACAGATCATCGTCCTCGTCGTCAGTCCTGCGGCGGCGAGCGCTCAGCCCGGTGATTTCGTCATCGCCGGCGCCAGCGTTGATGGTGGCGGCCGAATCGGACACCAGGTGGTTGCCCATGTGGGTGAAGGCTCCCTCCATGGTGGCGGTCGTGGTGGTGTAGGTGCACTCAGGTCGCGTTTGGTGCTTGTTCGATATTTAGCTCGCAAGTGCGAATGTGTCAGGGCGGCAGCGAGTGCCGGCGGGGGTGGGGTCGTGGGGGTGCACTATCTGGCCTTTCACACCATGTCCAGCACGTAGAGCTCTTGTGCGCGGTGGGTTGCGCGCAAGTTGTGTTATTGTCGTTGTGGCGACCAAAAGTTTGTTGTGAAAGTCGAACGCTTGCCGTTCGCAGATGCACAGTCGGCAGACGGAGGCAATCACTGGTCTTGGCATTGGCCCCTCCATCAGGAAGCCGCAAGCAAATGCATGCTCAAACTGCGTCATCGCCACAAACACCTTATTCAGTCATTTGACGAATACATCCATGGAGGTGTGGCCCCGTTCAGAACACAGGTTCATCACATGATAGCGCGTCGAATGCATGTCACAGGCGCGTCCTGCAGCTGCCCTGGTGTTGTCACACAAGCAGACCGAGCGGACCGAGTATCTCTGTGGGTACTGTGTAGGCTATCATGACTGTCCGTGGTAAGGTTCGACAAGCCGCTCATGTCTTTACTACCGAGGTTCTGCGCATATCAAATCTGCGGAACGTCGCAGCAGTTTCGGTATGGAATGGACAATCTACGAATAGTCGTTCTACCATTGACACGACTGCAAATCACATGCCACCTTGACTGCATCTCTTCGTGCGTGGAGCTGTTGTCAAGCTATGATATTGCTGCCTGATTGCTCTTTCAGCGCTTGATATGCTACTCCCAAACCTGCCCTCCATATGTGCCGGTCATCCGAATGGTAAGGCACAGTCTGCCTCACATGATGTGGATCATCTTGGTTGAAGTTTTGAAAGTTTTCACATACAGAAAGTCAAGATGTTTCGCCCTCCCCTCATCTAAGCCTCACGGTACTTGGCCACCTCGGCATGTATCTGAAATATCACCACTTCCTCACTCATCTCCAACTCATCGCGGATGTACGCGCCACAAGTGGCGCCATCATTCTCGAATATTCCCACCTCTACCCGTGCCTCGTCACTCTCGTACGTCACCTGATAAGACATGCACGTATCAAAACGGCGGACCACTCATCCGCCCTCTAGGAGCCAGGTAGGTCAAACAACCACCACCATCCCCTCGGATTCCGCGCGCTATGGGGAAGCGCAGGCGAGTGGACCGATATAGTTGCCGTCCCATCCCATAACCGTCGTGCCATGCTTCATCGTCGCCGTGCCGTGCTTCATCATCGCCGTACCGTGTTCTTAGCAGGAGAAGTCGAGGAACACTGGGTCAGGGATCGAATTCTCCGAACATTAATTATGGGCCGTAGCCTCTGACTTCGACCGTGAGCCCCGCAAAGGTCACCCATGTCTATCACGCCGACGATTGCGCAAGCTGCCCCGGATCAGCGAAAGCTAGGATCGTGTGGCACGATTAAGCACGCGGAAATTTGACGGCGCGTGGGATCCTGGACGCTGGGAGATTTGGGAAAAGGAGGGGTGGATCCAGCGTGTTTCGAAGTTTCGACGTTGAGAGTTCAGGGTTCGACGGTGGAGGGAGGGTGAAACTAACGGCTGACAAAGAGAAATTGGTACCAAGGTTGTATGTGAAACATCAAGGTCTTCAAGAGCCGGGATGGCCAAGATTGCTGTGAGCAAATGTACGAGAGACTTCGTACGATGGACGATAGTTGAGTGACGTTGCCCTTGGAAGTGTTGGAAAGAAAGTATGGAATGAAGCCATTCAATGCCGAGTTGAGGAAAGACTTATAAGTTCAAGTGTGATATATTGTAAGACCTAACTGTGACTGCAGTTTCTGCTTGTCTGGTATCATGATGCTACTGTTCATCAGTCTTGTTCTTGAAGGCCCTTGGCCGTGGTGTAAGGAAATGAAATGACCAAATACCCCGAACACCAAATGCTATACCGGAAAAGAAACAGGAAAAGTCGAAGAGTATGAGAGAAGCTGCCTGCGAGGGACTTATTCCTCCTCAATCACACCAGTAGCGAGCATGCTCTCCTTGAGCTGCTTCTTGTACTCGCGCTCCATGCCATGCCTGACAGCTTCAAGGACATTGTCGACGGTGGCCTTAGGGGTGAAGTTGGGCTTGGTTCCAGCCTGGTACACACCGGTCTTGACGAGGATGGAGTACCAGTTGGCATCGTCGGTGTGCTTGTCGAACTCGTTGGTGCCCCTGATATCAGACTCGGGGGTGTCACCAACGAAGTAGACGGTCTCGGGAGCTTTGTTGATGCCGTGAGTGTCCTTGCGCCACCTCTTAAGGAGGCGAGTAGCGAACTCAAATGTGCCGATTTGGGGCTTGCCGAAGGCGGTAGTCTGAAGCTCCTTGCCAGTGACAGCCTTGTACATAGCCTCAAGAGAGACGCGAAGAGCACCCATACCAATACGGGTAAGGTCGTGGGATGCACTCCAGACAACGTCATTGTGTGAGAAGAAAACAGGTGGGCCCTCGTCGAAAGTCTCCGACCTGGTGCCGAGGCGACCGTTCTTAGACATGAGCAAGTCCAGGATGATTTGCTGGTCAGAGGCCCAGTCACGGGAGTCGGCGAAGACGAAGATAGCCTCGATCTCAACCTCGGCGAAGTTGCGGACTCGCGATCTCTTGTACTCCTCTTCGGTCAGTGAGCGGAAGGGTGTGGTGTCCTGGTTGTCCTTGATGATGTCTCCTGGTGTGACCACGTCCTTGAAGCCATAGCCTTCGGCGACGATACGGCACTTCTCGCCTTCACCACCAACGACAAGGACCGTGCCGTAGTTGTCAGCCATCTCACCCATAGGAGTGTGGCCACATATGAACTGTCCAGGCGACACCTCCATTTCTAGCTGTTGACTGAGCTGGATGCAACGCTCGGCTTCAGTCTTACCACCGCCGTTGGTGACGAAGATGTAGGGCACCTTGATGCCATACTCGTTCTCACCATTTAACATCTTCATAGCTTCGATGGCTTCTGGGATCGGTCGGCCGCCACGGATGAGGACACCGTCAATATCGAAGGCGTATGCATACTTGTCGGTGACAGTGGTCTCGGTGGGCGTACCGCTGGGCGATGATGTACCTGACCCTGTGGAGACCTGAGAATCCAGATGATGCCTCGCTGATTCGAAACTGGTAGCGACCTCTGAAGCACCAGATGGAGCCATCAGGTGCTTTGGGGGAACAACGACTGTTGGGCCCATCTGCACACTGTCCCGAGTTGCCTCGATGGACGACAGGCGGTGTGCATAACGACCCGTTTGGGGCACCGCAAGGGAAGGTGCCGACATAGTAGAAAGGTGAGGTGGGGGCGCCGTTATGTAGAAAATGATAGACACGAGCTGGTTCTCTGTCGTTATAATGATGTCTGTGGATCTCGGTTTGATCCGCGGGCAGTTGTACTCTTCTTGTAGGAAAGATCTAGGGAGCCCCTCGTTGAAGCGGAGAGAACAGTGGGTACTTTGTGGAGGTGGGTATGGGAGGTGGAAATGTGGGTATGTTTGGTGGAGCCGGGTAGCAGGAGTCTCGAGAGTTTATACAAGAAGTCAAATGCCACAGCTGTCACTTTGGCGTTACTCATGAGTTCTTTTACCTGCAACTGTAGCGGTCAGAACATCTCAATTGACGTCGATTTGCCGGTTCCTGAGCGCAAAGCTTATCAGTTGAGCTCAGCTAAACCGCGATTTGGCGGGGCCAAATGCGTCATAGTGCCTAGGCTCACTGGCATCCGTTGTTGAATCAATGACTTCGTACAGCGGCGCCTCGTCGTAAAGTGCGCTTCTCCCATGACTTCGGCGGTGGTGCTGTGTCTCTTAGATCTCATTCGATGACTGGCTCCAGCGGTGTTGCAGTATAAGTGGGTATCGACTGCAGCAAACCGCCCTGAGAGCACATGGCGCGCCGCTACAGCGGCCTGGATGTGCAGCGCAACTGCCCATGACAGCTTCATTCCGAGCCAGTCATTGACACGGCCGCGTTTGACAGCCGTTGGTGCGGAACGGTGTTAAAAAACTTTCAAAAGTCGTATGCACAATGACGCAATTGCGTATTTCGAGCGCGCCTCTACAAAGGAGCCTCAAAGCAGGCCAAGCAGCATCCAAGAGACGCTGTAAGGGACTGCACGGCCGTCCCAATCACAATCAGATCGCGGACGAGCGTTCTGTGCTCAGTATGGATCGTCATTTCATCATCCTTTCGGCGAGAACAAGCCGGCACACTTTCTCGTCGCCAAGTCTCAGGGTCTGCTCATGAGGCTGAAGGAACAATACAATATACGGTAGATGTTCCGTGCCGTATATGCTCGCTGCCTGCTTTCGATCATCGAAAAGATCAGCCGTATGGCCACCACTCGGTTTCGATAATCGCGTGTCGTTCGCCTTTGTGATAGACGTCATATAGACGGCAAGTTAGCAATACTTGCTTGAACACTCGGCTCGCTTTTCTCCTATCTCTCTTCACATGCCGAACCCTTTTTGCCCTGGCTACTGGTCAGACTGCAGGATATGCATAACACGGCAGACCGCACCTCATACGTAGTGGGGCTCTCACCAAAACACCGCCTACCGGCATCTTCCAATATTACGCTTGACGTAACTGTACGTCTGCGTGTCTACTTCACTTCGCAGGGGAACTTGCGCTATATGGAATAGTTACCGTTTTGCAGTCGCAGGAGCTGGGCCGAATGCCGAAAGAACATCGATGCAGCAGGATTTTTAACACCGTGACATTTCCGCTGCATTCTTGCAGCGCGTACGTCAACTGAGAATGCCGATGGCCTTCAGGCCGTGCTGATTGTTTGTGTCGCAGCACCAGCGACAGCTGTATACATCAACAAATGGGCAACCGCTGTATGCGACTTGACGGAGAGGATAATGCCCAGCAATAAATGACTTATGAGTCTTGTCCAAGGGACGTCAGCACCGTCTGGATGTCAATATCCGCTCACTCCTTCCGCTCCACTCTTGGGGCGAAGCACATAGGAAAACTGGGTACACCGCCAACCAACAAACAGACGGCATACCAGAAGTGGAAGGCCAAGATATGTGGAACAACTACTGTTTGGAGACAGGCGACTTCCTAGACGCCCTCATCGAGACGGATGCAACACCGAAATATACGACTTACGAGAGTAGCTTCAGCGTGCGAGAGTGCTGTGCCGACACAACCGAGACACGAATGCGCAGGCAGCGATTCTCTGACATCGATCCACCTTCGCAGACTTCAGGCAGAATAGAGTTCCGTTGAGGTCACCCAAAATACTCCGGAGCAATCGCCCACCCATCTCTTTGACTTGCAATCCAAAGGCCATGTTGATCTGCGTTGAAGTTCCAGTGAAGCACACAACCTTCCACGAATGCTCATGCTCGGTTGGGAAAGCGACACATGCTGTTGGGGAGAACGTCCGCGTGCGAGCACTAACGTGAACGATCAGCAACGACTCCATGGGGTTGACAGCGCAAGAGAGACTGCTCTCCACGATTCTCCACTGTTTTTGCGGAGGAAAGGATGCAAAACACCGTAGTGATGCCGACTTACCGAGTGTTACAAACCCGACAATCCAGCCGATCCGTGAACATCGCTATGAAATTCCCATGATGACTGATGTTTAGTGGTGGTGGTGTTGGTGGTAGCAGTGTGCTGTTGATGTTGATCATAAGAGGGCAAGGTAGGTTCGAGGCCACCTTCAGGTGGAAGGCGCGCGAAAACGACACGGCATGACCTGCTCCTGCACAACTTACAACCGCCGTACAGTTAGTGACATGAAATGCACTGCATATCACAAAGATGAATTGGACTGGAGGAACTCTTCAACGCACCAAAAATGCTAACAAAGGTGTGATACAGAAACAGAAAGCGTATTTTGCGCGCGCTCGCACACAGCTACAGCAAAGCTCAGGTGCACCTGTCGCGCCATTTCGTCCAGACTACCTTCACGATAGTGATCACCGTGAACTGGGCCATCAGCTTCCCTCATTCGGATCAGGCTCAGTACGTCACACTGGCCGCTCAGCTAGGAAGCGCCGTGAGGTTGATGAACGTTACACCTCACCAACAACACGGAGATCGCGACGCCTACATGATCATGAGAAATCACAAGAGACGAGCCCTCATTTTGTGCAGGGCAAGCGCGAGGGCGACGCTGGAAGAGGTAGTGATCTTGGGATCGTCGACGTTGAAGCGGCTGACATATGACAGAAAAGCAGCGAGAAAGGAAAAGAAAGGGTACAGATGCTGACATCGAGACACAATTACTCGAGGCCAATAAGAAACGATTGCTAAAGCAGCAAGACTGGATTGGTGTTGCACCTTCAAGACCTGTTGACCTACAGTTCTTGTCGATCAAAGAAAAGAGCCGAATTGGCAAACGCAGGAAGTCCGACGGCAAGAGCAAAGCAGTCACTCGCCGTCGGAGCCCTACTACGTTTCCGCGTCGAGCCGGCCAGGGTGAGCTCGAACGTCGTGGGGACACGTTCATGCGTGCTCTGCCCGTAGTCACCGCTGCTGCTAACATTCGAGTTCGAATTGGGTCAGATGATTTAACGACTGCTGCATCAACGCAACCCAAAAACTACGCCCGGTCACAGACTAATTCAGACTCCATGCTCTTCGATGAGGAGGGTGTAGACGCAGCACGGCAAATGGAGTCAGAAGCCCCGCAGAGCGTCACTCCTTCCGGTCACGCACTCGCTGCGAACCCCAGGTCGAATGTGAACCAGCCTGCAAAGTCTGACTCTGACTTTTCGCTTCAGCATGGCCAGTCTGCACACCGTGGTCTTACGGAAGGACCGGATGTTCATGCAAACGAGCGCATTCGGTATGTTGCAGCTGAAGCGAACACGCTGGACCAGTCTGTCCAACAGAGCGAAGCGACAGACCCAAGCTATCGACTCACGCACCACGTGGGAGGTATCGAACGCCCTCTGAAGCTAGTCTTCGATAGAAGAAGTCCTTCAAGAGTTGGTCATACAGCGTCGCCGACTGGCCAAATTGGCAAGGCGCAGCGTGTCCATGCAACTTTCAACGCCAAAGAAACCGAGACTGGACATGCATCCCGAAACGTCGGTGAGGCTCACCAATCTGTTATCAGAAGACCTCCAAATGCACCTGCAATCGTCGATGATGAACCCTGGAGGACGTACTTGGACATAGGCACGTCGAGCTCTGGCCAGGTCCGTGTCAACGACGAGACCGGAACGAGCGTCCCGCAGCCTCATGTTTCTGCACGAAACACTAGAGCTGATCGCACAAGCTGCCCACAGCATACCGCCCAGGGCAATCTTACGCACGTCAACTTGTCGACAGTCTCCGCCTCTTTGCTTGCTCCAAAACGGCGGAGTGACCGCCTTCCAGACGCACGTCCCCTTCTGCGAACCGCTGCGATCAAAGAGGTTGACGACAACGAGCAAGTCTGGCGATGCTTTGTTGGGCTCGGTAGTGACCCGCAATCTGCCATTGACACGATCCACACTCACAATGAGACAAGTGAGGACTCGATGTCGCGAGCAACGAAGGGCTATGCTTCGACAAGGCCGCCGCTGTCTAACGCTGTCAGCTTGACACCATTTCCGTCTACACCGTTCAGGTCACTATCAGGACAGGCTTCTCGCATAAGTGACGACATGCAATATGCGCCACACTCAGGGTCCCGGTCGATCACCTCAGCGGCTCCATCCTATGCGGCGTGGGGTCGCATCGGGTCACCGAATGAGGACGTCCAGAATGAAGGTCAGGGCGAGGAGACACCTGCACGCAGCCATTTCGGCGAGCAATCGACCCATGCCTCATCACAGAACCATGCATCGCATGCCAGCGAGATGTTCAGTGATACAAGAACGTCCCGCGGTGATCTGGACCGGCGTGGTCGCGTGTGGGACGATGTTTCGAGGCGGGCGCAGGCGAGTGGAAGCGTTGTTTTGCAACGAGGTCGGGGTTCATCTATCTGGGACATTCCAGATAGCGATGAAGCGGGTATCGACCTTGTCAACCCGGACAGGTTGACGTGAGCTTGTTTCGCGTCAAGGTGTTGCTGGGAAAGACGCGTACAGCAATCGGATTTACGGCGTCTCTTTTGTTTTGTTCAGACAGACACGTCTAGCTATCGCCTATGTCAAGAATGGTGAAGGTCAAGGTTTTACACGACATCAAAAAATCTCGTTTGACAGATGCTGTGTCACGCTCTTTTTAGCATGAGCTGAGCTGAGCTGAGCTGACTACCCAAAACGATCTCCCTCGCTTCCTTCAGAGACTGATTGCGCTTAACATGTGGGGGTGGCTGTGTCGTTGCGCTTCCCAAGAGTGATGGTGAATTTGTACCTTCTCACCTCCCACCACAGATCCTTCATCAATGTAAGGCAGGCAAGTCGACACGTTGTGTACTCAGATAGCAGAGTCCGGTATTGGTTCTGTCCAATCGTGAGCCCTGTATCTCTTGTGGTCAAGGGTCTGCTGCGTGTCATCCAATCTCGCAATACGGAGGAGCAGATAGAGATACGTGCGTGAGGCTATTTTGAGGTTTACCCTGTCATTTACGAAAGCCACACCTTGTGCATCGACTCGCAAAGCTAAGTCGGAATGTGCCGAGGCGCCAGGATAGAAAAGAGAAAGAACGTGCTCGACAAGTGGTTTGACAAGTTTGACAACTCGTCGAGCTTGTCGTCTAGTCAAAGAGCTTACAGTAGCGAGTAGGCGATTGGTTGCCGGGCGGTTTCGAAAGGAGGAGATATCACACCGCCAGCAGGTCACATGGACATGGCCGTACCCGGATGTTGATATGCGGGGAGAGTGATCTGATTCGTCAACGGCTTCAGGGGCGGGAGCAATCCTGCCGCCAGCTTCTCGGAGGCAGCGCAAGAACTCACGCGACTCGTTGCATTGCAAGCATCTATAGTTGCATGCAGCGCAGCCTTTTCGCGGATACGGAGGCATGTCGGGAAGATCGATTGTGCCCTGCAACCTGCACGGCCTTACGACGTCGCCGAGTTTGCTCTTTGTGGGCATTGAAGCATGGCGTAAGGTTTACACGACACGAGAGCGAGTCGCAAGTTTTGGGCAATGTCGTATGAGATGGTTGAGACTGGGTAACCCTAACTTGTTGTTCTTACGCCGTCAAATGCCGCGGCCCATCAAACAGGGTGTGAGCAGGGATGATTGACAGGGGCATAACTCAAACCGCTGTGCCGGCTTCGCCCTTTCGTTTCAACATGACGGCAGTCCCGCGCCACGTGTAGGAGGGGTGGAGGGCAGCCACAGTCGCCTGTCACATTTTGTGAAATTCGCGACGCGCTGCAGCTTGCTGGAGCAGGCAGTGTTGGGATCACCGCTCTGCATCCAGCATACAGTCGACAGCCTGCGACAGGCTGGATGCAAGACCCGTCACTTACCGCACTGCCGCATGCCCGTTGCTGTGTAAGATTGGGGCCGGTAAGGTCGGATCTAGCACAAAGAATACCCACGTCAAATGACAAGAGACAAGAGGGTCCTGTGAAGGGTTTTCTGAGGCCACCACTGCGACCAAAGCGCGCGACTAACTGCCTTCTGTTTCGCAGCAGTGCCAACCCACCACAGCAGGCAGCGTGCCAGTGTCGGCCTTTTGCGGCCGTGTCTTCCGACAATGAAAAGAGAGAATAGGATTGCTGTGGATGCCTTAATGTGTGGTAGCAAGGCTGAGCACTGGCAGCATGGCAGATCCTTCGTGTAATAATCGGCAAACGCACGTCTACTCAGCAGGGCAGTGCATGGCTATCACGGCCACAACGGTCGTGTGTTTAGCAGGTGTTAGACATCGTTAGCAGCGCTGCCCTGGATGCCTGATGATGGCACTGTGGAGGGAGGCTCCGGCGCTGGTGTGATTGGAGCCCACTCTTGTAGCAACGGTAGAGACGTCATCTGTGAGCGTTTCATTGCTCGGGGGTGTGCCCAGGTGCCGGTCCCGCGGCTCTCCAAACCTTAGGGCGTCGTTAGCAGCTCGCCAGCAGGGAAGAAGCTTCGCGAGTCTAACGTGGCCGGGGTGGATCGAATTGGACGGAGCGGCGTGGAGCCCGACGACGACTTGGTTAGGGGGCAGTTCAAGGGATGCGCAGGATGAGCGTGTGCTGGTGTAATATTAGCAAAGATTTTTCAACGAGCTTTCCTGCTTCCAGGAGAAGCGCGCCAAGTCGCTCGCCGTTTCCTCACACTTGACCGTACCTGCCCTAAGACGACCGTTCCTTCCACCAGAGCTATCTGTCGTTGCCGTGCTACTTACAAAGGGGAGCCGGGCACAGTCACCACTACCACTCCCTCTGCGCCTTCACCTGCCTCACCGTGACCTCACACGATCACCCCATACCGCGCGAACAACTCGTCGACGTTGCACAGCGCTGCATTGATTTATTCTGCGGACTCGTGCGAACGACCGCATTCGGCCTCTGCACCTAACCCCCACGAGCGGCACTCCGTAGCAACTACCCAAAATACACTACCCCGGTCGTATCTGCGTCTGCACGTCGCTGCAAGAAATTCATCTCAGCAGTCCGCCTCACCAGCTGACCTGTGTTCATACGCTCACTGCCTGCGTACCCGCCCAGCACGCTTGTGCATTCCGAACCGTCGTAGCCGAAAACGCAACGCAGCCTACCCGCCGTCAGACTCACGATGCACGAAAGCTCGTAGCTCATGCTCACTTAGGACCCCAGCTGGCTGTTGATCCTCTTTTGCTTTTATTCCCCATTGGCGCCCGCTCGCCGTATCCACTCCTTCAGTTACTCCTCTGCGCCATGAAGAAGCATTAGTACGTCTCACGTTACGCTTTCTGCATTTTACCACGCAATATGTCGTTGCTCAACGACTCATTCACAAGGCCGCGAATGCCTTCGCCGTCCCCCAGCTTCGCACGCATGACGGCAGCCATCAGCATTCCTAGCTCTAGGGGCAGCCCAGCTTCCACGCCGTTCTACCTCAATGGCTCTCTTCAGTCGACGCCAGAGGGCATAGTGCCTATGATCTCGAGCTCGCTACCAGCCGTGCCGTCCTACAGCCTACCAGAATCGCTCCTGCCGCCGCCAATGACAGCAGCACCTACCTCGTCTCCCTCTGCCATGGCTGAGCCCCTCGGCAAAGGACCAGGCCTGATTCGAAGGGTCAGCCGCGGTGCGCAAGGCATCCCAAATAGGTTCCGCCGCAACAACTCGCAAGCACACCGCGACAGAAGTCAAGGGCCAGTCATCATGCGCCGACGTAGTGATAGCAGGACTGCCGCCGACGGCGAGGCCTGCATCTCAGACTTTGATGCATTTGAAGAGGAGGAGGCGATCGACGACGTATACGGCGAGCCTATCAACGCGCTGGGCATCTCGAGTACCCAGCCCAGTGTCAGCTCGATACCGGACTCCACAGTTGTAGCACCGGTGCGCAACTCCCGTCTTGAGCAAGGCACCGTTTTGAAGAAGGTCACAAAGAAAGAGAAGAAGGAAATCAACTTGCGCCTCGATCTGGAATCGGCGAAGGTGTTTTGGGACCCTTCTCGACCATCGAAGTGCTTCTACATCGACGATGTAAGGGAAATCCGCTCAGGTCTCGAGGCCAAGCACTACCGCGAGGAAGTTGGCCTGTCGGAAGCATGGGCACCCTACTGGTTCACCATTGTATACACAGACACATCTCGCACCAAGGGTCGCATACGGACCATGCACCTGATTGCACCTGATACTGGTGTGTTCAACATGTGGACCGAGACACTCGAGTCTGTATCTCGCAACCGTATCGACATGATGGCTGGCCTGCTGGGCTTTGCAGACAAGAGCGCTAAGCTTGTCTGGCAGCGCGAGATGAAGAAGCGCTCGAATGGTGTCGATGGTCTTGACTCCTTGGACTTCCCAAGCACCATTGAGTTGTGCCGCAACCTGCACATCAACTGCACAGAGGCAACCCTCCGTATCTACTTCAACAAGGCCGCCACTCTAGATACGGGCAGGCTGAACCAGACACAGTTTCTGTACTTCGTCAGACGCCTGAAGGAGCGCAAGGACATCAAGCAGATTTACAAAGCATTCCAGTCAGGATCGAAAGTGGAGATGGACAAGGTCACTTTCTTCTCCTTTTTGCAGCATGAGCAGGGTATCGATGTCACTCAAGATCTGGAGTACTGGTCGAACACCTTCGAAAAGTTCGCACGTGCCACGAAGACCAAGGCGACCCCAGCAGAAGGTGGCGAGATCCCACTGCCCCTGACGATGAGCTTCCCTGCGTTCCAAACATTCTTGACATCGCCTGCGAACTCTGTCCTTAAACCAGTCGACAAGGACCTGCAACTCAACCGTCCGTTGAATGAGTACTTCATCTCTTGTTCGCACAACACCTACCTTCTTGGGCGCCAAGTCGCTGGGGAGTCAAGCACCGAGGCGTACATCACGGCGCTCCAGAAAGGATGCCGATGCATCGAGATTGACTGCTGGGATGGCAGTGATGGAAAACCTGTCGTTATGCACGGCCGCACTCTGACATCAAGTATCTCTTTCCACGACACTATTAAGGTCGTCAACAAATATGCTTTCGTTGAGTCCCAGTATCCGCTTATCCTATCGCTAGAGGTGCACTGCACCGCAGACCAGCAAGCCTCAATGGTCAAGACCATGTGCGAGGAATTCGGTGACAAGTTGGTCTTGAAGCCTTTGGACTTTACATCCCAGACTCTGCCCTCTCCAGCAGAGCTGAAGAACAGAGTCTTGATTAAGGTCAAGGCTGCATCCGAAGAGTTGGACGCCAAGGCCCTGACGAACGAGCTTACCACACGGAGACGAGAACGCAGCTTCAGCTCGCCTTGGTCTCGACCTATTCAAATGAACGACACCGTTATCCCTAATTCGCCCCTCATCTCAAGCCCGCCGTCAATGAGTCCTCCAGAGCGGTCAGCCATGTTCTGGGCATCACCTCGCACCTCCACTACCTCGACCAACAACACCGTACCAACCTCAGCGCTTGTTAGCTCGGCTGAAGATAGCGATAGCCCGCAAGTGACCGCAGCAGAAGAGCGCAAGAAGCCGAAGAAGACCAAGACCAGCAACATCACCAAGCTTCTTGGCGATTTCGGTGTGTACACGAAGGGGTACAAGTTTACCGACTTCACATCCAGTGATGCTCAGACGTACAACCACATCTTCTCAGTCAACGAACGTGCTTTCGAGAAGATGACGAAGCCTGGTTCGCGCGAGAAGCATCTTCTTGAGGCGCACAACATGCGATGCCTGATGCGTGTTTATCCTCACGCTTTTAGGATCAACTCTTCCAACTTTGACCCCCTTAAGTTCTGGAGACGAGGAGTGCAGATGGCCGCTCTCAACTGGCAAACATACGACCTTGGGCAACAGCTCAACGAGGCAATGTTCGCAAGTGGCAACGACCGCACAGGTTATGTACTGAAGCCTGCGGATCTGCGCTTGGAGCAAACACCTACCCAAGGTCACAGCAAAGCGCCCAAGAAGGAGGTCAAATTTGCTGTCAAGATCATCTCCGCCCAGCAGTTACCACGTCCCCGAGGACTTGCACAAGACGCCAACATCAACCCGTATGTCGAGTTTGAGATGTACAGTGCCGAAGACAACGGCGCCAACGCTGTTGGTGTTGGTGGGCAAGATGCCTCTGCACGCAACGGTCATTCAGGTATCGGCAATCCACTACGCAAACGAACTCGCATTGTCGAGGGCAACGGATATAACCCGGTATTTGACAGTGAACTGCAGTTGACTGTTCGCACTCGATTCCCGAGTCTTGTATTTGTGCGTTGGACCGTCTGGAACTCCCTGGATGCTCGCACTACCAACCATGCTCCCCTAGCTACCTTTACAGCTAAGCTCAACAGCATCCAACAAGGCTACCGTCACCTGCCATTGTTCGACAGCAATGGCGAACAGTACCTGTTTTCGACACTGTTTTGCCAGATCAAGAAGCAAGATATCGTTGATGCCCCAGAGCAAGTATTGGAGCGCACTGGTTCCCGCAGGTCGTCCATGGAGCCTGCCAGTCCCTCTATCGAAGCCATAAACGCAAATCCGAAACGCAATTTCGTCAGACGCTTGATAAGTCGAGCTCCTAGCGAGCGCAGCAAGCGTAAAGAGGAACGAATCAGTAGCGAGTCTCGCGAGTCAGACCTAGACTTGATAAGTCGCTCAAGCACGTTTGAGCGGTGATACGCGCCTGTAGATGTACCCCACCCAGCTGACGACGACGTCTACGACATCCCAGACTGTCGCCACGCGTCTCCACAGCCAGGATTAGTTGCTGTTATTGTATCATACATCTCTCATTTGTACGATTGTTCATTCTGGTGTTCATCAGCGTTTCGGACCTAGTCAGGCCCTGTTGTAGCTCACGCCACGGCAGGAACTGCAGCATCTTGTTTTCATCTTCGATTCACGGACGGGATGCCTACATCGAGTCACCAGCGCCGCACACACATCATCCGCCCATGCGATGTCACCAATGCGCATTCGCAAATTGCGCGCTCATTCAAACAACCGCCCACATCGATGTTGAGCACTAGTCTCTTCAGATCAGTCGACAAGACGACGATCTTTGTTTACTTTGCTTTGCATTTCGCATATACCCTTTCCGTTTCTTGCATCTGGGTTGCATTAAGGCCATCGGCGCAGGACCATACAGGAGCTTGCCTGTGAGCCTGCGGCCACGGCATCTGGAGCAACACTTCGGCGATATCCTAGATTTGTTTTTCTTACCCGAGCTTCATTGCTCCGTCATTTTGACACCTGTTGTATTCTCATTATCTCCTTTGTTCACTTCCGTACATTGACGAAGCTACGACTCCACTTTCGATTCGAATCTGCTTACTCCATTTACCCGCAGCACGCGCTCGGTGAGCAGCCAGAAGGGGGTTTAATCAGCATTCTGTGGTTGGCTATTTGTCGATCTTCTCTTCATCATTGTTCGAGGAGCAATTCGCTTTGGGGCGCATGCATGCAGGACATCTTTTCGATGCAGCAGAAATTGCCTTTCATTTCGACTAGGGCCGGGCCGGCTCGTCTGGGTTGGTATGAGAAGGACATTGGCTAATGCACTTCTCGTCCCTTTCCCGAGCATTTACGAGGACTTTCACTTTCAGGAGGGATTCGCATAGGGATAGATGGAAATGGAAGATACCAGCTACGTAACAGCTCAAGGGCCAACATAGACATGATACCATCAGGCTTCTTCATGAATGCCGCACTTTCAAATTTCCGCCGTCTCCACCCTCATGCATTGTATTGCATCGTCGCGGACTGCAAATTTCCATGCGACCTGGTAGCGGCCACCTTCCGGTTCAGCGACATGTGCCGAGATACTGGCCGTGAACTTACACTGTGATTTTTCGTGTCTGCTAAGCACGAGCAAGAGCAAGAGCTGCACGTTCTCCGACGGGTGCTGCCGTCGCATTCGACATCGAAGATTGACATTGACGTGTCTAGCTTCCGTTGCTCCTCCCTAGTGCAGTCCACGCGCTCATTGCTAACCTGCCAGCGCATCTGCACTAAAGAATCGTGCCGAACAGCCTACTCAATCAAGGCCGCAACCACGCAAAGATGCAACCCTCACACCGACCAAGCAAACACGAAATGCGAGAAAAAGCAAAAGTCAAGGTTTGGGGCAAGCAACCAAAAAAACTTCTGCGGCAAGTTGTTCCGCGCTGATGGTTACGAGCGGGAACCGTAGTTCCCCCCGCACCAGGCACGTTCTGGACGCACAAGGGGCGGGTTCTCCGCAAGCCACGCGCAAGCGTCGCTTGGCTGTGGATGCTGTGGGTGTGCCTTGCTGCCTGCTTGGCTGGACCACCCTGACGAACTTGTGAAGCGGCAATTCGATATTTGCTTTCCCGGTTGCAGAAGCTTGATGTGGAGTGCAGATGGATAGAGCGGGTGAGTGCTGCAAGTGTGGCTGTGAGAGCGGCTGTTCGGCCGTGCTTGTGTAATGGAAGTAAGGCGCGAAAGGCTGGGTGCATCCTTGGTATGTCGTGTTCATTGAGTGATACGAAGGGACGACCTACCCTGGTTGTTTCTCACCCCACGCGAAGGAGATCAAGGTTGAGGCATGTTGCACAGTCTGCAAGTGCCTGTTGGGATTGCGCCACACTTTTCTTGAAAGTCATGCTTCCCGTCGCAGGCATAAAGTTTCGATACGATTTTTAGTGCGGTGGGCAAGTTTGGTTGCATGCATGCTATCTTCGTCCCGTAATTGTGCCTTCCTACAGAATGTACAGGCACGAGCCGCTAACCTGGAACTGCTCTGCTGAGCATCGCAACATTTCAGGCAGCCACGAAAGTGGTGAGACGTTGCCATTTGGTCGTTGGTTGGAAGAAGAATCCGGCTCTCTGTTTACACATCAAGGGAGAGTTGGCGTGTGGTCCGTTATACACAGCCGAGTATTACTCAACACGTCCAGCTGAATGTGTTGGGTATGAAAATCGACGATGTGGCCTCGGTTTTGTGTTCCGAAATTCGAGCCGGAGTTGTAATTGGAGTTGTACATCGAGGCTGTTTTTGTGCATGTAGGTCAAGCGGTCAACATCAGATCAGATCGTGTCACGCTCTGATCGTTGAGATTGAACGGTGAGCTGAACCCCGAGGCATAGTCAACAGCAGTTAATGGTGCTGTTGAACAGGAGTTGTCAGGGCCGGGGATTATAAGTACGTGTACAGTGGGTTGGAGGAAAGAATAGCCTACATAGATTGCGGTCTGAGACATGCGCTGCAGTGAGACCAACAGGTCATCTCTCCTTACCCGTCAACGCGCCTTATCCGCTGATTGCGCAATTCGAAAAGAGACCTTGTAGTTTTGACCTTGATTAAGCAACATTGCGAAATGTCTATGCATCATCGCGTAAGTTCTTGAGTTGCGAATGATGGATATGGCAGCTGTTGTATCTAGAAGTGCGACCTTATACAGCGGAGCACAACGGTCGTACACCCGTGGTGCGTGTTCAGCTTGTGTGATTCGATAGAGACGGACATGTGGTATTTTGCTCAAACCAACTAGTTCTGTCCGAATCGGCTGTATAGACTGGAGCAATGCGTCAAGTGTCCAAGTTTCCGGTCAAGCACCTCACTGTGCAAACATGGATTTGCGTGCATGCTGCAACAAATATACTGATCAGCAGACTGCATCGTATGCTTTGAGAGGAATACCTCCATTACTTTTTAGATTATGAGCTGATCTGAACGTGCATGATCGAGCATGTGGCACGTTGCTATGATTCGTTCGTCACTTTTTCTAATAACTGTACCAGCTAACATCCTTCGAGCTGACCATACAGTGCATTATCGTGAACTCGCATTCGTTCGCAGAATGCAATTAGCCGCGCTGCAATGCAGTGTGATAACCCAAATTTGCGGCAGGATTTTCTTGAAGAAGTGCCAAGATCGTGAGGCGTTCGGCATCGTCGAGATGATAGACACTCTAGCAAACCACATGGTGTTTGTGTCATGTCGTCAGCCGAAAACGATATGATGCATGCCGATATGTGGTACAGCTGATGGTTGTCAATGCCGCGTTTGGCGCCTGTGCCGCTGAAATCACCGGTCGTCTGGTAGGTCGAATTCAGTCCATCTATGTGCATATACGTTATCGCTGAACATTATCCGTTTACAGAGCATGCACCCCACATGTTGCTCGTAAATCTGGAACGATCGACCGGCCATTGCCGCGGGCGTTGTTCGCTCCAACCACATTCAAACCACGAGCTTAAGCAGGCCTGGTCAATCCACTCCAGTCCGACAAAAGCGCCAGCCACACTGGCGCGCGCGTGGGTCTCGTTGACTGTTAAGCGGATCTTCGAGTGTGAACATACTTAATAATATCTGAATTTGCAGGTGACGAGCGACACGATGAGGGTGAGTGCTGTGACGGAAGATTAACAAATGAAAAAGGGTCAAGTGCGTCGCCACTGCGAGCCAAAGGTGAAGAATTGACGCTGTGTTTGATCAAGCTGTTGATGTCAAGGTTCGTCCGCTCGGTTGAGGTTTGGCGCTAACCCAGGCCTCCACCACTGGCAAAAATTCAACTCTTTCACAGCTCCGTGACAAGTCTTTCCGAGCGCACAGCAAGTGCAAAAATATCGTATCTCTCCGACGGGGAATCGAACCCCGGCCTCCTGCGAGTTGTTCTGTGAATGACAAGCAGAAATACTGACCACTATACTATCGAAGATATCCAACTTTGAGTTGGGAAGAGATGTGATCGATGATAGAAAGTTTAATTATTTGGTTTATATTGGTAAGCAAAACTACAGTTCCTTTCACTCGCGCTTAACTGTGCAGATAAGGTAGGCTCTTCGGACAGATTTGCGGAAGACCCACGTTTTGCCGAGGCGGAGTGACTTATCGTCGGTTGCGCCTTGCATCCACCATTGATCACCTAAACGTCCTTTCCACCTCGCGAGTCCAACGTTCGAAAGCGATAACACAATTTACCAAATCCAGTCGCCTAGAATAATTAAAACTTCCATCTCGCATTCCCCGTCCTCTTACACCTCGAGTCAGTTTGTTCCCCACTTCCCGAAACGTGCACCTTTTGGTCTCGCCTTCTCCTCCTATGTTGAAGGCTAACGCACAGATCGTTTTTCAAGTCTCTCATGAGCTCTGATTTCGCACACCTCTCAGCAGCCTGTCGTTCCTGCTCTCTCATCCAGACCTCCGCTTCGGCTGCCAGATCACAGCCAGGAAGGGCTTCCCACTCGTCGCCAAATTGCGCAGCCCCCTCTTCGAGTATGGGCTTACATCCTCGCTCCTCACAAGCCACTTCTTGACCGTCACTACAAAATTGTCGATGCCTTCATCAGTCTGATCCTGGTATAGCCTCACCCGCCCATAATAGTATATACGCGCGTCTGTGTCTTGATTTCTACCTGAGCCATGTCGTTGAAGTCATTGTTGTTTAATCGTATTCAGTGGAACCTTGGCCTTTTTGTTTGCGGGCAGCTTTGGTGGTATGCGGGCTATGAATGTGCTTCCGTCCAATAGTATCCTGGGTAGCCAGGACCGAAGTCGTGACGCTGGACTATGTAGACAACCGACATCGTGCATGTTCGTATGCTTCCGGCTGAGGATAATATACTGACAACAATTTTGGGGCACTTGTATACAATTGTGACTTTTGCAGCGAACTGGGGTCTGGAACGGAGCGATTGTTGACGGTCTTATATCGCCTCTCACAACATAGCGTGTTTACGTCATCGTGAGAGCTGTATGTTGCGGAATCTGTCTCTCGACCATTAGAGCTTCCTCTTCTTGCCTGTAGCTTTCTCATCCCAGCTCGAAGCTTCACGGCTAGGTTCTGGGCTTTTTTTTTCACTCCGCCCTTCAGACGTGGATCCCACTTTCGGTGAGATTCCAAGGAGAGGCCACTTCCTCACGTCCACCTTTGCACGTTCTTATGTCACTACGTGGCTTAAGTCATATATTATTCTATTGAGGAAGGCACTGCCCTAGGGCAAGTGCACTTACCTCTGAGCCGAGAACTCCTGTACCAAAAACATCGCCGAACAACAACACAGATAGCAATACAATCCGAGACCACAGCCTCCGACCGACACTGGTCATGCAGTAACATCTTAAGTACCAGTGTATTTATCGTCGCTTACCAGTACTTGAGCATAGTAGAGTCCTGATGGTCTTCGCCATTTTGCTCCAACTGTGCTTCATCACATTCTTTCTTGACCGTTGACCTAGCTGCTGTATTGGCTGCCTCTTTGGTCGCATATATACCGTGGACTTATGTGCTTTCATGGTCATCATCTCGATCGGAGACAATACTCTTGCACTCGAGAGTGTACACGTAGGTCGGTGCTGTTGCGACGATGTAAATTGAGGAGTAGCTGAAGAACTGTGATCGTTGAATGCAGTGAGATAGCGGAATCTGTGAGTTGATCTGAAGAACAGGATGGAAGGGGCAGGTGTTGGACGCATCTCCTATTGGTTCATTTCGACCTCGAACCGTCATCGCACCCCACTCGCCATTAATGTCGCCTGTTACATTGTGCTTACGGGCTTGTTGTGGAGCCTTGATAGAATGAGCTGCTACTCTTTGAGAAACCTGTGCAGATGAGTCGCTTTACCGAAAGGCTGCTTTCGAAAGCAATGCATTACGTTACAGCAGCAATTGCAACCTCCGTATCCATACGGACATGTTGCACTTCGAGTGAGGGTGCACACCAACAAAACGTGCGAAACATTGATCATAACTACTATTATCAGTGCGTCCAACGTATCGTAGTACGGTGAGGTACGATACAACGATACGTCGTAGGTAAGCCGTACGTACTGCAATCTCATTGGCCAAGCCGTAGTCGTAGTTAGTGAAGGTTTGGGAGTCGTAGTACGGTTGTACGGCCCGGAGTTATCGGTTTTTGGCCTGGTATTGCGCGTGAGGCCAAAAAAAGAGCCTGGGAGCTCTATACAGCTGATTTCTTGGTGTTGTAATCGTTGTTGTTGCCTCAGGGTCCAAAAAAAAGCTAAAAAGGAACAATCGACTGCTTTGGTTGCAACCAGACTTGGGCTTCAGAACTTCAACAGCAACAACAATATATTGTATCGCGAGCTTGTACGAAGCATATCGTCTCCTGGATGAAGCTGTAAGCCTCAAGGACCGTGAGTATTGTGAGTATTGCAAGAAGCTGAGCTGAAAGCGGGTGGCTGGGAGGTGGCTGGGAGGTGGCTGGGGTTGAGGTTTTTGATATAGAAACTTCCCCTTACGCTGCATATTGTCAATATCAACAATTCAATATGTCTCAAATGAGAAGCTTCTTACGTGGTGCTCCTTCTACTCCTACAGTCAACTCCTCCGCGTCAAATTGCCGTCCATATCACGCTGCTGCTTCTCGGCGTAGAGATCCATCTGAATCGCCATCTCAATTGCCTCCGGTAACACCCACGCCATTGGGTATATCCTCACAAGCTTCTGAGTCGTATCCTGACGACAACGAGAGCTCCTTTGAGGTTGATTTCCACCGCGTTTACAAGGCTGGTACACGCCTCGAGCCGCAGAGATTGTCGTACGCAGTAACCCACAAGAGTCAACTTGCTGGCAAGCGTTCAATATCTTCAATATGGCGTTATGGAGTACACCTCATGTACAATGACCTAGAAGGTAAGCAAAGGCACTACTGGTTGTGCCAGCGCTGCCACAACGAGCACAACAAGGACTCTGTTAAAGCTGTTGACGGCTACAAGCATATTGTCAACCACATGGCGAAGTATCACCGGATTGACATCAATACAGGCCTCCTGCCTGAGGTTGTGCTGGAGCCACCAAGATGGAGCTCTCCCTTTGACGCTGCAAAGGTTGCTAATTTAAATCGACTGGTATCACATACGCCGTGGCAAGAAGAGCAGCTGCAAGCTGCCCTCATCAACTGGGTAATACTGAAGGATATCAGCTTTGCGGTTGCAACCTCACCCGAGTTACGAGGTTTACTTACCTGGAATCGCAGTGATTGTAACGACGCAGGCCAGTAGGGAAGATGTCCGAAGTAAGTGTGAGTCCACTGCGAGGCATATGGGAGTGCTGGGACGTTGAGAACACTAGGATTGAATTCCCTACACCTATAGGTCTTGTACGAAAGGATACAGAAAAACTACTCTATCTAACGACTGTGCCAAACTGATTAAGTACACAGTTCGGAGGGGAATCGGAACTACCCTTGTCCAGTTGACAAGGAGGTAGTTAGCGACAGGAAGGAGAGCGGTGTGCTGAGACCCGCAGGAACCAGACGCTATCGGAGCGCTTTCGGTCGAAGGCGTTACAGCGATCTCCTGAAGGCGCTGCCTACCTCACGCTCAACAATTGCTGAATACACAAGATCAACCCTTGGGCGCCGGAGAGAGGAGATCAAGACGCTCGTAACAACAGCAGCCAGTAAGATCAGTATAAGCGTGGACGTTTGGACGTCAAGTAACCACCTGAGCTTCCTTGGAGTTGTAGCTCATTTTGCAGGTAAGTCCTTAGTAATAGCTTTGTATTAACAACAACTAATGACTGCAGACGCTCAATACAAGCAGCGCGATATACTCCTCGCGTTTTGCAACCTCTATGGCGACCATACAGGCGCTGCGCAAGCAGCTGTTATCCTCCAAGTCCTTGAAGGCTTCAAAATTGCACCGCAACTCCACTGCTTTGTTGGCGATAACGCCTCCAACAATGACAACGCGCTCATCCAAGGCCTCAACAAACACAATGATATTAACCTTACCTCAAGCAACCGTATATGCTGTGCTGGGCATATTATAAACCTTGTCGTTAAGGCAACGCTGTACGGCAAAGGCGTGAGCCAGTTTGAAGCCCAGCTTGCAGCAGCGTCCCCAGCTGAACAATATGAGATCTTCCGATCCCATGGAGTTGTGGGCAAGCTACACAACTTTGTAAACGCAGTTTGCGCCTCTCACAAGCGTCGTGAGTTGTTCCTCTTGCTCCAGAAAGAACTGCACAACGACGACGACGACTTGTACACCTACAACACGCTCCAATTGCGCCAGGATGGAGGCGTCCGCTGGCATTCAGTATACTACATGCTGCTGCGCTGCCTTGAGCTTCGTAATCCGATTACGCGCTTTATGACAAGGTTGCAACAACAGCCTTCGCAAAGGCTCGATGATGAGTACAACCCGCTCACCAATGAGCTCAGCAGTGAAGAGTGGGAGGGCGTACAGCAGCTCGTCGACTTTCTACAAGCTCCAGTGGAGATGACGAAGCGCCTGGAGGGCAACAACAGCGCGTCTGGGTTTGGGTCGTTGTGGCAAACCTTGACAAACCTGCAAGCTTTGTGGAATCTCTACAGCTCTACTAAAGCTGGGTTTGACAACCTCGACAACAGCAACAGCGACTACTTTATTGCTGCTGTAAAACACGGCCTTGAGAAGCTTAGCTCGTACTTCGAAAAGCTCATTATTGAGCCTCAGGTCAGCTACTACGTCATTGCAACTACCCTCCACCCTGCCCTACGCCTTGCCTGGTTTCAGACTCACTGGAAGCAGTACGCTGATTGGGTAAAGTGCGCAAAGGACTCTACAAACAGAGTTTTCAAGCAATATATGGCGGAGGAGATAGACGACGATGACATGGCGTTGCCGCTGCCGTGTCGCAAGGTACCTGGCGGTAACGCTGACCTCTACAGCCAAACGATGGCCGTTGATCTCATGTTTCTTACCGGCTCAAAGTCTCACAAGCGTCAAAAGCGTGCAACCCAGCTGGAAGAGTACTTTGACGACCTCCGTGAGGACCTCACAAACGCCAGCGAGCAGCAACTCGCTCTCCTCCACAATCCGTGGCAATGGTGGCTCGAAATTGGGCGCAACAAGTACCCTGTAGTCTTCAAGATCGCCACCGACTACCTCTCAATCCCCACCACCAGCTGCGAGTGTGAGCGCAGCTTTTCAACCGCTAAACGGACGATTACAAGCGATCGCAACTCCCTCAGCGCAGCTACAATCAAAGCTCTACAACTCCAGAAGAACTGGTTACGTCATGGTGTAGTTGACAGCGAGGTGCTGAAGTTACAACAACACGTACAACGCTGGGATAGCAAGCAAGGCAGCAGCAATAAGAGCAGCAATAGCAAGGTTGCTGGCAATGGCAATGAGGTAGCTGGCAACAGCGGCAACAACAGCTATTTGGGCAACGACGTGAGTTGAAAACTCTATCCCTACCGCCTCCTCCAGCTCCTCCAACGCCTCCAGCAGCTTCAATTCACTATACAAGCTCCTTGGCATGCCCGATTAGGTATAAGTGCAGTCCGTAGGTGGCCACTGCGGCCGTACTACGACTACGACTCGTACTTGAAGAAAATTTTGATACAACCGTACGTACAACACCAGAAATCGAGCCGTACGTACCTCACGATAGCCTTATTTGGGCCGTACTACGGTACGTTGGACGCGCTGACTATTATATCCTTCTCTTCTTGGTCGAATGCTAGCGAGTATGGAGCCGTCAAGCCTCTTTCTGGCAGCCTTCTTCGCAATTTCATCCGCGGTCTTTTGTCTTGGATGATAGTCGTCATCGTTGACTTCAAGTTCGAAATCGAACTCATGATCTTCGCTCGAGTAAGGATTCCAATCTTCTTCTCGGAGCTGCATCATTTCTACGGTGACGCAGGTCAATTCGATGGCATGATCAGGACCGTTGGCTCCAAGTGATTGACTCAGTGCCAAAAGACCGTAATAGTATCCTCGTTTGTCTTCGCGTTCTTCGTCCAATGACACGACACCGTTCCCATCTTCGGTCTCTTGGATAACGCGAATTAGCACCTTGGCTTTCTTGTTGACAGCTTGCTTCGTCATGTGGATACTACGGGCATGTTTTCGCCCTACCTCATCTGAGTAGTGTGGTCCAAAGTTGTGACGATGGACAAGGTAATTGTATTCAGCTGGCGGCATGGCGTTTCTGCTGCGTGCTTTATTGTGTGATAGGGAGTCTTGCAATGTTGGTGTTGTTGTCAAGGCAAGGACGGTTGTGTCGATGCGCGCACCACCCTCACGACTCGACGCGTTTACGTCATCGCCAACTTTCTCTTCATATTCACATTATCCTGTTCATCTCCAGTCTCAACCTTGCCTTCGTCCTCGGGCTGACGTTGCGATTGGTCGACCTCCTGCTCTTCGTCTGGTGCGTGTTTCTTCGGCACAACTGGCCATTTTTCAACGAAAACTGATATAGAATCCTTTTCACGGCAATCACCCAGAGCGTCGCTCATGACCTCGTATCTGTAGAAAAGACGACTATCTTCATCAGCAGCCCCCGCGCTGCTAGCGTCTTCTTCGCCGGCCTGACCAACCTGAACAACTTGCACAGCATCCGATTTGTCTGCCCCTTCATCGCCGTCCTCTTGGCTATCATCCTCTTCGCTTACGTCTTCCTCAATTCCTTTCTGCGCCTCGATTACCTCCAGTACGGCTTCGTTGAACAAAGGCTCTTGCCGCACTGTTCGCAGCTGCTCTGTCAGCATTAACATCATGGATATCGGTTCTCCCTTGGTCATCCTCGTGGTCAGGGCCGAAATCTGTCTATTTCACGATATAGACGAATAGGAGTTGTCATTTGTGCGATGAGACAAGAATTTGAGAAGTTTTGCTTTTGTGATGGTGAGGTCTTGAGGCGCGCTTGCTCTGAAATTGAACTTTCCTTTCCGGGAGCGCCCTACGTCTTCGCGCAGCTCGACCAAATCTTCCGTCACTTGCTCATGGTCTACAGCTGAATGCACCGCTGCACTCAGTGTACAACCGGTTGACACGCGACACCGATGTCTCTATCAGATTCCTGATATTTAATTTCTATCGAATTTCAAGGCCCTCTGACATAGCAGCTTACAGCTCCACTTTTCTTTTTTATTCATCCTACTTCTGGCCATCATAAGGTACCAGTTATGTTACGTAGGTTCAAAGGGCTGGCAATGCTCAGGTGTGGACAATTTATACAGCCTCTCCGACATTATCTGCATCCTCCTCTGCCGCCTTTTCTCCTTTTTTTGAGCTTCTCTTCTAGATTTTTTATCTCGTCTTCAACTTTCTAGCTTTACCCATTTCGTTTTCTCTCGGCTCTTCATGATCTCCCACCATCGTCATCAACTTGTTTCCTGCTCGCAACACAGACTCTGTTCGTCTTGGGAGATTCGCACCCTACACACCCTCCCATTCCTTGCGCAACTCTTCTTCGAATGCTTCGAGCGTTCGCTGTCCGGCACGGTACAGGGAGCTGCACTCATCGGTTTTGTATCGCGTCTGTCAACATACGAATGACCGGTCGATGCTATTTGATGCGTCAATATTCCGTCTCATGTCGCAACTGTTATGATGACATCCGAAGCTTTGCAATGCACGCGCCGTTTCGTTTTGAGGGAATCAGCATGGCAGCACTATAAGGAGGTGACGTTAAGAGCGCATCGATGTGAAGGAAGTAACACTAGGCAGCTGGAGGCCGGTAAGATCAAAACACAGCATAGCAGAAGGTAAGTAACGATGGAGCAGTGTGTTCATCTATTGTGGTAGAAGCTCTAAACTAGACTCCGTTGCACTCCCAACTAGAATTTTGTACGTGTTATCTACGATGACAAAAATGCCGAAATCAACTACTTTGCTGTACTGGCTCGCAGATTCGATTCACGACATCAAGAATGGAAAATATAAACGAACCCTCCTCCGAAACGTTCGGCTCAAAAGCCTAGTTGAGGCACTGCGAGTACCACTGGTTGACTGCCTTGCAAGCACCTGAAGCGCAACATTTAGCACCAGAAAAGCCCTGTCCACCGCATTGTCCGTAGAGGGCCGCGCAGCCAGCCTGAGCGGTAGGCTTAGCAGCAACTGGAACAGTGGCTAGAGTTGTGGGCTTGCTAGCAGGTGCAGTGGCGACCTCCTTGGCTGCGGTGGTGGCCTGAGGGCTGCTGGCGCCTCCGTTGGCTCCACCAGCCCAAACGGCGGGTCCGGGCATGGGGAAGGCCTTGCGTCCGTTGTAGATGCTGAAGTTGGCATAGGGGTCGGTAGCCTTGTATGCGCCGGGGAACTGTTCGATATATATCAGCATCCATCTCATATACAATTAGCTTGTCTTGCTTACCTTCACCATGGGACCAGGGGTACCGTTGCCGCCACTCTGAACCTTGACCTGCAGGCACGAGACGTAGTGCTCGGGTTGGTTGACGTGAGAGCGGTGAACACCGATGTGCTCCATACGTACAAGGTACTCTCCGTTGGGAGTGTCCTTGGGGATCTTCGCAGCAATCCAGTCCCTGTCATAGTCGCACCAAGCGGTAGAGGTGAAGTCGCCACCGTCGCAGACACCCTCTTCGTAGATCTTGAACCAGTCTCCAGATCCATCGTACGACTTGACACTTCCCGGAGCCTTGGACATGTAGACCAGACCAGGACCGGGATGCTGGAACTTGGCTCCGACAGCCAACTTGAGACGAACCTCCTCACCCGCGTTCACAGTCAGAACTTCGGTCTTGCCAGCGGAGGCGAAGGCACCTTGGTTGCAGACGATATCGGGTCCGTCGACGGTCGATCCATCACGGATGTCGGCCGCGGGGTTCGAGGAGAACTTGATCGGGTTGTACTTGACAGCACGACTGGACTGTCTGACGTACTTGAAGGCGGGTTGCTGGACGCCGCCAACAATGTTGGTGTCGAAGAAGTAATGGGCGGAAGCCACTTGGGCAACGGCAGCGAGAGCTAGGGTGGAAAACTTCATTCTGGCCGAGCAGTAATGGATGTTTGGGAGAATTGAAAAAGAACGATTGAACGAATGTAGAGAGCGACTGAAGCGAATGTACTGATGGTTGGGTACTGAAGCTCCTTCAGACGGGTATGGTTTTTATACCACATCTCTTGATGATGTGCTTCAAGCATCTGTACGCTGCCAATCTTGTTTGACTGGAGATCGATGGCCCTAAGAAGATGAATAAGGAGACAGCTTCATGGGTTTGATGACTCTCTTGGTCACTCTCCCATGGTTTCGGGCACTCTGAAACTCTTGGGGTGTTCTCAGGTTCAACAACGCTGTTAGCGCCCGCTCTGGAAGCGCTTGTACCTGCTCATTCTGTCAATGAAGTCAGTGCAATGATAGCAATCTTTGGTCATGCCAAGGTCGCTTATGTCCATAGAGTTTCAGCCTCAGAGTGCCGGTACCCGTTAGTTTCTCGTTTGCAGATTGACAGGCGTAGCGTCCGGGCCGTTTCGTTTGAGAACATAACGATGCACAACACTTCGCAGTCGTTGGATGGTTGCAAAAATTGGGCGAAGGATTTGACGTATGAGCGTAAGCTTCGGAAGGCATGCAGTTGAGTATGCTCTTCACTGAGACCTAGATGGGTTTACACTGCCCGTCCGGCATACACTTCACCACTAGACTGCATATACACTGAATTACACCACACTGTGTAAACTAATCAGATTTGTGTGGGTGAAACCTACTGAAGGAGGTTGGAAGGTCTAGATTGAAAGGTTGATGAGATCAGTACCCGCTTCTACACGGAACTTTCACCGCCACCCCTGATAGCGGGTAGGGTACCCACCACTAGGAGAAAAGAGCATCAAAATGATCGAAGCTACATTCGGTTCGACTGCTGAGTTCCGCAATGTTGAATTCCCGTAGCTTTGATTGGAGTAACGAGCTAAACCACTGCAACTCTCAAGTGGCAGAAAAAGCGGAGGCAAGCGCGCATTTCCCAAAATACAGAGGGCGTTCCAGGCTTGAGAAAAGCTGCTCGCAACCTAAAAAAAAATGACACAAGATTTCAGCAGCTTCTGAGGGCGTTGTAGAGCATCTATGATTGTGCTGAAGGCCTCTAGCAGTAAGGTCCAAGGCTTTTCCTGCAACGCAAAAGCCCGTTTGAGCATGCGCAGTGTCTCCGTCTTACCGTCTCCCTGTACCATCCGCTGGTACCGTCTGATCCCTACTCAAAGCTCTTGTGACACAACTCTCTCTACCTCCTTCTCAACTCTTTGCAAATTTTTCAGAGCTGATACGCCATTTGTTTGTAATGCGCACGGCACAGTCACCAGCACGAAGATTGACCACCGGTTGATCGACAGCTGTACACTGTCCCGAGGTCAATCTGCGATACTGGCTAATCTAGCCCAGTTCGTATTGGAGATTGTGCTGGCAATTGACAATGAAAGTCTCCTTGTTGAATGGAAGCGATGTTGGCCGGAAGCTTGCTGCCGCAGCTCGCCGTCACCAGTGGAGCAAACTTAGTTTGGAAGCCTTCAGCCGAGGTACGCCTATTGTCGAGTCATGCACCGCACTTTCATTTGTCAGCCCCACCCATAGAGTATTTCGAGTGAAGCAGTGTTTACCTACGGTAATCTGGAAGCTTGCTTGCGAAGCCAGCATTGAGGGTGAACACCACAGAGTGTAATCAAGGAGTATCCATGGATCAAATCGGCAATTCACAGGTGACGGATAGTGAAATCTATGTAACAGGATGGTGTCGAAGTGCCCAAGGCATTCGCAAGAAGATCTTACAGCACAAGCACAATGCAAATCTAATTTCACAAGCAAGATGCTCTTTTACCTCTACACGTTGGCTTCCCTCCTGACTCTGCTACCGCCAGCGCAGTAGCCAACCTAATCGAACACCCAGCGGACCTCGCGGCTCGCCAAGCTGCGTCCCATTGCGGACAATACTCCTACTACGCAGCCAACGGCTACGAGTTCAACAACAACTACTAGGGTAAAGGATCAGCTAATTCTGGCAGTCAATGAATCACTGTCGAGAGCACTTCTGGCTCTGGCGTTAAGTGGTCAACTACCTGGGACTCGCAGGGCGGCCAGGACAAAGTCAAGAGCTACGCCAACGTTGGCAAGCAGTTTGCGAAGGGACTTGTAGTCGGTAACATCAAGAGCATCCCACCAGCACCCAGTAGGACTACCCCTAGAGATGGCGTGTGGGCGAATGTCGCCTACGATAACTTCACTGCTGCAGACCTCAATCATGACAAGAGCAGTAGTGATTATGGACTGATGGTTTGGTAAGTTCGCAACAAGGTTGTTGTTTGACCTACCGTTGACGCTGTCAAGGCTTGCACGCATTGGCGGCATGTACCCAATCGGCAACAAAGTCACCACTGTGAACCTCGCCGGCTTCAACTGGGACCTGTACATTGGACCCAATGGCTCCATGAAAGTGTTCAGCTTCATTCCCGCCGATGGGTCGTGGAAGTTTACCTTCTATGCAGACATGAACGTGTTCTTCAACTACCTAGCAGTAGTCAGGGGTACCCCATAACAAGCAAAACCTGGTTCGTAAGTGGCCGTTGTGGCGTTGATTGCACGTTGAACGCATGCGCTGACTTTATTGAATTCTTCCAGCAAGGTACGGAACCCTTCACTGGTGGCAAAACGAAGTACCTAGTATCGAGTTACTCTGCCAGCGTCAACGTCTGAGATCCGTTGCTGTGAGAACGAACACGCGCAAAGGTCTGGAGACCTGTACACAACTCTGGTTCACTGAGTGACTGCAACCCTGTCGTAAGCCTGTGTTGTGATTATTGCGTTCCAGGCTTGATCTTCCATATGCTTCTGGTAGGACAAGGCAGGAATTTCGGAATAACATGCGATGCATACCGTTCATTACCATAAAACACGAGTCAGAGTCAACCGACGTAGATATGTTCGGCGGATCCACATGTCCCGCAATTTGTTGGAGCTGTTGCCATGTTTTCGTGTTGCTATCCGTGTTACTCTTCCCGTTTCGCTCTATCCGTGTTGTCCTTCCGTGAACCACGCACTCCCACTCTTCCTTGACTATCCAGCGCTCTTGCCCCAGACCTCCGCCAAGATCTGCTCTTGGTTCCCACCTCCACGCTTTTATTTACGAACATGCTGGTGTAAATTTGCATTGAACGCAATAGCGAACCAAAGCAGGCCATGAGATCCAGCTAACTAGGGTCTTTAGATTCTTCGAAAGCGTTCAATTGACAGTCGTAACCATACCCAAGCTCGCGATTCAATCTTCAAGCGCTTTCAAAACATCCGAGTCATAGACAGTTTCAGACCTCTTCGTCCCACCTACACAGGTCCAGCTCGATGACCTCTTCGGATCCCCAATACCCATATACTCAGGCTTTGCAGGCCACTTACAAAGCTGCCGCGTGATGGCCTCACCTGCACTGTCGACGGTCGCCGCATCAATCGTCTCTGGCGCATTACCCCTTTCCACCCAATCGACCAACGCGGCAAGAGGATCGGTAGGCAGTGGTCCAAGGCCTAAGGCACAATGACCGACACCAGGTGCGAGGAAGAGGCGGTAGAATTTGTCAACTTCGTTGGCACCTCCCATCTCTCGTTGCACTCGCTTGCGGTACTCAACCGTACTCTGATACGGGATAACGTCATCGGTAATGCCGTGCCAGGTGAGAAGTTTAGTACCTGAGTCGCGCAGAGCTGTGAGGTCGGTAGATTCGGTGGCCATAGTCCAACTCCACTCCACGGCGGCTTGTGCCCATAGCGCGAAATAGTCAATCGGTGTAATGGAAGACAAGTTGAAATTGGGCGGCAGGAGAAGGGTCTCGAGCACAGGCAGAGCGATCGGGCCCTGGGATCGTACTCCTCCAGGAGTAATGGTGATATTTGCGAGAGTTGCGTAATTGGTCCCAGGCGTGAGACCATGCCAGATTTGGGCCCCCAGTGGACTTCGTGGGCCGTCCCTGATTTTGCGCACGACATCAGCCATTGACGCTGTAACCTTGACCTCCTGCCCGTCGCACACAAATTCGTTGCCGACCAGACTGCCTGGGTCGAACTTGCAACCATCAGGATCCATAATCACACTGTCTTCGATCCCATCCAACATATCGCATGCCTCCATGATCTTCTTTGTGAAGTACGCGAACTCGCAGCCAGATACATACGTATCGGCCTCTTTCATGACGAGCTGTGGCCAATAGCCACCCATCGAGATTGAGACAAGATTCAGCGCTGGCGCAGCAGCCATGATGCCATCCAGGAGATCCGGATATTTCTGGGCCAGCATGTATCCTTGCCTTCCTCCTTGTGAACATCCATTCCAGTACGAGTGACGCGGTCTCTCTCCATAATACTGCTCGACGATATTCTTGCCAATCAGTATCTGCTCGACAACACTCCGCTGCATGAAGTTGTGCCACAGGTCCCAGTTTATCGTCCGGTCGGGGTTGAGTACCCATTCTAAGCTGGTCCAGCTGAACTCATCATGGCCTCCGTCTGTCGACACGGCAGCATACCCTTGCTGGATGGCTGGAGCGAGCCCGACGAAGGCCATACTCGTGGCGAAGCCTCCGCCGCCGGTGACCTGGAATCGGGAGTTCCAGTCATTGAGCTTGAGTGGGAGCCAAACTCGAACTAGCACATCGTCGTCGGCGCCGGAATGGGTGAGATGAATGTTAACTTCGCAGAAGTTGAGGTTCGTAACGGGAGGCAAAATGTCCAGCATTGGGGTTGAATAATTGTTTTGTAGTGTGGTGGAAAGCGAGAGTATCGTTACGCCATTAAGAATAGGATTGAGAAAAGCTGATGGATCGCATACGAGCTCCGATGATGTTGTCGATCCTTTTGGTGAAGGTACAGTCTTGTCTTCTGCGCGCGCTCCCTGCAGCACCAGCAGAGACAGCAGCGTGCTAATACCCAGCATCGCAGACTTGTCTGAGAAGTACTGTATAAACAATCTCGGAGCAAACTGAGGAGCCTCAGCTTGCGACAGAAAATATCCAGGTGGCGGCCACGGTCGAGAGCAGAGGCTGCTGAACTAGAAGGAACTCGGGCTGTGTACTCATATCGACTCATTTTTGCACCAGCGGAGTCTGACATGCAGTATTGCTGTAGCCAAGGACTTGGCAACACGAATGTGGTGACAGGACGAGATAACCCATGTTCCTTTAATATAGAGCTCTCGAATATGGAGTAATAGAAGTACAAGTGCAATGTACTTACCAAACAGGGCTCAGCGGACAAATCGCAACTCTGTCCCTTGAGTCACCGCTGCTCTATCACGATTCGTCTCATGTCTACCAGATGGAGGTGCTAAAATATGACCTCTTTGTTACTGTACGTAAGATACAACCTGAACTGTATGCAGGGCCTCGTTGTCCAAGTCTGTTACTCACGCATATAGTGGCTGTACGTGCAGAACAGAGAGACCGAGGTCAGCAACCTACAGCTAACCTATTACAAAATATATCTCTGCGTCGGCGGCGTCTCGGGATAGGCTACACGCGAGGATGGTCGTGCAAAGCTCACAGGTGATGAGCGAGATGAGCTGCTGTTGTGTCGAAGGTTTGAGTGCACCCCGCATTGACCGAAGGCGCGAATCAGCCCAGCTGCGGTCCGATCCTGAGGTGACTCAGGCAGCACAGAGCGTCACTACACAATGATGCTCGTGTCTAGCACAGCAACTTCGGCGTGTACCCATATGCCTTCGCAGTACCTCTCACGGTGACAAAAACGTTGCAACAGCTGTCATTGCTGACGCTCTGCTCCTAATCACCTCAGTACCTTTTCGCGTCAAGAAAATGGTGCGCTTCTAGTTGTGCTTCAAGCCACCCTCATCAACACGTTCTCCGCAATCTAGAGGTTCCACTCTGGAGACCGTGAGTTCACAATAATGCATAGTCACTGTTGTTGAGATATGAAATAGAGGCAATATGTCTCTTTACTGAGCAACCCTCCACGTTTCTGGGATATCACGAATCCATTCTTCGAGCGCGAAGTCATTCTGGGCAACATCGCACATTCAGTTATTGTCGTCAGATCACTTCTCCAAAGCGTACAACTCCCTCGGCCTTCCCGCACTATCACAGCTCGCAAACTTCCACCACCCCCAATTCCAAGCTCCCGCCACATTCACCAGTCCCCACCTCACCGGCGCTGGCATAGGCGGCCAATTCGTCCACCTGCCCTCCTCATACGTCGTGTCCAAATTCATCAAGAAAAACGGCACAACATCTGTCGTCCCGGCTTTGGTTACGGTCTTCTTGCCCCACGCCTTGAAAACACTTGCAGCTGCTGCCTCCTCGGAGGAGCCGGAAGTAGGCGCGGAGGGGAGGGAGGCGAAGGAGGAGATGTGGGTGATTTCAGAGTGGAAGTGGTGTTCGAAGGGTTGCTGGAAGGACTCCATAATCGTCCGCAGCTCGGTACCATCAAATTCTGAAGGTGCGGACAGATTCAATAAATACTTCTCATACTTGGCCAGACCCTGAAGGAAAGTTTGGTGCTCTTTGTGCGTCGCGCCCCATACCTCTTCTTCTTTCCCACCCAACACCTCCGCGACTTTCGGGAACAGCTCAGCCTCCTCATCATCATGATGGCTCTTCACAAACCTATACCACGTCAATGCATAACCCACAAACGCAGCCTTATCCTCCTCTTTGACATGTGGGGCTTGCAGATAAATGGAGTTGTAGCCGCGGAGGATGGCGTTGTGGATGTGCGCCATGTGTGTTGCACCGGTTGTGAAAATGTCGGTTTTGTTTGTCAAGTACTGGGGTGTTGGTACCAATTTGCATGGTTGGTATGCCCATGGCTTTGCAGGGGATGGTGGTGTTGTGGTCATTGTGAAGGGTGCGCGTTCGAGGAAGATGGCCAGGATTGTGGCTTGTACGATGATAAAGACGGCGAATTGGTTGGTGCGAGACATTGCATGCCTTCTCTTCTGAGATAAGGCATGTTGGGCGATATTTTTATACACCTGCGCATCGCAATAGCTGTCGGAGTTGCAGGGGTGGGTCGTGAGAGGTGATGGTGGTGTGATATGGTCAGACCATATGACGGCATGCTGATTGGTCTGCGCTATGCATCGAGACCCATATTTTTGACGACCATGGCCTGCAAGTAAGAAAGCTGAGTAGATAAGTATATTGCTGTGAGATCTGTAAAGAATAGCCATCCTCTAACGACATGTGCGTTGCCTTCTGCAGCGGGAGTATCCAGGATCCCAATTGGCTTCGGCTCCCAGCCATGATAGATCATTATAGACGAGGCCAATTCGTGAGACCCTCCGTTGCGCCTGTCTGGATAGAAATAGAGTCTGCGGGAGATGCCCAGCACCTTACCCCATTTGTGACCCGTGCGCAAAAGTGAACCGTCTATGCACCCCAACCCTTCCTGAGCGCCCACTCCCAACCGCCCCATCCAGCATGGTCCATAGGCCGAACCCTGAAAGGCTCGGTCTCTCCGAGATACCCCATCTTAGGTAGGTCCCATTGATCGCCATAACCAATGCCATAGAACCTCATACCGTACCTGGACCCGTCTAGCTGAGCCGGAGTGAGAGCACGCTCGTCGCAAGGCAGATCGAAAGCAGTGGCACTTCTTAGATCGCGCGAGCTGTCAAGTTTTGCAAGTGTGTCCAACGATGGCTCTGGCAATTCGTTCATGAGGGCGAGAACATCGATATCGGCGGCATCAATGTCGGCTACTGTTGGTGCTAGCTCAGGCTTGTATACTTGAGCGGGTGGAGGCCAATTGAACACGTTATCGACGATCACTTGTGGTTGCTCGGCAGGCTGGTCATTGTATGCCATGTAGTCAAGACCCTCGTATATCGGCGCAGAAGGCGTCCAGTGTGCATCGTCGGGGTAGATATCCGCCGCTGAAGGCATAGGGCCTTGATCCATGCGCTTTGCCCGTGATGTGCGCCGAGGATATCGTCTGTTAGATGGAATGCGCATGTGGTGTCGATAAGACGCAGAAGAGGCAGAGCTGCGACGGCGCTGGTGCTGGAAGGCAGATGGGCCCCTGGGAATAGTGATCGTTTCGGTTGGAGCGGGTATGGCAACACGATGTGAATTGGGCACGTCTCCCTCCTGAGTTGACTTGACTTCAGGCTCCGCGCGGGTCGTCTCCGTGTTTCCGTGAACAACAGTTCGAGTAGGCGAAACTGATGTAGAAGCCGGCGGTTCGGACGGAGTGTGTAGATCCTGGTTTTGTAGGAAATCTGCAAGGCCTTTGGCGGTCAGAGGCTTGTCCAGTGCCCAGCCGATCAGCTTACCATACAGCGCTCCAGGATGCGCCTGCGATAATCGAGACTTGTGGGATGCAGCTGGAGACGCCTCGTCGTTGGGGTCGACCTTCATCGCCGGAAGACCAAGACCGGCACTCAGTTCGTTGATGTCTACTGCGACGTAGTCCGGTTGGGGTTGTGGCTCTGGGAACGTAAATGGAGGGAGACTGGGCCTTGGACTTGCAATGACCTCTACAGCCTGTGTTGTCTCTAGTGCCGGCGTATGCGGTGCTCGAATTTCTTGAACGTCGGGGTGCTCTGTGATGGTCAGCACGGTCTCGGACACAAAGTCTGAACGTCGCTCACCTTCAAGCTTCTTTACCAGAGCCTGCACATCCGGAGACAGAAAGTCCTCCAGACGGACCGGCGCTGGCGTCAGTGGATCCCTGCGGTAAAGCGACCGCATACTCCCCGCGGCATGGAACGGCGAGTCTGGTGCATAAAGGTTAGATGTGCACAGGTTCGATGAAGATGAGGAACACTCACAGTTGAACATTGGTGCCATCGGAAACGCTGAATCTGGAACTTGTGGTGGTGTTGGTGACGTAGTTGGAACCGGTGCAGCGTCTTGCGGAACGGGAGAACTGAATACTGGATTAAAGGCGGCTGCTTCGGGGTTGAAAGATGTCGTCCGCTGCCGTAATACTGAGATAGAACGCTCCATTTTGTTGATGTTACTTTTGCGCAGCAGTTAGCGAATCGCGCTTTGAAGGCATTCAGGCTAGCACGGCCAGTGAATGTGTGCAGACTTACGTTCATTGTTCACACCATGGCCGTTTGGGGAGAGGAAAAGACAGACGAACGTGAGGCGGCCTCGGCGGTGGTGTGAGAGGATGTCGAGAGATGTAGAGCTTTACGAAGAAGAGATGTAGTAGCTTTGTTGGGAGTGTAGCGACGGGGCGATGGTGTCGAAGATGTAAACTACAGTGTTGAAGGAGACGTGGCTATCCCAACCAGCGTTGCTATTGAAAAGTGGCTTGACATTTGAGGTGAAGGAGCTGACAGTCACATGAGACCAGCACGCTTCTGGTGAGAGTCGTGGTTGCGAAGGTGAAGGTGGATAGAGCGAGCAAACGGGCGCGTATGCCCATCTGCTGCGCTTGGCATTGTAGCTTCGTCGGGTTGTGTGCTGGTGTGTTGTCTCTCAGTGCTGCCTACTTTCACTGCTGTGTTCGCTAATATTACCCATAGAAGTAACATCGCCTGTAAAATCGTGCAGTATGTCGCGACATTCCGTTCCATATACTTGCGCCCTCTCGTCTATATCCAAATCGCCTGAAGTTTTTCGATTCACAACATGTACTCCGACCACCCAGAGCGAACCGCCAACCGGTGCAAACACAGCATACACTCTTCATCGTCACCCCGCACACCCTGGTGTCCTCTATACATCACTTCCGTAGCCCAAGCGAACCTTGTGAGAGCTCGGAAAAAATTGAAAGCAGAAGGAGGGACGGATCCGCCTACGTACATGCGCGATCGTGCCTGAAACATGGCACGACTCCAGTACATCGTCACAAAACAAAGAGTTGAAATGGCGATGCGGAAGGACTGGTTGCACCAGGAGCGAGAGAGGGCCCGGGAGGAAGCGCATCAGCAACACCTGGCCCAGTATAGCATCTTGCTACTCCGTCAATCGTACCTTTCGGCTTGCGCGGTATGTGTGACGCTAAAGAAGCTTGGCCAGCCGTATGCAGAGTCGGTCGTTCCCTTCACGATAGCCTAGTGGGAGCGGCAAGGTGCGCTTGTAGCTGATCAGGTCCTCGTGCCTAGGGCGCCTCCTCGTCCAATGACGAGCAAACAGCGTCTACCACAGCTGGAAGCAAGGCGTCCTTCGCACCTACGCGACTTCATGCAGAGTTATCCATCTATGAGGACAGTTTCGGACGCGCACTGGCGAACGTGGGAGGATCGCTGCAAGATTAATAGGGCCGTCCGGCGCAAGTACGACCTACCTGACGACTTCGACATCGACCCTGAGTTCTTCGCGCATCCGATCTTAGCTTCATACGCTAGGTATCACCATAGACAGATCCAGGATGGTCAACATGCGGGCAAGCGCCGCGCCAATAGGCACAAGCGACGTGCAGAGGATTATAGACCTTCTCGTAGCTCCCTTGCTTTGCCGAATCTGGCTGAGGATGTGCCGACTGATGAGGCTGATGGGGAGAAGCCAAGGCTTGCGGAGGAAGCTGCAGAGCTACGGCGGTTGACGGATGTTGTAGCAACTGAGGTGGGATACCTGTACTTCGTAGGCGAGGACGACCTGCTTGAGAGGTGGAGCGACGATGTCGAGCAGAGCGACTTGTCTCTCATTTACAGAAAAGTGGAACCAGGCATGGACATGGGGCAGCTAGACGAGGACCATGTCAAGACAAAGGAAGCAGAGAGCGAAGAGTTGTAAAGCAGAATATGCGTAGATGCGAGGAAGATGCTGTTGACAGAGGTCATATAGATGGTTCAGAAGCCCGGTTCTTCTGTTTAGGTAGCACACACATCTGGTCCAGCAGTGCGAACAAAGTGATGCTCGAGAAGATCAGTGCGGTGTTGGAGGGACGGTGAGAGCAGACGTCGCGCTAGCGATCAACTCTCAGGCGCGTCATGGGCTTGGCAAGATGGTCTTCAACTTTTTGTCCAGCTCTCTCACGAACCACTCCTGGAGTCTTTGACTGCAACGGTATAACGACATGGGCAAAGGAACCGACAAGCTCTACATCACCCACTCCGAGTGGTCCTCGGCCGACTCCTTCGGCAATGCGCGCGGTGCAAACGGCGCAAATCGAGCCTCTGCCGCCGGCCTGTCTTCGACTTTCAAGCGTCTTCCGTTCAACTACTGCGCCGTCTCGCTGCAGCCCTTCACAGACCCCGTGTGCACCGCTTCCGGCACAATCTTCGACCTCACCCACATTCTCACCTGGCTGGCCAAGCACCCCGATACAAACCCTACAGACGGCACATCATTGAAGCGTGCAGATCTGATCACACTCAATTTCTCCAGGAACGAAGATGGCGAGTACGTTGATCCGGTTACGTACAAGGTCTTCACAGACAACACGCATATTGTCGCGCTGAAGAAGAGTGGGAACGTCTTTGCATGGGACACGGTCGAGAGGCTGAACATCAAGGCCAAGAATTGGCGAGATTTGGTCAGCGACGATGTGTTTACACGGAAGGATATTATCACACTGCAGGACCCGCAGAATATCGAGTCGCGCAATTTCGGCGCATACAAGCATGTCCAGGATGGCGACACAGTCATGCCAGGCTCTGAAAGCGGCGTCAACAAGGATGCTTTGGGAAATGCGGCAAAGATCTTGAAGGCAAAAGAGGCAGTTGCGAAAGCGCGCGCTGAGCGACAAGCGAAGGCGCAGGGCGTCCAGCCATCGCAGGCTGTTGCGATAGTATCGAAGAACGGCACAGCAGCGCCTACGACAACAGCAGCGCCGAAGAAGCCAGCCTACAACGCCGCCGTCTACACATCTGGAAAAGCGGCAGCCTCGTTTACGTCGACCGGTGTGACCCCGCACACCTCTGGCGAACGCGCTCTCCTTTCTGACGAAGACTACATGTTGAAGCCCAAGCGCGTGAAGAACAAAGGCTATGCGCGCATGTCAACCTCCCTCGGCGACCTGAACATCGAGCTCCTTCCCGAGCACGCACCAAAGGCTGTCTGGAACTTCGTCAAGCTCGCGCAAAAGGGCTACTACAAGAACACCATCTTCCACCGCAACATCAAGGGCTTCATGATCCAGGGCGGGGACCCAAGCGGCACAGGACGAGGTGGGCAAAGCATATGGGGCAAGCCATTCGAAGACGAGTTCGAAGGGCCCAACCTGCACAACGCAAGGGGCATACTGTCCATGGCGAACAAAGGCAAAAACACCAACACGTCACAGTTCTTCATCACATACCGCGCAGTACCGCATCTCGACCGGAAACACACCATCTTCGCGCGCGTGGTTGGCGGGCTCGACACGACATTACGGGCCATGGAGCTTGCAGAGACTGGCGAAAAGGACAAGCCTGTGGATGATATTGAGATCCACGACATCGTCGTCTTCGTAGACCCTTTCGAAGAGTGGCAGAAAGAGCGGAAAGACAAAGAGACTAAAGAGACGGAAGAAGCAGAGATCAAGAGGCAGGGCGGCACGGCAGATGACAAGACAACATGGACCGGGAAGCGGATACGAGCCGACGGGACTGTCGATGGTGGGAGCGGCGAGGGACTGGGTGTCGGTAAATACCTCCAGGCTGCGAAGCAGGAGATTATCGATCAGGGCGATGATGAGATCTTGGAGTATGTGGACGAAGAAGAGGACGTTGCGCCGCCACCCAAGAAGGCGAAGACAAGGGGTTTTGGCAACTTCGATGCTTGGTAGAATTGCATCTGGTCGGATATGCAAAAGTTATACAATGATACCCCGAATGAGAGCATTTACGAGAATCTGCCTGCCCCTTCGTGTCTGTGGTGGGGCAAGGCACCTGTCAACCCCGAAATGAGCGATGATCTGTTGAAACAAAGTTGCTCATGCAACACCTGCTCGTGCGCGTGTCCTGGGATCATCGAGATCGAACCACTGCGCCTGATAGATGGAACTCGCTGGATGTTTTACGCGTTTCGACAGTTTGCAAGGTAGTCACTGTCAATGTCATTTACAGCGCAGAGCAGTCAAACAAACCGAGGCCCTCCAGAAGTACGTTTGTGAGGCGTCTGCTTCTGTACAAGCGACACAAGAGTGACAAGACCCAAGGATCAAAGCTTTGCAAGCTCTTAACGCTGCGTGCGAATCAACACCTTTCTTGTGCAACACAGCTGAGGCGGTACCTGGCCCCGTGTAACGCTCAAGCAGCCAATGTGGTGTCAGCATCGCCGAGCGACTCTGAGGCGCCAGACCTTGTTCAACAAGGCTGTTTCAGAATTGTCCATTACTCACCGACCTGCGACGGGCAGCGCACCTCACAAACCTAATGAGCGCGCGGTCCTGGACTTGGCCAACTGCCATGCTCCCTATGCGATTAAGTTCACCGAGTTGCGTGTCCTGCGCGGGAATCCCTGTAGATCTGCCTTAAAGATATGCGACCCGCAGCATCGTCTTGGGCCGGCTTTGAGGCGGAGCGTCTATCACGACCTCAGACGGAATGAACGACGGTACATCGCACTTCTGCTCCTTCCTTTTCTGCTTCACTACTTAGAAGACGCTGTGCGTCATACCTATCTGTGCTCTACATACTCTCCTTCCAACCAGCTCCCTTGCGCCGGCCGCAACTGAACATCCCTTCTTTTGTGTTTCAGTCACTCTCTCCCCTTGCAGCACTCGAACTCGGTGTCGCATGTATAGACATCTGGCTTTAGCTCACATAAGCTCTCCTTTCACTTGTTGAATCCGTCAAGGCAGTGCGTCAGCAATTGTTGGCCTGACCTTCACCGAGCGCACATCTTCACCGTTGGAGGAAAGAAGAACATCGAAGTTTCGTCGCACAGCAACGTGCATACAGCGGATATCAGCATTCACTTATACGGCACACCGGTTACCTACGCATTACGAAACTTCACACCGCAACAACACACGTCTCAGGACCCCGTTGCCGCATTCACTTCCCCCCACACCACTCGTCTCAGCGCAGCCACTCTTTGATTTCCACCAGGCATTACGCACCTCTTGCGCAACACAATCGACAATACTCAGGCTCTCCTTGAGCACAGTATCCGCCCACGAACGCTCGACCCACAGGGCGCATACATAGTTCTGCGACAAACGCCTGTAGCACCTCACAATGCACTTCTCTTCGCTGAGCGCCACCATGTACGGCGTCCTGTTCGTTGGCCTCGTGGCTGCGACAGGCGGCGACATTTCCCTCTCGAACTTCACACCCCGCATCGACAACCTGCCCACAAAGTGCAAGACCGTCTACGACACCAAGATCGATTCTTGCGTGTCCTCGGACTTCAATCCCGGCGCAACCTGCAGCTCCGGCTGCTTGGCTGGACTGGCGAAGATTGGAGCAGCGGTCACGACAGGATGCGCTGGTGTTGACGTGGGCGAGACGTCCATAATTGGAGTTTTCCAGAACGACCTTGGCACCGCCGCGCTTTGTCCCAACAACCAGCAAGCGACTACGAGCTCGAGCTCCTCGTCGACAGCGCGAACGACTCTACGGACAAGCACGAGGATATCGACACCAGTCACGACCACCGCAGCGCCTCCCACAAGTACGGCCGCATCCTCAAGTACATCATCTTCTGGTCTAAACCTCGACACAACCGCGACTCTCGCAACCTCAACTACCACCGGAGAGTCGACTGGCGCAGTGCCCACACTCGTGACTGAACCAAGCAGCGCGCCAAACGGCAACAGCCAGCTATCGAACTCAGACTCTGGAGGCGGCTCGCCATTCGACGTCGTGGCCACTGGCGCTGCACCTCAACTGCACATCACCAAGGCTGCACTGTCAACCTTTTTGGCGGCCGTCTTTTTCGTTGCATGTGCATGAGCTTACGACAAGCCCAGCATCGGGCTACCTTTTCTTTTGTTTAGCATGAGCACGACTACGAGTTTGCGATCTGGCATGGCGTTCAGGAAGTCAATTGTTTGTACTATATACCCAGTCGAGTACGATTTGAGAGTGACCATGGACAACGGTACCTCGCACGATCTGAGAGGAGACATGTGTGCGGGAGATGTATCTTGCATGTATGAAAGTTGCTCACAGAAGCTTCGAATGAATGAATGACAGACGTCCATCATATAGCACTACTCCCTTCATGCTTCTTGAACGCCAGCTCCAAGTGCACAATACACAAATGTACAAACTCTAACATCATCAACCAATTCGCCTGAACAGAGCTCCTCGAAGATCACCTCCACCTCCTGACGATCACTCGTGTTCCCCACCATCTGTGCAGCCTCGCCTGCAGCCAGCTGTCGAGCCAATCGCTAAGCAAGGCAGCTGCAACCCAGACGACGTAATCACCTGCTCTCCCGCGCGAACTTGTGCTCTCGCGCCTGACCCCACTATGCAGGAACACAGTCGCGGACGGTAAACGATGAGGAAGACAATTCTCTTGTGCTTTATTCATGGCTTCAAGGTGCGCATACTCGTCGCTCTGAAAGCTGCCAAACTACGTCATCGCCCGCGCATGAGACTGACTGAGACAACAGGGCGGAGACGACACATTCGGTACTTTTCCCTCGCACCTCAAAGCACTCCTCCAACATGCGCTGCCAAAGGTGACGGTCTTGACAATCACATATCCGAAGTACGAGACCAGAGGCGATTTATATGAATGCGTCGGACGCTTCAAGGAATGGCTGCAAAACAAAGTTATTGACCTCGAGGTCGCCAACTCGACACCCTCGCCCACGGTTGACCCTTCAGTACACACAATCCTCATAGGCCACTCCATGGGCGGCATCGTCGCCGCCGAGACATTGTTGAGCATTATTGGTGAACAGCCTGTTCCCTCGCTGCAGAACTCGCAAACGCAAGATCGGTCGACCGGTTCACTCCCTGAGACCTCGACCCTTATGTTCCCGTACATACAAGGCATTCTTGCGTTCGACACGCCATATTTGGGAATCGCGCCGGGCGTGGTAGCACATGGCGCGGAGAAGCATTGGAATACTGCGAGCTCGGCGTACGCTGCGTACAACAACCTCGCCGGCGCGTTCGGCTGGGGGCAGAAAGAGACGGCTACCGGCGCTGTGGATGCAAGCAAAATGCTATCAGCCCCAAACACCACGGACGACGCTGCGTCCGCGCCATTGTGGCAGCGATACGGAAAAGTAGCCATGTTTGCCGGAGCCGCAGGCGCGATCGCAGCAGGTGGCGCCGCAGCCTACATGAAGAAAGACCAGATCTCGCAGGGCTGGAGCTGGGCCACATCACACTTGGAGTTCGTCGGTTCACTGGCCAGGCCCGAGGAGATGAAGAAGCGGCTAGCTGCCATCGTCAAGCTCTCCAAAGAGCACGACCTGGGATTCGCGAACGTTTACACTACGCTCGGTCATGCTGTCGACGCACAGACGGGCAAGTCCTGGACTGGCAAAGTCGCTGGGAGGGACCGCACGTTCTGCAACCTACCCAAGGGTGAGCTGCGGAATTATTTCATCCCCGCTGGCAACGATAAGCTCGAGATGGAGACGCTGGCGCATATGGGCATGTTCAATGCTAGGAGTAATCCTGGGTACTACACGCTCAGCGAAGTTGCGAAAGAGCAGATCATCGACTGGGCAGAGAACGAGTGGTACGAGGAGAGCGAGGGGCCGCTGAACAAGGAAGATGAAGAGGAGGCGGAGTTGGTGATGAAGCCGGATGTTGAGGAGGTGCTGGGGACGGAGGATGTGGATGAGGAGTTTGAGCACGTTAAGAGGGCGGCGAGTACGGAGTTGAGTGATGGTGAGCATAGGGATGGGAAGAAACAGGAGTTGTGATGGTGTGACAGATGTGTATGACTATGACGGTAGAGGTGGGGGCGTTTGGTGGCTGTAGTATACCCTATGACGAATTCACGAACGCATGATCTTCTCTGCAGTACAACAAGTCCTACGAACATTACTGATATGTTGGTCAAAGATACTCATCGCTTCCTCAGGTATCTCTGTGAACGCCTCAACCTGCCTCACATTCAAGAATCGAACGCATCGCATCCTTAGCAACTCAACGTCGTGTCAGCATTGAACCACGCACATCACCATTGCTAACAACTCCTCGAGTCTCTATAAAGTCACTCGATCATACAACACACCCAAGAGTATCTAATACAGCAAATAACACAGTGTTTAGCATGGACAACAAACGCAAGAAAACACACGGCCTGTCTTCTGGACCTATGATGCGTTGCTGAATTTGACCATGGTCGTCCTGATCTCAGGCCTGTGTTGTGAACTTGATGGCGAGTTCGAGTTCCACCATGATGATCGAGACCGCATAGCGAGAGCGTGACAGGGTCAGGAAACGGGCCAGGAAACGGTCTAGGGTCCTCTTGGTTATCTTGAAGCGAACTGTGCTGAATAATAGCCTCTAAGACTAAAAACATGTGCTTAAAGATGGATACTGAGAGTAGATGTTCGGCACTGACAAAGATGTAGTCAACTTTATCCGAGATGTTGCGGTTGTTCAACTCTCGAACGCTAAGTAGGTTGTCATCGTCCATGTACCCGGCAATACGAGACAGCAGCTCCCCCGGGAGCTCACTGAGAAAAGCGCGATCACAATTGATTTGCGACATGCTGGCGTCCGGGGGTTATCGATTGTAGCGTTAATAGACCGTTCGATGATTGCGCTATAATTTGCGGGCCTTCATTATACACCGTTAGTCAACAAATGGAATAGACTTAGATAGGACGTTAAACCAATCAATCAATCAATCAATCAACGAATGGAAGCATAGTATAGTTGCAACAAGCGGCTCGCCAGGACCCAGATTGTTTAAAGAAGAGTGGAGCCGTTTATTGCTTACCTGTGTCTGCCTGCCACGCCCCACTGCCACTGCCACTTCCTTTGTTATTGTCACTTGCCTCCGTTGCTGCTACTTCCTTCCCACTAACGCACCTCACTGCGTCTGCTCTCATAACACGCGCTGGGAAAGTGAAAAGCCCATTAGAGGACCTAGACTGAATTTCGAGAAGTGCCATATTTGACGCCTACTTACGGGAGATCTACAGAGATCATTTCACTCGCTGCGCTCGCTCTGCTCAATAAAGTCGATTCGACAGGCCTGCCAAGTTTTGCTTTCATCGTTCACGTAAACCAGGCATGGATTTCGCGTTGTTGATGAGAATGGAGAGGATTCGACGTCGGTCAATAAGTAGTATTACATTTCTGCAGACACCGTAATGCTGAGCGGTTCATAGTGCTCCTGTATTGCGATATTTCTAGGTCTTCCGCTTCCTTATGCGCACTGCAATCTTTTCCAGGGGCTTTACCGTCCCGTAGGCGGATTCACGAATCGGAGGTAGAGCCGCGTCTACCTGTTCAGTGTCGCAAAGTTGAACTTCAAATTCGGCGAACAGAACCGCCAACGTGGCCATTTGCAAGGCTGAGATAAAGCGTGACCCCGGATATTGATCGCATGCGACGAGCCTTGTGACTAAATCTCCAAGATCCTGCGTAGCAGATCCGCTCGTATCAACGCCAACATGCTTTTTGGACCTGCTCTTTTGTTCGGGTACCATGAATCGCTCAGCCCAAAACTCTTCAAGCGGCTTTTTAAGAGCTTGAGGCTGGATCTTCTTCCACACGTCGGTGTTGAGAGAAATATCGTAGGAGAAAATAGCCACTGTCGCCCCATTGGGTAATGACCATTGCTTGTCCAATGGAAAGCCGTCGGTTTTGTTGGTACGTACTACACAAGTCCCTGTTCGAAGTCTACGCACTTCGGTCTGGAGAGACTTTGCGAGTGGCTCCTGAGCAAGCCCGAGCACGTCATACTTGTGTGTTATGGGGGACAAGTGTCGGACTACGCTGGCTATCATGTCACGGGTAAGGTGGGACTTGCGCATGATCTCAATAGTCATCCAGAATGTAGACGATACGAGCCCAGTGTTGGTACTATAATCGGTCGTTAGCTTTCAAGCTTTCCGCAAATACTGTCGTTCCGACTAGGTCAGGTCACGTACGAGTGTATGATGCCTAGCACCTCCGCCGCTCTTGCTCTGATGTTCACCTCCTCGACTTTGTCGACTTTACAGGCGTTGTAGTGCTTGCAGATGAATCGCAATCCCGTCTTTTCATCCCACACAGAGTCATCTTCGACTGAGTCTGCGTTATGCTCACCTGTCTCATCAATCTCAGCGCGGGTGGCTGTTAACCAACTTCTCATGCCCTGATGTAAGCGGTCGCGTGGCTTTGTAGCACCAGACACCATTATACGAGGCATACCATGCACAAAGTCTTCAGTCGCAGCGTTGAAGTCCAGGTAGTCACGGATCATTTTTGGATACTTTTTCAGCAGCGCAGATCCGAAGAACGCATCCAGAGTGCAACGAAGAAGCACTAGCTGGAGAAACGACCATAAGTCTTCGATTCGCGTCCAGGAATCAAACTGAAACATCTTGTCGTGCATGCTCGCGGACAGCTTGGATATGTAGACCTCGGTTGCTGAGGCGAGAGTAGTGTCCGGAATGTGGAAGGGTAGCTGCTCGGGTGTGCTTACTTCATGATCGTTGCGGTCGCTTGCTTCGGTTTGGTGCAAATGCTCTGCAGCTCGTGGCGAGCCGAACAGCTTATCGAACATCTCGACTTTGACTGTGTTTGCGGTTAGATGCTCCGGCGCGTCCAAAACTCTGATAATATGAGTCGGATCTCGTAGGACGACATATGAACGCGGTCCCGCCTTGACCTTGAATGGAGCAAAGGTGCCATATTCTTTGCTGCGTATGGTGTCAATACAACAATCAGTTTCACTGCCCGATACACTACTCACATGAGCTCCGCGAAGTATTTTCGAGCACCTGATTGTGTGAAGCTGACAGCGTGGAATAAACCGGGTATGAAATACGGTATTGTAGGGGGCGCTTTGCCAGTGGAATTGTTGTTGGCTCTCCGGAAGAACAACGATGAAGTCGCATAGTAAGTCAGAAATGGGAAGATGATAATGGAGGCAACGATGATCAAAGTGGGCGCCATGTTGGCGGAGTATGCGTCGAAAGCTCAAGTTGCTAATGCGATCATCAAAACTAGTATCGAGATTCTGTTAACAACTGATTCAGGGAGTGATTACCGTAAGGTCGAATGGACTAGCTCCGTGGTTGGGGAGATGGTTGGTCCGAAGGTGCCACGATTCGCTTACGGAAGATCTTCGGGCAGTCGCGTCTCAGCCTTGCCTTCACATCGACATCGCACTTTCTTGCTCTTCATCAGCTCTCCATCACCACGCGATCGCACTCATTTCTGCAATTGGATAGTGAACATATTATGTATTCAACATTAAGTCCACTAGTAAAGCAGCGCTATGCTTGCTCGCGATGAACCAAGCTACGTGAGGTATATGTAAGAAAAGGAAACATTGTTAATCTCAAAATCGTAATCATCGTAAACACACTATTCGTACGCCTTCCTCCGTTCTACACATCAACATCCAGCTTTAGACATCAGTCTTCTCAGACTTGTCATCACGAGTGTACCTCGACATGCTCGAAGCGCGAGCCTCTCTGTTGGTGTTGGGCACCGAAGTAGGCCTGACATTGAGAGTCTTGCTGAAGCTCATAGCGCCGAGAAGTACCAAGCCAAGGATAGCAAGGTTGGCCAGCTCACCGAAGATGATGAACAGGAAGGCAAGGGCCTGGTTGGTAGTGCGGGACCAGTTGTTAACGTTGTAGTAGAGCATGACGATCTGGGCGATGCTGAAGGCGTTGCGGACCCAGACGATGGGAAGGACCATGAAGACGAAGGAGCCGAGGATGCGCTTGGTGTTGGTGACAGTCTGTGAAGTAGATTAGTAACGGCTTGTGATGGTGGGTTGAGGGTACGTACGCCTCCAAAACCGTTCTTCTTTACACCAGTCAAGCACAAGAGAGCCTCAATGGTCACGCTGGTCGATGCCGCGATCGTGACTGCAACATAGGTAACAAAAATCGTGCGTGTGATGTTGCTAGAGCTAAGGATGGACAGGAAGTACAAGGCAGAGTTTCCGTTGCCGCGGCGGATGTATGCAAGACCCCAAGCACTGTTTAATATTAGCCACAATCATGTTCAGACAGTGATTATACTTACGCGAAGCCGAGGCCAAGCATTGCCAGAATCCAGAACTGGTTCCAAATCCACGAGATGAAGCCAGGTGCCTTGATGCCAGTTGCATTACACTCCAAATGGTTGGCGTGCATCCAGATGGCACCAACAATGCAGACATTGACCAAGATACTAGCGAACTGGTAGAGGAAAGAGAGAATGGAGATATCCTTGCCATAGTTGGCGCCGGTCACAGAGTTCGCTACTCCGTATGATGGGTAGGAGTACATCGAGGTGATCGAGAAAGGCGAGTTGGTCCTGGTCTGCAGAGCGACGATGGCTGCTTGAGCGGCATAGGCGACCATCAGGTTAAACAGCCCGGACATAAGCCAGAAGTGTGTTCCTAAGCTGGAGTGCCTGGGCGCACCAGCGTTGTATGAGAACCGTTTCCATCCACCAGGACGGCTGGTGCCGCTCTTCAGCTGCTTGAGGAAGACCAAGCCAGCTGTGATGAGCATGAGCAGGGCCAAACCAGCCGTTGCTGTGTGGAGGGCGAAGATCGCCTGGACGGTGCTGGTCGCATTGGTGATAGCCATTGTCGATGTGGATGGGCGGACGGTTGCCGCAAGGTCAATTTGCTGTACAGTGATTACTCTGGTTCATACCTCAAGAGGCACGCAAGGCTTTATTGGGACTGTCATGTGCATGCTGTCATACATCACGGTTGAGCTACGCAAGTCGCTATGACGGATGGGTGCCGTCAAAAGCAGGGACGCGCCGTTTGGAGTGGACAAAGAAGCCATCGTCTGTAAGCTAGTCTATTTAGTACATTTTGCTGTTCTTTGGGATGTGCGATCTGATGTTGTTACTCATCATCGTTCGGTATGGGCGACAACAACAAATGACGTTGAGCCGCGGAATGGTCGGAAGTGACGTGGTGCAGAGTCTCCGAGGATAAAATCACGAGTCAAACGTTGACAAAGTCCCAGACGTTCTGCAAGATCTTCGAATTAAATAATATCAGGTGGGGCGGTTCGTTGCTGTCGCTACGAATTGTCAGTCAGTCGAGGTGGAGTGGTTTGGCGGATAGCGAAGATCACGACCCGTTCACACCGTAGCCATAACCCAGCGTGCATCCTGATATCGGCGACGATGTTCGTGGAGCGACATTCCACAGAGTGACGGAAGCGCCCGACTAGCTTCTCAAGATATGACATTGGGTTTTGTAAGGAGAGCAAGTTGATGCGGTTCAGTGCTGCTGGGCAAACCCGGGTCGTTGATCGACACAATGGAGATCATTGAAGTGTCCACGATGCAGGCGCTCATTCGATCATCAACAACAAGCAAATCTTGATGACTTGGAAGCTGCGATGGTTGATGTCACTGCTGTGAGAAGATCTTCCTTAGCGGCGGCAGCTACGACTAGCGCGCACCCACTTGCCGATCACCTTGGGTCACGCTTGCTATCCCTTGCATGTGGTGAGCCTCAAGAACCTCATCTCAAATGCTCGAATAAGATCGTGATAAGGGAAACGGAAACAGGGAGACATAACTGCAGTTGATACGCTGAAGACTTCAACACGATGTCGCGCAGTCACATGCTCCGTATCGCTAAATTAGCTCGAGTCTGGAGCGACCTACGCTCCAGCCCTGAACGCGTCGACAACCGTGTCAAAATATCCTTCAACGGCAACCTCAAGAACTCACACAACACATTATGATACTGAGAACCATTGCCCTCATAGCGCTGTTTAGCGCGGTGGCACCAGTCCTGGCGGATGTCGCACCCGATATTATCACTCTTGTCGAAGGATACAACTACATTGCCAAACTCCCCTGCATCGACTGTCCGTACCTGTATCAAGACACCTCGAATGGAGAAAATGGGCCTTGGACAGACCGCATCGACGAAAATGCTCTACTACTTAATATAAGCCTTCCATTCGACGCGGCACACCTATCGGTGAACAATGCACCCCTCCTCTCAGACTCAACGATATTACCCCGGATCTACGCTTTCCAAGTGCTCCAAGACTACTCAGAAGACGACCTCCGCCAAAAAGTTGAACATTCCGAACTCGACACCACCGGCCCCACCCTCGGCCTCTCATACGGCACCTCGCTGCACCGCCTCACAAACTCGACCGCCATGGTCTTCCGCTTCAACATCTTCAGCGCCTACTTTCCCCTCTCTGAAGCCCCAACAATCATCAATCTCAACAACTCCAAGCAGAAAGTCGTCGAGTTAATATTCTTACCGCGGCCGTTGCATAGCTCCGGCGACGTCGGGCCAGGATGGGAGATTGTCACTGCGAGGCTGAGTGAAAGGGAGAAGAAGGGGAGTAAGAGGCGTATGAGGACTATGGATTTTGAGGATTGGGATGAGTTTGGGAGGAAGGGCTCGCCTTCACATTTAGTCACAGCCTCCTCCAAGGGTCTTGTCGCATACGCGAGCTCTGGGTTCTGGGGGCTGAGTATGGCGATCTTGGGGTTTGTGGTGCTGTTCGTTGTAGTGGTGGTTGCGTGTGTGTTAGGCTGGGATTGGTGGAGTGGCGGGTATGAGAAGGTGCAGAATGGCGAGAGTGCTGGGCGCAGAGCAGGTAGCAAAGGGAGTGGGACTTGGACGGATGTGGAGAAGGCTAAAGGTCGATTCTTGAGTGCGAGTGAACTGGGAATGAGGGGTGGTGGGAGTGTTGTTGGTGTGGGGAAGAATGACTGAGAAAGGTGGTTAAAGGGAAAGGTCGAGTGCCGATATTGACATGCTGTGTATAGTCTATTTGCAAGTCAAAAATGCCTATACCGTTCACCAACACCGCTCGCTATGCTGATCTGTCCTCGAGATCCGCCTTCTATGCTCCGTTTCAATTTACCCATATCGCATAATCTATCGTCTTTGCGCCATGTATCCTCTTTGTGCCTTTTTGACCCGTACAGCATGTGCTCAGAGGGTGTTATCCCAGCAAGGGCTTGCGTTCTCTTGCATCATCTCATCTATCGTGCGGAGCTCATCCACCGTATGCTCATCGCCAGCGCCGCCGTCGACGAAATAGTCGATGCCGTGCTTGCCCATCATGCTGGGAGTATCGAGTGCGTTGGCAACAGTCGGGCTGTCTTGGAGATTGCTCCTGCAGAAGTGTTAGCCAACAGTCTCCCAAGATCTCGGCATGACGAGTACTAGCCTTCCATTGTTGACGTTGACTACGCTCACTCTCCTCATTAGTACTTCCCTGATAGTCTTCCAACCTTTTAGTGCCTCCTCACGATCTCCATCTCCATCCTTGAGGTACCGCTCCACGTCTTCCAGCTTCTTCATCAACGCCGTATCCAGCGAAGTCCTCACCGCCAGCGCTCCAATCTCAATAACCTTCTGGCTGCGCTCCATCTGCACCGGCCCCACCATGTGTCGGATCACCACCTCACTCCCAGCATGCCCTCCAGCATATCTATCGGGTGATAAAGGGGTTCCTATATGTGTAGGCACCATGCCGTTGACGTAGTATGGCACGCTGGTAGGGACATTGCCTCGTGTATGACTACCTCTGCTGGTGGACTCTTGGCCTGTGCTTCCACTATGCCGGCCGGCGCGACGCTTGTGCGAATGTTTGCTTGGTATAGCGGAACGGGAGCGTGGAGCTTGCATACGCATAAATGTCGGGTTTGGGACTTGGACGTTGATTGCAGCGATGTGATCGCCATCGCCTTGGCCGAAGGAGCGACGGCGCGCGTACCCAGGCGGTGGTTGAGAAGGTTGGAGGAACAAAGTGGTTGTGGGCGAGCGGACAGGCTGAGGGCGCTGGCGAAATTCCAGGGGAACAGCTTGGTTAGGATGGAAGCATTGTTGCTGTTCAATGGGGTATGAGTGGGCGGTGTTGGGGCCCGGGGTAGGATATCCACTGGATTGCTGACCGAAGTTGTAGTCAGAAAAGTTAGGCGTTGGAGCTGGCGAAGGGGTTGCGGACTCCGGTGGTCTGTAGTAAAATGGGATATCAGACTTGTGATCAAGGCCCCCTGGTGCTTTGTTGTTGTTCTGGTGGTAGACAACTTGATCGTTGCCAGCAATATCGAAGAGTTGATCTAGTTGAGCTGGCGTGGAGCCCTCTTGATCCATGGCCGACAAGTCAGCGACCGCCGCACTTGGCTGAGACGTTATGTGTGAACACGAGATCGACAGGCTATGTGATATCGCGTGATATTCGATTGACCTGAGTTCGGAAGGACGCCGAAATGTTGTTACACGGAAGACGAAAGTAGGAGTACGAACGATCAGATATATTATCACTGGTTATAGTTGAGACAGACAGAGATGAGAGAGTTTGCATGGACGAGAAGATGGCGATGGGGCCAGCGAAGCAGCGGGTAGTCGCGCATGAACGTGCATGGAGAGCAAACACCGAGCTGAAGCACGTGGCCTATTGTGTGCTGAGTTCATGACCGTTCGGCGAGCGGAGCATGAGTGCTCGATACTGAGGTGGCCTTAGCTTTGGGTTGGCTCTCATACCTGGAGACAAACGTCAGTGTACCAGAGAGGCAGGAAGTAGTACTGCTCGGTGCCCATAAGGCTGTGGAGGGGGGCATTGGCCACTCTGGCGCTTGAGAAACTGAGACAGGAGCCAAGAATAGCGTAGTTAGACAGGTGGAGATGAAAGGTGGCCGCCGACCACGAGAGAGATGGTGTAATGGCGAATTGCGACCCGTGAGCAAGATACTGTAATCGCCAATGATGTAACTCCAAGGTTGCGCCCACCGTACTCCACCATGGAGCCCTTGCTGCCCCTGCCCTTCCCCGTCCCTATCATACAACGTCCATAATATACAGATCATATCTCTTCACCCCAGCCTCCCGCACCTACTCCTTCTTCTTCCCATCTCCATTCTTATCCTTCTTATCCCAGTTCCACACATCCCAAATCTGTTCGAAGATCATATCCGTATAACTCTTTCCCTCCTCAAGCGCCTTCTTCTCCTCCTCCAACCTTCTATCTTTCCACCCCTCCGTCTCCCCACCCATCCAAATCTTCTTCAACAGACCCTCCTCCTCAGGGCCTTTCCCCAACTTCCTCCGTTCCTCCTCCCTCTTCTCCCTCAACACCCTCTGCATCTCCCTTGCCTTCTCCGTCGGCAATTCCCCAACAGCCCGGAAGGGGCTCAACTGCGTCACCAAACCCCTTCCATAGTATGACTCGCACAGGTGGTCGGCGGAGAGGTAGAAACCCAAACCGAGAGAAAAGGTGTACAGGTCGAGTTTTCGCGGCGGCATGAGCATGATTATCGGGCACAGGATTACGCCGCCGATTGCGACGTTGCGAATTACGCGTGTGTTGCGTTGGGCGTTTTCTTGTGCGAGGCGCTGCTCCGGCGTCAGGATTGGGGGTTGCGGCTGCGCCATGGTTGGGGTTGGGGGTGTGAGAGCGTGGTGGGCGGTTATAGAGGTGTGCGCATGCGATTTGAGTCTTTGGATTTTTTTGTGTGGTGTGAGAGAGGGCGAAGAGATGTACAGCGCAATTCAAAAGTGTTGTGGTTGAGTTATGGTGATGCGGAGGTGTGTGAAGCTCCGCAAAAGTTCAATGATGCGATGAAGCGCATTCGGCAAATCCTGCCGTTTTAAAAGCATGGAGAAATTGAGCAGTACGAATGCTATTGTCGCACAACACTATCGCATGTGAATTTGTTAATGCATTCAGTTATCCAATCATTTAATCATGGCGAACTATTTCTGAGCTCTCAACTCGATTTCCACGAGTACTTTCGCCTCTTGTAGCTGTTCCCTGTCCCATTTTGACCCTCGTTTCCGTCTAACGTTCTCTTGCCGACTCGCTCAAAGGTACCGCTAGTCCTCAGACGTTTCGTCGGCGTAGGATCATCGTCGTTACCATCGTAACCAGTCCGCGGTGTCACTTCTGTTTCCGTACCGCTTTCCATGCGTGTGTCTTCATCATCATCACGTTTCCTCTTTTGCGCGGTGCTCGGTGTCTCCATCAATCGGCGCAGTCGACTCTCCTGTAGTCTCCTGTTGACCTCCTCTGTGACATCAATGTGTTGTACGACATATGTCGATCCGACCTGTGCTGGATTCGTCTGCGGTGTAGGATCCTCGTCGGCAGGACGAACTTCGGTCGATTCTGCTGGGCCCGGTATACTCAGCCTGGCCTTCTTCGTTGAGGGCTCCGGAGGGTCTGGCAGCTGTACGCCCTCTATGCTGAGCCGCTTGTTTGCATTCTTAGCCTGTGTCTGTGAGCCTTTTTGTGCACCAATGCGCAGCACAGTCGAGCGTACCTTTTTAGTCACCAGGCCCTCGCTCTCAAGCTGGTCCCGGAATCGTTTCATGTCGTCCTGCAGCCTGCCTGACTTGTTGCGCAGCGACAGCAGATCGGTAGCCAACCAGTCGGGCGCATTGTGGTCTGTCGCATCGAGGCCTTCGTTCAAGAATTGCAATTGCGTGCGGAGGTTCTCAATGTGCCTGTCGAGGTCCTGAAACGAATGTCAGAACTGCACCAGGCTGCGAAAGGGCGTCTCTTACGTCGAGAGAGAACTTGGTCATGGTGTAAGAGTATGGTACAGTGCGGAGGTCTTGTGTTTCATCTACATGGACTTGCAGGCGCGCTAAGAAGTGCGCTAAGTTCCGAACGTGCGTCCGATCATTCCGAGGCACTCTCCTCGCGTGGAAGCACCCATTTGCGTGAGGGCGGAACGTGCGGCGTCAGTAGTCATAGTATGACATTGGATCTTGGAGTTGGCCATAGGTTTATCGCAGTCTTGATTAGTTTGGGTTGGAATACAAATCTTAGTATAATAACACAACCAGCCTGCCATGGTACAAAATGGGCTGATCGTAGTTGCCAGTGGTGACTGGCTTTCATCCAACTTAGCGAGCGGTTGGTACTGAACTGGTATTGGCAGCGTCCCAGACTCTTTGTGAGTGCGTCCAGGAAGAAGGTCTGCGGGAACATGGGTCTTTGCAACATCTCTGTTGAGATCCTCGAGCAGCGTCTCATCATGCAGCTGGCAGCGCGCATTGGAGCATTCGTTCGATTTGGAGCAGTTCGAAACCCAAGTGGAGATTCTGGATTGCTGACTCGGTTGAAGCGTTGTAATGACTGCACGTATGCAGAGAATGGCACAGTGTTTCTGTGTTACAAGGCCGAAGTAGTAGAGTTGATGAGCTTCATCCTTCCTCTTCGTCACCAAACGTGAGCTTGACAACTTTCGCCTTCTTCTTGGGCTTCTTGACAGTCTTCACATTCGCTTTCTCCCCATTCTTGGACTGGTCCTTGTCGTCTTGCTGCTCGTCACTGATGATCTTTGCAGCTTTCCGTTTCTTGGCGTTGGCTCCAATTTCTGTAATCCTGTCCTTGGACTTCGTTTCGGCATCTTTGGTCGACATTCTAGTAACATCTTCTTGCTCGGTCTTGCCGTCCTCATTGGAGTCCTTCTTGGTGACGAAAGCTTCGTACTCTTCCTTGGTCATAGACTGGTTGGTGTCCTCCAGGACATAGGTAGGGGCGTCGTCTTCATCGTCCTGTTTCATCCTCTTGTTCCTGGGAATCGGACGTTCATGACGCGCCGAGTCTTCCCCTTGCATTTGACCTCGTAGCCTTTGCAGAAATGCAGGCTGTGAGTTATCTAGAATTGTGAGTGGACGTCTCGAGGTGGTATCAGACTGCTTACCAAAATGCAGGTCCTTGGCTTTGAAACTCATCTTGGCCAGTGTATGAGGACTACAGATCAGAATGGACGTGGGTCGTTGAGGATATGTTAGACTGAGGCTGTATGTAGCCGCAGAGTAGCACAAGGCTGAGGCTGGACGCCTGTCGATCTTTCCAAGGCTCGGGAGATGTGTCGTGCGGCTCCTTGCTCTTGGCGAGTTTATCTCCGGGTATACGAGCTGTGGACCCAGAAGTCAATTGTCACGCACTTCGTACTCTATCCTCAAGATGTTTGCACCGTTGGTGAATGGATGTGACGGCAGCAGTTGCTTGCTTGGCGGTGACTGCAGGGCTGCGACTTCCGTGCATGTGCGCAACTGGCCATCCGCCAACTTCTTCCCTACTAGTAGGGTCCCCACATGAATCGTCGCGAGACATACGCAATCGCGCGTCTATCACAGGCTTTTCAGTTTCATTTCCCAAATCCAACATCACAACCACACGGCCACCGCGCTCTTATCGGACCGTATACAAACGTTTCACGCATCCTTTTGGAGTAACCTCCGGCCGCTCGTTACCTGCGCACAGCTCCTGCGTTGACCACGTTGCTCGTACACTCGCCGTCGATAGCATATCTTGTCCAGGCCCCTATCTGTCGCCTGCACTGCCGAACACGAGAAACGGTCTGCCATTGGGGTTGAACGAGCGGGCCGCTGCCGCTGGCAGGACATAGAAGGTTTGCTCAACACGAGGTGCTAGAGCGCAACTATGGGCTTCATACAAGATCTCCCGAGGAGGCTACCGTCTTCGAAAGACAGCCTGGACAAGCTCGACGACCTATCACGACAGGCAGAAAAAGTTTCTCCACGATTAGCCTTCTTTCGCCGGCGCATACGTCTGAAGGGCAACTCGGCCGTCTCATTACCACTCGGTCTGGTCCTGCTGTTTCCATGTCTCGTCATAGTCTTGATACTGGTCCTCTTTGTGAGGTCGCCAGACTCACAGGGCATCATGAACATGCCTGGAGGTGGCGTTCCTCCTTCGATACGGTATGCTGCCCGCGGCTTGCTGGGGTGCTCTGGGACAGACGACTGACAGCTTGCAGGAAAATCAGTGAGAAGTACGACAAGCCCTTCGCAGTAGGCTGTCTCGAACCCCAGACGAACGGTCCCCGCGCAAATGCAGCAATCGTGGTCCTGGCGAGAAATAAAGAGCTCAACGGCGTCATACAGTCGATCAAGTCGTTCGAAAGGCATTTCAACAGGTGGTTCAACTACCCATATGTCTTCCTGAATGATGGCGACTTCAACACGACCTTCAAAGAGACCGTCGGCAATCACACAAAGTCGACAGTGGAGTGGGGCAAGATTGCGCCTGAGCACTGGGGTTTCCCAGACTGGGCTGATCCTGCGGTCGTCAAAGAGGGCATTGCTAAGCAGGGCGATCGCGCTATCATGTATGGTGGCATGGAGAGCTATCATCACATGTGTCGATTCTACTCAGGGTACGCGAAGCTGGTAACTAACGTTGGGGCCTACGAGTATGCTAATATGTCACAGCCAGTTTTACAAGCACGAGCTACTACAGAAGTATGAATGGTATTGGCGACTGGAACCAGAGATCACCTACTTCTGCGATATTACGTACGATCCATTCATACACATGATACGGAACAAGAAGACATACGGCTTCACCATCGCCGTGAAGGAGCTGCGGGAAACAGTCCCAAACATCTGGCGCTACGCGTCAGCATTTAAGAGGATGAACAACATTACATCTCAAGGCATGTGGGAGATGTTCGTCGAAAAACCAAAGGAAGAGCCCAAAGATAAGCTGCCAAAAGACGATCCGAAGTACAAAAAGCCTCTACCTCAAGAGATCTTGAGGTCGGAACCAGGCACTGGAGCGCTCCCTGAGATCGATCCAGAGAACATGGAGGGTGAAAACTATAACATGTGCCACTTCTGGAGTAACTTTGAGATCGTCAACCTGGCTTGGTACCGGAGCAAGGAGTACAATGACTTCTTCGAGATGATGGATCGCAGCGGTGGCTTCTGGATGGAACGAGTAAGTGTACTTCTTCGAACCAATGTACATGGCTGACACGCTGTAGTGGGGTGATGCACCGATCCACTCGCTCGCTGCGGGCATCCTCCTTGGTCCTCAAGATGTCCATTACTTCCGCGATTTCGGCTACCGACACACCACGATCCAGCATTGTCCTGCGAATGCGCCTGCACGACAACTCCCACGAATCCCCTATCTCGAAGAGACCACTCTGGATGAGAAGGCACGCAAGGAAGAAGACGACTACTGGGCTCATCCAGATCCACCGAAGGAGAACGGTGTCGGCTGTCGCTGTAGATGCGATACTGACATCGTTGATGTAGAAGGCAAAGAAGGATCTTGTCTTGCAGAGTGGGTGGAGGTTGCTGGAGGCTGGGCATCACCTGGACCTTGATGATTGCTGTTTACTGTTGTTCTGCATTACATTCAGGCGAGCATTTTGGGAGGCGCCAGTATTGACTTCAGCTTTCTGCGCGGCGCGGTGGTGTTCATGACGCATCTTGGCTGAGCCATATGGGAGCAGCTGTGACGATCCAGGGCGTTGCCGGACGGGCTTCACGTCCACTGTACATATACACAGTCGCGCGATGTAAACCTGCAAGGCTTCGATTTAGACTTACGAGTGTGAGCCATCATATTACAATCAATCAAGCGTTGCTATCTTCTCTCTGAGCATTTCACTTCACATGCGGTTTGCTTGTGGAGCTAGCTGATCACGTTGTTGCACGATACCGATAAGGTAGGGGAAACGCGGGGGTTCTGGCTTCTGATTGGTCACGCCCCACCATTGACCATGGTAAGCCAGGTGCTCACTTGCCTCACGACTTGACGCCTTTGTACATTGCAGACGCACTCAACCCCTCAACTTGATCAACAACTTGACTGCAATTATTGACTGACCAAGACTCACCAGCTGTTTGTCTTCCGCAGTGTTTCAACAAGGTACGCCGCATGTCTGAGCTTCCCCGCTTGCATCATCCCCAGCAAGGCACCCGTTTCACGCGCCTGGCCCGCTAGTCGTTAGGCAGCTTCCGCTACATTCACCCGAGCGGCCTCCTCGTACCTTCTTAACCCCTCCATGAACCTTTGATGTCTCTCACATACACTCCCTTTGGTACTTCCAGCTGACATGCCTTCAAGTAATCCCAAGGCAACACCAGAGCTTCGGTATCCGCCGGTACAAGCAGATCGTTCACTTACTAGCCTTGATCTCGATACACTAATGATGAAGTCGACTACGCGTCGACTGCCGGAGCAGCCCGGCAGCTCTCTTGACGACACTACCTATGAGATCCTTACTGACAGCCTGATCGAGACTTCCGACGACGAAGCTCACACTGAGTCCATTGCATCGACCTCGGACGCTCCCACGCCTGACGATGTCTCGGCTTTCAGTGACGACGATGATTTCGAGAACGACGATCGAGCGCTCGACCGAAGCATTCAATCAATGCACGCCGCAGCCACAGACAACGATCTCGAAACACCGTTAGCAACAGACGGTGAAGATAGTATGCTGACGATGGTGCCGGACCATATGGACGGCAGCGGAGGGTCAAGCATGCTACAGCTTGACGAAGAGCCCGCGGAGAACGCCGAAGCTTCTCTGGGCACTACGGTCATCAAGGCCTTCCCAACCCAGACTGAAGGGCTGCCCCCAGTGTTAGAGAGTTACGGTCAGACACAAGTACGGGTGGTTGTCAAGGCGGCCCTTTCTCCTCGGTACATTCCCACGCCAGAATCGTATAAGATACTTTATGTTGGGCTGCCCGAGAAATGGGTGCAGGACAGTATCACAGTCCACGTCCACGCGGCACTGGCCGCATCGCCCAGCAACACAAGGTCAGTAATGGTCCGAGGCCAGATGGAGCCTCTTGGGCCGGTCATCCATGCTCACCGCTGCGCTCACTTCGAGATCCACAATCCTGATGCGACTCTCCCTAACATACTGGTTCGCATGGACGATGGGATGCGCCTCAGGATCGACGGTCGGAAAGCTCCACGATTTGATCTTGTGATTTTCTGCCATACACAGAAGCGTGAATCTGCCACTGACACGCAGACATACGACCCGCTTCGTACCGCTCTTCGTCAGCACCAAATTCCCATGATCGAACTTTCAGAAATTAAACCATACGGTGCTGGCGCTCATACGTACGATATGCGGAGCTTGGCTGCTTGTCTCGAAGGTCGTAACGACGACAATGCTGATTTTGAGCTACTTGAGGTGCTTCCTCTGGACGCATTCACCTTCTGTGAGCTGGAGCCGTTCCAGGTCAATCGTCACTTGGCACTGATCAGTCCGCATTTGGTGCCGTCGGTCGTCGAAGTTGCCCCCAAGACACGCCTCTCCGCCATGGCTGACACCATACGCGGTATTGGCAAGCAATTGCGAACAGGAGCACCAGCTACCACCAAGGTCTTGCTTCTCTCCATTGCATTGACGGCAATGCTCTCGGCGTTCGTCCTCAGTCCAGTGTATATGCCACTTGTGCAGCAGAAGTCCACGGATATTGCGGCTGACCCGTCAACGCTTTCTGTCGTTCCAGTATCGAGTCCACTGATCACACCGGCGGCAGCCAGCTCTTCGAGCATTGCTTCTGTTCCTTCCCCGTCTTCCTTTTCTCTGTCTGTACCGAAGGGCCTGACTGTCGTTCACCCGCAGGCTGAACAGCCTAAGCCAAAGCAAGAGAAGAAGAATAAAAAAGATGAGAAGCTCAACGGTTTCGATATTCAGACCGCTGGTGAGAAGCAGTTCATTCTTACTCCGTCAAAGGGCTTGGCCAGCTCGAGGAAGAAGCCGCAGCTCCAAATCCAAGTCTTCCGCAACACCACCTTGATCCCTGTCCGCTACGTCAGAACCATCACCGGCGAGTACTTCGTGGATCTCAAAGACGAGTATCCCTTCGGCATATTCAACGTCAGCATTGCAAGCTACTCCAAGCCTCTGCTACGTCAATCATTTGAGGTGAATCTGGGTCACAACAAGACTTGGTTCGACCAGATGCTGGGAACGACCACGAATAAGATCATTGACGCTCAGTCACTCTTCACAGACATCTCTGTCTTGGCCATGGAGCAGCTCCAAGCGAAGGTCAAAGACATCGCTGGTCCCATGGTTAGTCAGTGGATAGAGGAGGGTCGCCAGCTGGAACAAGCGGCCTACCGTAGTACGAAAGACGGATTGGATTCCGGTGCAGAGTTCATTAAGCATGTTCCCGAGGCCACCTGGATGGGATTGAGGAAGGCCACTGCTCCAGTTCGGTTGTCAGAAACCATGTGGAAGGCCAGGGTGAATGCTTTGCGAGTACGGTGCAATGCAGAGACAGTCGTTGGGAGGTTATTGAAGCTGTCCAATGAGCAGCCTAGTCGGGCCTGCTCTGAGTCTCAATCACACGCTCAGTAGCGGAGGGAGGGTTGAACGACATCCGGCCAGAGGGTGGTGAAGATGCTGGATTTGGCCTCGGTGGTGTTCCCATTAGGTGGTACTGGCGTTCTGTTTACAGCATGGGATTGGAGGACGGCATGCATCATCGAAGTACCGGTTGCTACAGCGGTGACGATAAATGTGGCGTTGACTTGTTGGATTTCTTCAGATACCAGGTGCGGGGCGATATTGGCGGCGTCTTTCTTCGTTTTATTTTGTCAAGGGCAAGTCATGGTCAAGTCCGTATCTAGTAGATCTCTAATGGTATACCTCTTTCGCCGAGTCTTTGCTTGCCAAGTGACATGGTGGATGTACATGCTCCCACGTTCTTCAGGGCTGAGTTTGCGACCCTGCCTGCGCATTGACCATGCAAGCTAAGTGCCTGCCCCTCCATTGCCGCCTCCCACAAATTCGTAGACTAGGCTAACGACAACACCCAAACACACACTCTGTAACTTATTCTTCCTTGTTACAGTGACCCTTCACCCTACACGAACCTCACACAGAATCTCCCGTCAACACACACACCATGTCTGACGTCGCTAAGCCCGACCCCGCTGCTGAGCAGGTCGCCAACCCCGGCGCAACTCTTGTTAAGGACGAGACCGCGAAGGTTACCACCGACAAGGCCGCCGACAAGGAGGAGAAGCCCGCAACTGCCTCCAGCGACGACAAGCCCATCACTGAGAAGGCCACAGAAGCTGCCTCTTCGGCCGCAGCTGCCGTCAAGGACAATGTTTTCTCCATGTTCGGCGGTGGCCCCAAGAAGGAGAAGAAGGAAGAGGCTGATGATGCTGACGAGCCCTCTGGCTCTTCCAAGGCACAGGCTGGTGGTGTACGTGCTGTGGTGTTTCACATCTCGTGACAACTCTAACACATTGCAGGAGGAGGACCCCGAGAACCAGGAGCCCGATGTCGAGTTCGCCCCCGTCGTCCACCTTACCGAGAAGGTCGACACAAAGACCAACGAGGAGCTCGAAGAGCAAGTCTTCAAGATGCGCGCTAAGCTGTTCAAGTTCGACCGCGAGTCGCGAGAGTGGAAGGAGAGGGGTACCGGCGACGTCAGGTTACTGAAGCACAAGGAGAACGGCAAGACCCGCCTGGTTATGCGACGAGACAAGACCCTCAAGGTCTGCGCCAACCACTACGGTATGAAACATCGCGATCTGGGTGTGGGATAAATACTGAGTAGTGTACAGTTGTGCCCGACATGAAGCTGTCGCCCAACGTTGGCAGCGACCGTAGTTGGGTCTGGAACGCCGCTGCCGATGTCAGTGAGGGCGAGCCCGAGGCTCAGACTCTGGCTATCCGCTTCGGTAACAGCGAGAGTAAGTTCAGCTGCATGTTCTGACTAAATGCTATGCTAACAACAATTCCCAGACGCCAACCTCTTCAAGGAGGCTTTCATCAAGGCCCAGCAGGAGAACGAGGCTCTGTTCAACAAGTCGTCGGAGTAAAGCAGGGTGGATGTTGAAGTGACTGGGACGAGAATGGAGGAATGAAGCATGCATGCACGAAGCGATGACATTTTGGGGTGGTATCATATCACGGCGATAGAAGCTCTTAACCCTGCACATACTAGATAGTACTAAATTGGCCTGGCTCTGAGTCTACGGCATTCCCCCAATCCTTTCTTTCGAAGAAGTGAAACAGTGCACAGTGACGTCGACGAAGGCGGAGAGAAAGACAAGCCGGTTGGCATGTGTTGGAGCCCCCTCTTTTGCGTACCTGCCTCATAATCTCGACGTTGACCGAGATATCTTAGGCTCGCCTCTCTCGTCCAGATCTGTACTCTGCCGCAGTAGGTTCCACGCCTGCAGACAAGCTTGATTTGTCGCGCCAAGCGGGAGCTGTAGCTGACCTCCGCCCACTTGTCCCGCTCCGCCAAACCGTGGGACGCGACCAGCCACTTGCACCAACCGAACCTCGACCTCCGCTCTCACAACGCGCCTGAAGTCGCGCAACCTCCAGACCACCACCTTTTGAATCGCCGCACTCTGCAACACCGCCAACATGCCTGACGTATGCGCGCCAGCTTTGTGTGTAATTATACGAATGCTAATTTTCTGCAGGTCAAGCGCTGGGTCAAGATCATCACCCACCAAAAGCCCATGTATGTTCAGCACGCGCAACCACTGCGCTCACGTCCTCCCCCGCACCGACGACCTTCGTGCATTAGACACGAAGCAGCTACTAATCTATCAACCACAGCGATGGCCCATCTCCAGTCGAAGGGTTCCCTATGCGATCATGGAGCATCGAGATCTGGCTGCTGGACGACCAAGGCAACGAGGTCATGCCCACCGTCTACGAGAAGGCCGTCTACAATCTGCACCCATCGTTCGACAAGAACAAGCAGAGTAAGTGCGCCGCGAGTACGCAGAGAAAGAGCGCATGTTGATAGCCGTGTAGCATTCAAGAAGCCGCCATTCCGCATCGATGAGCAGGGATGGGGAGAGTTCGACATGAGCATCGTCCTCACAGCAGCACACAAGGGCGGCGAACACACACTCAGCCATGACCTCAACTTCCAGTCTGAGCGGTATGAGGCCAAGCACCAAGTCGTACGTACCCCTCTCCCGCCCCACGCACCCTTATATACCTCTCGCCTGTCAACTACCTGTGCTTGCTAACAACCTGACGCAGACCTTCCGCAACCCCAAGCCCGAGCTTCTCGCTCTCCTGCAAGACTCCGGCTCTGCCGACGCAAACGGCGTCCGCGGCAAAGACGCCTCCAAGAAGAAGGCTCGGCGCGACAAGGCCATCGACATGGAAAAGCTGGCCGACGGGCTGCAGAAGCTGAGCGAGGACGACCTGCTGCACGTTGTCACCATGGTGCACGACAACAAGACAAGTGAGACGTACACCAAGAACGACGTCGAGAGTATGTACACCCTGGATAGGATTAGAAAAGGTTTTTTTGGGAACGAGTGTGCTAACGTGAATGCAGACGGAGAGTTCCACGTCGATCTGTACACCCTGCCCGACTCGCTTGTCAAGATGCTGTGGGACTTCACAGCCAGCAAGACAGAGTTATAAGCACACAAAACCGTGCTTACAGGCAGGCTAACAGAAACGCAGTCTTCCCGAGCGTTTGACTGTTACTGTAGACGTCTACGGAACAATCACCAAAACCATCCACCATCTCAACCATCTCAACCATTCTGAGCGCGACATGAATCCTGATCACACAGAGCGCTCTGTGTCGAAGCCTAGTCGCGTCATGAGAGGAGGTGGGATCGCATGGTGCACGACGTAATACCGACTTCTGATTTTCTATACATGCAACCAGGCCACAGCACATCACGGTGGTGCTGGCCGTTTTTGAATTCGAATGATCTATTTACGAGCCATGGAGTTTGGGCAAAAGTAGGGTAGATACCTCTTCTGGGTAGGGTATCGCTTAGGATCAATCGATGTTTTCATGATTCAAATTCCCTCTCCAGATCATCCCAAACTTAGTAGGAACTCAACAAGACTATTCAGACAAACCGCTAACGAAGACAAACAAACACACCGCCATCGATGACGTCTTCACGAACTTTGAGAGCAGCAGTCACGGTCGCCTTCTACTTTGCCTTTTGGCGGGGTGCGATTCACACCCCATACCATACCTGTAGTTAATTTTTGGTTCGAGGAAGAGAAGAGAGATACCGATTACTCCGCGAGATCGAGGACGTTATATGCCGAAGCCGCAGCTCCTCTCATGAGCGTTGGTCAGCGTAGATTTAGATGTCGAACGTATAAATTTCCACCTCAACAACTTGTACGTCCTGCGACGTTGAAGGTAAGGCTGGTGAATCAGCGATGTGCGGAAGTGCACCGAAATCTTGGAAACAGAACACCGGCACTCAGTCAGATACTTTTGGAAGAGGACACAGCAGACACATCATCTTCTGAGCTACCGTTCTTGAGTGTTCAACCGAGGAGATGCGTGTTCCAAGGAGAAACGCGCTGACAGAACGACTTATATCGCATTTGGAAGCACTCCATCCATGCGGATGTTGACGATGGATTTTATTGCGCAGAGCTGGCACCGAACACTGCTTTCTTGGTTTTTGCATTTGACGGGCAACAGCCACGCGTCTGCACGGAGTAGACTTTGGAGGAGGCACATGATCTGCTAATACAAAGGCTTTATCCGCTTTTTGATAGCAGAGAAGAGAAAACATTGTAGGAAGGGTGATGGGAGAGAGTGAGCCTTTGAACTCGACCAACGTTTGCCGGACTAAGTTGTATGTTGTGTTGTGTTGTGTTTTCAGGCGCAGGCGAGTATCTGTCTGTTGAAATGCAAACAGTCTAGCCATGGAAACGAACTTCGTGGCTTTTCGTGGCAACCAACATAGGGACTCGGCTCTACTGTTCTGGAAGCACGCCACCCCCACTTCGTACGTCGGTTATAAAGGGTGAATTGATCTAGGAGAAAGAGTGGAGGATGGTGCACAGCTTCCTCTGTGCAAAATGACTTTATACGTCGGCAACCGCTGAACTTGAGAGGTCCATCGATCTCTCCCAATCATCTTTCGGACAAGACGCAGCTTCCACTCCATGCATCGTAAGATGTCTCGATTTGAATTCAGCAGAGGAAAGGTTCATCCAAGAAGAGTAGAGCACTGACAGGGAGTCTGTATTGCACACGCACAACCGTCTCTGCATGGCAGGTGCAACGAGGGGCTTTTGGATTGCCCAGGCAGGCCTCTACACACATAGATCGTCATATGCTTTATTTAGATAATGTGTCAAATTTCGAGCAGACTGGTTTTCTAGAGGTAGAACGGAGCCAGAGCAGGGCAGGAACTGGGCATTGTAGCTTGATCTACGCTATTGAAAGGGGCAAAGTCATAGGGTGACCGAGAGAGAGTTTGGGAGGCGCAAGAATTGCTTATGCCTTGTCTTTGTTGACATCTTTATAACAGCGAAGAGAAGACTAGTGAGAGAAGAAAGCCATGAAAAGCATGATTTCCTTTGCAGCTTTGATCAACGCTTGGTTGAATTGGACGTTGAGGATATGACCTCCGTAAGGCGGAGGGAAGAGAAACATGTTCGGATTGGCAGTGAGTTTTGAGAACGGCAGCCATGCTCGCTTCCAAAAGTCATTTTGAAGGCAGAAATATTGCACGTGGCAGACTTGTGTTTGTATTTGAATGAGCAGAGAAGAACTAAGCTGGCGAGGGCAAGAGTCGGTAGGATACAATATATGCTTTTATACTTCCACTTCTTCAGACATGTGGCAGAGATGGCCGACTTCTGGAAAGACGCATATGAGGCAGATCAGTCCCCTCTCTGTGGGTCTGTTGACAGTGGGTATACATCACAAGGCTCAAGGGCCCTGGTAGTGTGGTTGCATGATTCAGTCTGGTGAAGACCTCTAGCTCAAAATTTCAGGTCCTTTGCTCTTAGCGCTTCAGTGTGGGCGACAGACATGGAGGTGTCGACCATCACTTTTACGTCGGCGAAGACAACAGACATTGACAGCTGGCGTCATGCTTTTGGTGATGGTAGTCAGGTATCGTGAGGCAAGAGTGAGTAACGAAGAGATGTTGTAAAGCGACCTTTATATGCTGGTGAGAACGAGCCGGCGCCATGATGGAAAGCAACTGCTCTTTTGGAGAAAATGGACGCGGTCCAATATTATTTCAATTGTCATTTGAGACGTGTTGGCAACACACATGCCTTCACGTGACCTTTCTTTCTGCAAAAGCGCAGGCATGGAGACGTTCGTTTGTGCTTTTGGAGTGGGGCGGCAGGCGCATATGCGCTCACCAAGGTAACATCCTCCAATCCTGAAGCTAGACGTTGCCCTGGTCACTGGCCATTTTGAAATCTGACAACGAAGGAAATGTCGAAAGAAGAGGGCAGAAATAAGTTAGGGGTAAATAGCCAAGGTGGAACCATATAGTCCCCCCGGAGTGCTTTTGGCGCGCGGGAACAGACATGCACGGGTAGTATCGTGTTTTGAAGCTGGAAGCAACGGCACATATCTCGGATCCAATGGTGTTTTCGAAGGCTGGAGAAAAAAGATGGGGAAATAAAGAGCAGAGACGTTGGAGACGAGACTTTATACTCGGGGAAGTACCTACGAGAGCCAACGTGCAAGCGTACATCTGACGATCGTCACGCACATGGGTGTCCACCCCCAATGGCGCATCATGTTCTTATTCGTTTCAAGTTTCGATATTGTACACCAACCCCCTCCATCTCCATCTTTCCTTGCCTCCCTTTCTTCACCGCCCACCACGACCGCCCCTCTCATCCTGCATACCGATCGCTGGGTCCGGTGCCTCAGGGAACTCCTTCTTCGCCCTCTCCTTGCCGCCAGAAGAGTCCCTGCCCTCGGTTGCATGGCCGCCAGAGCCTTCCTTTGCGCTACTATATTCTCGTCAGCCTCGATTCCTCAACATTACATACCCATCGTCGTGTGAGCTTTCGCGAGGACACAGCCGCACCACAAAGAACCAGGCAACTGGGCCGTGTAGGATATGTATGGTAGAGGATGTCGACTCACTCGAGGCCATCCGCCAGATTGCTCGTCTGGACATCATTCTTATCGCCCTTCTTTGCCTTGTTCACGCTGTGCTCATCATCGGGCAGCATATCGGTCTTGGTCTTCGAGTTCGTAGAAGCATTGTTAGGGTATCCCTCGACGCGCTGGACAGCGGACTGGGAGAACGGTCGAACGCTGACAACGCATAGTGTCCGCGAGGACCTGGATGCGAAGGTGCGAAGCATTATGTGTAGATAGTTGTTCGGGGTTGGGTTCGAGATTGGATTGTGGAAATGGTCAATTGGGATGTGAGGTGTGGAGGAATCAAGGTGAATGGTTAATGAGAATGCAATTACAGGAAGGAACATCCGAGGTAACAGCCATGATGCGTTCGCACGTCGCGTAACGGTAAGGCACCAGGCCTCTCCTGGTGCTATGATGATCGATGACGATATCATCGTAGCCCCGCGCTCGAAGTGTGGCCATAGCTTCTCGCGCCAGGGGTTATGCAAATGTGGGGTCTGTAGCGGGGCAGCCTCGCACTTCTGAATCTCATCTATCGATAACGTTTTCACGCGCGACTTTAGGAACACTGCCAGGCTGCATTGACACATGAAGCGCACATACGACGTTATGGCCAACGCACAGACATGGGACGCCGCTGAGTTTCCCTGCACACTGTACTTCTTATCCTCCCCCTTCATTCGAATCCACTAACACCCCCAGACAACTCAACATCCCCTTCCCCTCGCACCACTACGCCTCAACCGCCTCACGCGCACTCTCCGTCGACGCCGAACTCTCGCCGCTCGTACGCCGCTCCTTCAGCCTCGCCGGCGACAAAGAGCAGAATATCCTCGTCGTCAACTACGCTGCGACGACAAACCGCATGCTGCGCGTAGCGGTGAATGGGTTCTTCGAGAGCATGGGTGTGGTGGTTGGGGTCATGAAGGATTTGGATGTTGATGTGGTGTATGAGCCGGCTGGGGAGAGTTTGGACGGCGTGCAGGGGTTGGTGGTTGAGGGGGTTGAGGAGAGGGGGTGAAGAGTAGGAAGAGGAGTTTGACTCGAGGGCTGGATGTTGGGATGCGAAGAGCGGAGAATACTGGAGAACACACACACGACAGCTTAGCTTGTTGCCATGGACCAAGCAGATGATGGGTGAGGCCTGGCCGCGAGGCTGTCAGTGGAGAGACGACGCGACGCACAAGGGACGCCGGGGCGTGATGATGTCGAGCATGTGAATGCGTTCGAATAGCCTCGGAGAGGCAGAAGATATCCATGTTTAGGCATACTACGCTACACGTTTATATGCTAGATTGCGCCACGAGTAGAGAGTGTCCAAACGAATTTAATTGAACTAGTTCGCTGTGTGTGTTTTGGAGAAGCTTGCAAGGCCTAAGCTTGCTTCTTCGCTGGTGGCTCATGGCCATCCGCTGCCCAATCTTGTTACTCTTCTAGTTTCCGCTTCTCAGCGGGCTTGCCTTCTAGCATTTCCATCGGAGCCGGTGGCATCATCGATGGCGCAGAAGACGCCTGTGGAGGCGGTGTACCAGGCGGCATCGGTGGATAGACGCCATGATCACGGATCTCCCAGCCATCGTGCTTCAGTTGTTTCCATCTTTCTGCCACCTTGAAACGAATCAACTCGCCGGTCGTCTTCGCGTCCTCGAAGCTGTCGTGTCCAGCCGCTCCGCCTTGCTGTATGTCGAGGTCGAGTTTGTCTTTTGCAAGAGCGCGTAAGCCGTGGCGTAGAGGCAGCCCTCGTTTATGCGGAAAGAGCAGCACTGTGTCGATGATATTGGGATGGATGATTCTGAGAGTGTTGAGGTCGTTCTCGAGGGCGTGGCCGAGAATGGGCGTTGTGGTTGTGACGTGAGCAAGGAACAAATCTCGCGCCACGTAAGGTGACTCTACGATGCGGATATCGTTCCGTCTAGGCTTGGGATCCGCTGAATCGTATGGTTTTGCGTTGAGGAACTGTTCTGTTGTGATACCGGAGAATCGAGTATTCACATCGAGAAGATGTCCGATCGGACGCACCAGAACATCAACTAGGGGTTGGTGTGTCGGCCATGAGATGGCTGTAAGTCGCATGAGTTCGAGACCATGGGTGGTGTAGCCCATCTCGCAGTCGAAGCACACTGCAATGTCTGATGGTGCGTCGTCATTTACCGGCGTCTCGATAAACGGCATGACCAGGAAGAGACGCTTTGGGTCTGCAATCTTGTAGACATGTGTGTCGTACGTTGTGCACCCTGGCGACCCTACAGGCTCATTGCAGCAGGAAAATGTAGTTGGTTCTGGCCCAGAATTCTTTGATCTCTTAGGATATACGCGCCTGCCCCAGTGATGGGTGCATGGGCCCCCAGTGGTAAGTGCGCCGTCTTCCCCCCTGCGCTCTGGGAAGACTTGGAAACGGGTGTTGCAACGATCGCAAACTTCCCAAAAGTCTGCTGAAGCCTGTGCCAGCCTGGCTTCATCTAGTTGTTCTGTCGTTGGAAGCTTTGTGACATAACCATGTGCATCTAAGCCGTCTTGTGAACAGATAAGATTCGAGAGAAACATGACTTCTTCCCTCGGTGTCAAACCCGTATCGACCTTCTTTGGTGGTGGCTTTTTGGGAGGTAGTCCACGCTCTTTCGCCAGTGCCTCGAACCTCTCCTTGACCCACTCTTCTGGTGTCATTTTCTTGAGCTTGAAAAGTCGTTGCTTCAGTACATTCTCGTAGACCGCGGGGTTGGTTCTGGCAATTTGCTCTTCTTCGTCCACCGCTAGCTTGTTGAGCTGGTTCGAGTCCATGTGCAATGCCTTGATCTCGGCCTTCACGGCTCTCGCAATCTTGTCGTTCAATGGCTTCATGAAGCTGTGTAGCATTTTCAAGAGTGTTAGTCGTCTCGTAAAGATGGCTGGCTCTTTCAGGAGTTTGCGTGGCATCAACGCTACTGGACCCGTGGGCTTGGGGGCAGCTTGTGCCAGGGACGCCTTGGGAGGCGGTGACACTGGCCGTGTTACGGACTGTGGCAGAGTATCGGTATCCCTCCCATTGTTTGTCGGTTTTGGTGATGCTGTAGTGACGGTACTTGCTCCCTTGTTTGCGACAATCGCCTTGTCCTTGCCTGGGGTCAATCCAGTAAAGACGGATCTTGGTGCAACTGGTACATCCGGCACCGTGCTCAAGGTACCTTCCTTCGTGCTATCGTCGAGCTTCTGACGCTTCGCAGCTGGCTCACTATCTATTGCGTGGCTGGCCGCTGAGGTGCATGGCGTGCTATGCGCTTTGATAGCATCATGGCTGAATATGCAGTGAGGGAGCTCGCATTTGGTACCCGCAGGACATGTTATGTTGCCGAAGCTTCTGAAAGCGGGTACTGATGGCCACATTGTTGATCACTTCTCTAGTGCTGAACGATAGACGTGGTGAGTAAACAAAACAACAGACTATTTCACGGCTAAGACATACCATGTGAGTAGGTCGCGTGAAGGAACGGTGTGATGTGTAAGAAAACTGGTACTTCGAAGATGGGAGCTTCAACAGGAAAGCGTCGAGCAGCAGCGCTTGCAAAGGTCAGGTCTGGAGGTGGAAAGAGCAAACACCCTTACATGCGCTCACTTACCACTATCACAAGACTCACTCCTACCACAAGGTTTTAACGGTAGTGATAGAGCTTGAAAGCTACCTGACCCACTTTGAGGTGCGCGAACTTAGCTGAAGGTGAGAGTGAGCTGTGGCGCAAGCTACAGACCAAACGCTAGATCGCCAAGCTGCAGGGTACGCGGGCACGCGCGCACCAACACGGCTCGACTTGCCTCGTTCCGATCATGACGTTTTGGTCCGTCTCGGACATCTTCAAACTTGGTGCACACAGTCGATTGCAAAACGCCTGTCAGCACTTCTCGGTTTTTCGGAGGAACCATGTACGCCGTATATATCCCTATCACTTTCACCTGTGGCTTTTGTCTAGTGCAACGCCAAGTCTAGTCGCGACTGCATTCCGAGCGGGTGTCCGAGAAAACCGCCTTCCCGACGAGATATGGGAGCGCGATAGCTACAATAACCACCTCACCCCTTCCTGCCTGAGACACCAACCTGCCAAACCTCACATCTTATGACGATGGCTACTTCGACCCCAACTGACACTTCACGCAAAGTCACTCACCTCGTCGTTCTAGTTCATGGGTATGGTAAACGTCATGAGGCGACTCTCGCCTCCCACCTTATTCCGGATAGGACTCCACGCTGACAACCCCCAGGCTCTGGGGCAACCCCGATCACCTGAAGTATCTCACCACCAGCATTCGCGAGCGATATCTGGATCTCGACGTTCTTGTACCCAAGAGTAATTCCGGTAGCTTCACCTACGATGGCATCGAGCTTGGCGGCGAGCGCGTTGCAAACGAGGTCGAAGCAAGACTTGAGGAACTAAAGAAGGATGGCCACGACGTCAAGAAATTCAGCATCACTGGATATTCGCTGGGAGGCCTTGTGGCAAGATACGCGATCGGGCTGCTCTACCACAAGGGCGTCTTTGAGCAGATCGAACCAGTGGTACGTATCCTAAGGAGAGCGACAAAGATCGAACATGGCTGATGGATCTGCAGAACTTCACCACATTCGCTACACCACATCTTGGTGTCCGAACGCCGCTACGAGGATACACCAGCCACGTATGGAACGTACTGGGAGCCAGGACGCTTTCCGCCAGTGGCAGGCAGCTCTTTGCTATCGACCAGTTCCGAGACACCGGCCGACCTATTCTGGCAGTATTGGCGGACTCTGACGCTATCTTCATCAAGGCCCTGGCACAGTTCAAGCACCGTAGCCTATATGCGAACGTCGTCAACGACCGCACGGTGACCTACTACACTGCCGGTATCTCCCAGACAGACCCGTTCATCAAGCCAGACGAGGTCAAGATTAACTATCTCCCGGGCTATGACGATGTCATTGTTGACGGCGAGAATCCAGTTTCGCCAAAGGAGCAAGAGCCTACACCAGCCCTCGTCCATCGCTTGACTGCCTCCACGCGAACAGTGTTCGGCCGCGTTCCTCTCCTCGCCTTCCTTGTTGTCTTTATTCCAATCGGTACTACGCTCTTCCTCTGCAACTCTGTGATCCAGTCCTTCCGCAGCCAGCAGCGTATCCGCCTGCACAAGTCGGGAGGAGCTGGCATTGAAGCAGACCGATACCGTGTTCCCCTCATGCTCAATGCCGCTCGCAAGGAGGTAGAAGACATGTTCGAGAACGTCAACAACGCCCATGAGCAAGAGTATCTGGGCAGCGACAGCGAGGAGATGGCCTCACCAACCCAGCCCACGTCCCCCAGGTTCGAACGTAAGAACCCAGTCGCCGATGTAGAAGCCACCCAAGAGTCGAAGTCAGGATCTGTTCTCGAGTTCCCGGCTCTTGCGTTGAGACAGGATCAATTCAAGATGATCGAGGCTCTCGACAACGTCGGCATCAAGAAGTTTCCGGTCTATATCCACAACCACCGCCACTCGCACGCCGCCATCATTGTGCGTATGGATCGGAAGTCCTTCGATGAGGGCAGGATTGTCGTTAAGCACTGGCTAGACAACTTTGAGGGTTAAAAAACGGCAATCGACCACAGGTCATGATATAGCACTAGAGCACGGTGTACACATGTACACATCCAGGAGGCCTTCGACACTCTGGGATCTTTTGCAGCATTTCAGCATTTAGTGTTTTTTGTCAGGAGTTACAAGGTCTGACGATTTAGCGCATACCCAGTACAGAGTCAACATCTGCATTTCCAACGTTCAATCAATTCAAAAGTCTAGTCCACATCCTGTTCTACACTGCACGTCCTCAACTTCGTGATGCCTTCGTAAACCTCGAGGCTTAGACCCTTCCACGCAGTACGCAGCTCACTGCGCGTTAAGCACGCGGCTCTCCACCTTTTTCAAAAAGCTTGCCACGTCAACCGAAAGCTTAGCACACGTTCCTGCGTTTCACACACTACTTCATTCCAGAGCCTTATCCTGCCCTCGCATCCAGGCAAGGCCCTCAAAAGCAGCTAGTCTCTTACGCATGCAGCAGCCTCGTCATGTGGTATCGCGTCTGCTTCGGGCCCTCGGCGAGCGCACCGAGGCAGTGCAGGGTTGCGGGCAGGGTTGGAGGCTCGGAGAGGGAGCGTCCGCTGTTCGCACCCTCGTCTGCGCTACGGGCGTGTTTCAGGTTTCTTTGGGCTACGATCCCTGACAGTGGCGATCATAGCGGCTCGGAGATAATGGTTCTTGGGTTGAGAAGATTGTGCAAGTTAGGTGTAAATCGGGTTGAGCGTTGAGAGCTGCTAAATGGGGATACCCCATCCGCTATCTTTACTTACGATTCACAGGCCTCACGCGGTGGTGGGTTTGTATGTGTGAGTTCCTATACGGGTGGGGGAGATTCCGATAGGATGTGTGCAAATACAATTGTTTCACCAACGGCTGGAGAAGTGATGCGCTTCAGACTGACAGGTGTGGGTACTTGATTGTGATTCTAGATCTTCTAGTTCTACTGTGTGGTATCAATGCTGTTGTTTGTTCATGCTGGACTGAAATCAAAAAGCCTACATGCGCCGTATGCGCAGTCCTTGCTGCATGGTATCCGAAAATCATGATAGGAACATGCCGTGCTCAATACACGTCGTATAACTCCTGTGTAGCACCGTAATCAAACGTTGGAGAGATGCTGTCAATATGTCATTTGTACAGTTGATGTGGACGCTCAGTGGATGAGCTTTGCTTGTTGGTTCAATGGGTGCGTGACCACTGCGCAGCTCCGGGCTTCTAGTCCATGAGCTTCTGGAGCGTCTCGTCTGTCTCTCGTCGGCCTTCTTTCAGGCACCTGCCTTCTCGCCCAACTTTTTCTTGCAGTGTGCGGAGCTGGTCTGTGTCGTTTTCGTCAAATGCGAATGCGCCGCTCCAAAATCCGCAGTCAATGTTCGTCGTCTCATTCCGGTAGATAACTTGCGCTTGGCCAGCTAGATCAACGGGTGGGATGCCAGCCTCTTCTTCTCCAGCTCTTGCGCCAATCTCTGCGATTTCACTCTGCCCTGGCATGTGGTGGAATAGCTCGGAGTTCAGTGTCCAGCAGCGTAGACCGGGGCTCGCATACTTGTACCGTAACTTGGGGTTGGGGTGAGGTTTGGGATTTCTCCAGTTTGCCGTGGGTGAGGGCGTCTTAGACCCTTTGTTGCAGGCGTGTAGGAGCGAGACGTCGAATGCGCGGGGCCCCTTCTTACGGAGCTTCGGCGGTGCGAGGTCGTTGAGCAGTCGTTCGGCGGCCGGGCGCGTGACTGCATAGCCGAAAGAGCAGAGTGGGAACTTTGAGCGGTGAAAGACTCGCGAGTGCGCGGGCATCTGTAGTGCGCCAAACAGGGCTTGCGTAAAAGGGTGCAGGTCGGATCTCATGGGCAGAGTGTAGTCCTTGTACAAGACGTGGGGTGTGCCGGTCAGGTTGTAGCGGCTGTTGGTAGCTTTTGGTCCATCTTCAGTGATCTCGTCGAAATAGTCGCCGCAGTGGCCAAGATAGAGTAGATCCCAGTCATCGTGGTTGCCCCAATACTGCACGTGCTTGCTACCGAAGTTTGCAAATGGATGGTACGATCGTTGTGGTGGAAGGAGCTGGCGTGCAGCGCTTGCTGCCAGTGGAATCTGAATGCTGCGAAGGCGAATGTCCCAGTCGACGTCGTCTTCAAGAATGAGTGCTGTCTCTAGTCCAGAATCCAAGAACCTGCAAGAACGAATCAGCGACGGCCCTGTACGACGGAGCATGAGGCTGCAGCCAAGAAGCGCCCTGCAGACGAGCTGCTTACCAGCGAAGAGCGTTGTGGTGGCCTAACCACGCTAGTATTGAGCCTCTCTGAGCATTGTCTTGGCCATTGATGAATCGTTGAACGTCGCCCTCAGTCCACTGCGGTTGCTGTGGAATGGTGAGGTCAACGTCGGTCACGTTCGCGGCCTGAAGCAGGGCATGGCGGCGTTCAGAGCCATCTTTTGAGACGACAACGACAGCACCAAAGCCCAGTGTGCGATTTGCAGGCAGCTTCATGGGATGCGACTCGATCGAGGTCGACCACTGCTGGTATATGCGGTCGGCATGATCTCTGTGGTAGAAGATGACGACAAGAACGAGCGTGAGGGCAGCCAGCAGCGGCAGCGGCCGTTTCCTGGTCGCAAGCATGGCTCAGTGTGGGACGGAAGAGACAGAAGGCAAACGAGTGAATCAGTGCATGCTCGCAGGGTAGGAGGGCAAAAGCACCAGGCGACGACAGCGAAGGGAGGAAAACAGCAGGGCCGCTGGCGCAGTACTGTGTATGGCAGTCAGAGGTGTTGCACTGGAGGCAGGACCGTGTGGACGGCCCAGAGCAGGGCAACGTTTATCAAGTCTCATCGCAGGCGCACTGGGGTCGTCACAGACAGGGATGGGAGGTGTCGATTGGCGCATCTGTATCAGTTGTGTCAAGCTACGTTTAATTGAACCGCGTTGGTTACCAGGGATGATGATCAGAGCGGTGGAGACACTGGAGACGGGACGCGTGTGTGCGACTGTCAGTGTAGCCAAGTGGACGAACATTCATTCAAGCATCGAGGGAGCGGTATGACAGTGGCGCGGCGGCCATTGGCAGTAGCAAGGGCGGCGGCCACTGCCAACATACGAGGAGCGCTGCGTGCCTCTGCGTGCTGCTGCATGCTGCTGCGTGCTGCTCTCAAGTGCGTCTTGTAATTGCAGGGACGGTGGCACAAGGGATGGACGGTCACGTGCGCTGCTTGCCTCTTCGCATCCCAAGTGAGATCGGCTGCAGGGCGGCCGGCGGCGGACATGGGCCGCATCTGGGACACGACCACGTCTTGGAGCGCCTCCGTCAACTCGTCCGGGGTAGCAGACACAGTCGCCGCGCCTCTCCAGGGCTCTCTCCCCTATACCTAGCATTCTATCGCCGTCCTCGTGCTGTCGCTGCTGTCGCTGCTGTCGCTGCGTCTCACTCCCTCTCTGGACGCCTCTGCATGTGACTCGCTGTGCGCCGCTGCACCCTGAAACTGCGTGTGCAACAGCCCCATCTCAGCTCTCCCGCGGGCCTCTCTGGCAGCCTTTCTGGCAGCCTTTCTGGCGGCCTTTCCACGCCTTGCACGCCTTGCACGCCTTGCACGCCTTGCACGCCTTGCACGCCTTCCACAGCTCTTCTCGGATGGGTCGCCTGCGCTAGTCTGACCCCGTAGAATCCGCGTCGAACCCGTCCGCTCGCTCAATCGCCCCCCGAACATTCAGATGCCCTGTCTCGCGCTGGGCCGGTAACGAGAGCCCCGAGTATGGCCACGCTGGGCTCGCCCTCTCCCCCGTCGTCCCCCTCCCGAGCCATGCGCCCCCGCGCCTGGGCACGCAAGGTCGAGCGGTACTGCTGCAACACCATCACCTACTTCCCGCTGCTGTTCGTCTACGGCCTGACCACCTGGGCCGTCTGGGTCGAGGTCGGCATCGGCTTCGTGCCCGCCAAGAATGCCTGGACTGGTGCGCACTCCCGCAAGCCGCAAGCCGCAGCCGTCGAGACACGCGTGCAACGCTGACACAACAATGCAGGCCACTTCACATCCGCGCTCGGCTTCTTCCTCTACTGCATGCTCAACTGGAGCTACACCACCGCCGTCTTCACCGATCCCGGGTCGCCGCTCAACTACAACAATGGCTACAGCAATCTGCCCACGCAGGAAGGAGGAGGCGTGCACTACACCTCGTTCACCGTCAAGGCATCCGACGGCGGCGTCCGCTTCTGCAACAAGTGCCAGTCCAACAAGCCCGACCGCGCCCACCACTGCTCGACATGCAAGCGCTGCGTCCTGAAGATGGACCACCACTGCCCCTGGCTTGCGACCTGCGTTGGCCTGCGCAACTACAAGGCCTTCCTGCTGTTCCTGATATACCTCACCTTCTTCTGCTGGGTCTGCTTTGCGACGTCGGCGACATGGGTGTGGAGCGAGATCCTGAGCGACAACCAGTACACCGAGTCTTTTATGCCCATCAACGACGTCTTGCTCGCTGTACTTTCCGGCATCATTGGGATAGTCATTACTGGCTTCACTGCATGGCATCTCTGGCTCACAGTCAAGGGCCAGACCACGATCGAGAGCCTGGAGAAGACGCGCTACCTGTCGCCGCTCAGACAGACGATGAAGCACAACCTCAACGACCGCAACTACCTCGATGCGCAGGCCAGCGGACGGCTTAGCATCGGCGACCAGCTGCGCGAGATCCACGCGAACGCGCTCCCCGGCGTGACTAGACCGGAAGAAGGCGAGACACCCTCGCGCTCACCGACGCCTTCCAGCGGGCAGGGCAACGACTACTCGCACCCTGCATACAACTCGTACGAACACCGAGAACGCCAGCAATACCAGGACCGCTACGACAACTATCTCGACGAGCGAGACAACGAGCAGCTCCCCAACGCATTCGATCTGGGCTGGAAGCGCAATGTAGCTCACGTCTTCGGCCCCTCGCCCATCAAATGGTTCGTCCCCATCACCAACACCACAGGAGACGGCTGGTCCTGGGAACCAAGCCCGAGGTGGCTCGCAGCCCGCGATCGCATCCGCCAGGACCGCGAGCGAGAGGAGCAGCAACAGAAGCAGCGCGAGCGCGCCGCTGGCTGGGGCGTCGACACGCCCACCGAAGCAGAATTCCGGCGCGTCGGCCGCGTCCCCCAGGGCTGGCAGCCAGGCGGTTGGAATCCCCCGTCCCCACGCGTCTCCTACCGCCACGCCGATCAAAGCCAGTACCTCTCCGCGACAAACACCGGCACCGTGACCGCGCACCGCGACGGCCGCAGGAGCCCGAGCAAAGCAGACCAGATCCTGGGTAGAGAGCAGGGCATGTACGCCGACGGCGATGTGCCGCTCCAGACCATCGAGACGCGGAAGAAGTTCGACCAGTACAACTACATCTCCGAGGACGACGACGAGGATGAGTACGAAGTCTCCAGCGACGAGCAGGATGCGGATCGCAGGATCAAAACGCAGACGACGACGACGACGACGACGACGACGACCTTGCCGCAGACGAAGAATTGGAACGATCTCCCTGAGGGGTTCTCGGATAAGTCACGCAAGGGCAAGAAGAGCGGGAGTCGGGAGAGGAAAAAGGATTGGGATGAGTGGAAGGACAATTGATCAAGGAGCGGATGGGAATGGGGGATGATATTCAGGGATCTATGACGGGATGGCGATATGTGTACCATGTAATTGCATATTGAGGCGTACGAAGCAAGTCTTGCATAGACAGGCGTTTTGGGATTGAGCCGTTGCATTGGATAGGGAGGACTGTAGTAATCTCACATCATTACTCTCCATGTTCTTCTCCCGCTATGCTGACGGTGACGGTGACGGTGACGGTGACAGTATAGCATGGGTATAAATGGATGAGTGGTCGAGCTAGCTAGCTAGCTAGCCAGTCCTAGGACTACCTATCGACTGAGGGTCCGGCGCGCCAGCCCTGGTGTCCAGGTGCAGGACCCATACTAACTATCTATCTATCTATCTATCTATCTATCACACTCGAGCTTCACTGCCACCCCTCATCCCCTTCTCCCAAGTACTTCTCCTTCTCCCTCTCCCGTCTCACCAGCGCTACCTCCCCCGCCCACTCTCCATTAGCTTCCCTAGCTTCTTTGGCTGCGCGACGTCCGTCCTTGACCATCCTCCTCCCTGCGGACAGTAGGAATGGCTGTTCGTGTGCGGGAGAGGGAGAGGGGTGGGCGGAGCGCCATCCGCGCTGCTTCGAAAACGCGCTTGGGAAGCGAGTAACGGACGGTGTTGTGATCAGTGTTGTTAACTTTGAAGGATGGCTGGACTCTCTTCGAACAGTGTCGTGGAAAACATTGGTTGAAAGTATTCGTACTGATGCGGTCCACTGCGATCGGTGTAGGCGATGGCGTGTAATGTCAGACTCGTAGAAGATGGAATGTTTGCGTAGCACCATAGAGTGCGCAGGGCTAGGGTTAAGATGGTACTCGAGGTAACATGAAGCTTGCATATCGACGGGAACCTGCAGTGCAGCTGACTTCAGTATCACATGTCGATGCAGATCAAATCGGATGTAACGATGAGAACAGAGGCACAGATGTGGATGTTGAAAGAGGTCACTATAGTGACAGCGAGGATGACGTTGAGTGGTATCTACGTAGTAGTGCATATGTTGCAACAGAAGAAAAGTAAACTAGCCAAAGCCTCAGCGGGCACGTCCCAAACAAACCATAAAGCAAAAGCCGTGACAGTTGGGTGTTCTTCCTGTGCAACGCCAGCAATCCGGGTTGGGATGCTTGATCCCTATATCCAAAAGGTCCAAAAAAAAAAAAAAAAAAAAAAAAAAGTAAATTACGATGACGCCTCGTCGTCTTTCACACTCGCACTCACATACCCGTCATCAACCTCCACGAGCCCAACAAGCGTCTTGCTCGTCTTGAGGCAGTACTCCACGATCTTGGTTCTCGCCTTGTTCGACAAGCCGCTGCGTCGACCAGTCTCGCGTCCGATCCACATGCGCAACGCAGAAGCGATGCGTTCAAGGCCGGAACTTGTCTGAGCTTGCAGCGATGAGTCCTCCATGAAGCGAGTGAGGATCTTGTGGCCGGCGACAAAGCTGAGTAATGTTGTAGTACATTCGGGAAGGAAGGTGTTGTTGATGACGAAGATGGCACGTTTGTGCGCATTGCGGTGCGAAGATTCGATGAGTGAGATGCATTTTGCTAGTGTGAGTGCCTTGCGAACATCGACAGCGACTGTGCCGTCGCCGACAAGGTTCAAGCCGGTTTTGCTGACCTTTGATGAAGGTGGTGTAGGTAGAGCTTCGAGTGCTTTGGCGATGCGAGCGTCACGGTCCTCGTCGAAGACAATAGCGTCGGCAACCAGGGCTCGCATCTGAGCTTGCGAGTTGGCGGGTGCGGTCTGAAGAGCGAGGTCGAGGTCGGCAGTCGAGTCGGACTTTTTTGTAGCCAGGTAGGCGGCAAGGCCCCTATTTAGTACAAGGCTGGAGTACCATGCTGCAAGTGCATCGAGTGGCGAGCTGATAGCGAAGTCCTCAATAACACCGTCCATGGAGAGATCAACGACTGTGTTCTCAGCATTTGTTCGGTTCCAGGCAAGATTGTAGGCGCGCTGAATGATCGGTGCTACCAGCACCTCGTCGCAATCCCTCTCGATGAGAGCAGCCAGGTGGTCCGGTAGTGGTTCTGCCTCTGCACTCTTCAGATTGCTGGCAATTCGGTGCTCGCTGCGGGCGGCATTCCAGTAATTGCGAGCCATCTTGGCACTTAGTTCATCCACCATTCGCCATCCGCCGTATGTGGCAGTGGAAACTTCCCAAAGCAATACACGAATGTGCAGGGCCTTGAGCATAAGTCGTGCTGGTGTATCTGGCAGAGTCCCAGAAGCCATCAAGCTCAGTACAAGGCGACTCTTGCTAATCTCGGCGTCGCCACCCGTCAGCTGAGCGTCCAGTGCAATGTTCCAGGCCTTGACTCGTGCAATTTCTTGATCCTTTGTTGTGCCTGTGAGGTATGCGTATCCGTCCCAGCCGATAATTCTGCGTGTGCTGAGCTTCAGCATCTTCAAGGCAAGAGCCGCAAACTCGAGGACAAAGTTGTGCTGAGGCACCCAAACGGTCTGGATGGCAGTAAGCCACGCCTTGCGACGCACCTCAACCGGGGAGGCGAGTGATGGCGCAGGAGCCAACATGAAGGCCGGAACTGACTTCTTCTTCGACTTCGACTTGGATTCAAACAGAGGAGCAACGATGTAAAAGAAAGCACCAAAAACAAGAAGTAGCTTCGCGATGGGTATCTGCACAGTCGTGCTGCCGAACGATGTCGTAGGAGACAAAATGGAGAAGATGTTGATAGGTAGAGCGAAAAGACCACGGCCAGACGGTTCTTCTTGCGACTGTTCGCGCGCAGAGAAGCCTTCGAGGATCATCAGACCAGCAAGAGAGCCGACCATCAGCTTGCCCATCATTGCGCCGCTTCGACGTCCGTTGACCATTGGCGGTCCTGGAGCCGGGCGTGCCTGTCCAGGGTACTGTGGATATGCGTGGGCGTAGTGTTGCTGGGGCGGCAGTCCTTGCTGTAGAGCGCGGATACTGTCCGGTACAGGGATCATGCCCTGTGGGGGTCCTGTCATCGGCATGTGATGCGCGAATGGATCTTCCTGGAACCTGCTGCCGTCGGGCGTGCTAACAGTTCCATGCAGGGTCATGGGGCCGGAGATGGCCATCTTCTCGTAGCTCTCGATGCGTCCCTTCAATGTCGCAACTTCATCAGTCAGACGCTTGTTGCGCTTCTCCAGGTGACGAATGTACTCGGTAGCCTTGGAGAGCACTGTAGCCTTGTTGAGCTTGTGTGCGGGGGTGAGACCCTCCAGGTCCTCAGGGTCGTCGTCCTCCTCGGTGCCATTGGGTCGTGACATGACGCGCAGACTGGGGACACTATCGCGCAGGGCGGCGATTTTGTCGTTCAAGTTGGTTCGGTATCGCTTCTCGATCATGTTGTGCGCTGTCTTCTTCGGCGGCTGCGAACCACTCTTCTTGCTCGACGGTGCATCGTCAAAGTCCTCGGTGTCCTCGGTCGACTTCCTCTTCTTTGAGTCCGTAGCGGGTTCGGGCGATGAGTGCGATGACGATGTGCCGTTGTGGAAAGACCCAGGGCTGTGGTGGAGACTCGGTGTCGAGGCAGGCGGGCCGGCATGGGCGAATACGGTGGGTGTGTAGAGTTGTTGCTGCGGGTGGGGCTGTTGCTGCCACACGGGTGGTGAGTAGAAGCCGTTCTGCTGCTGAGCATCGACGGTCGAGGGCGAGCTCAGTGCATTGCCGTTGAAGTCGAAGGCAGCGGGCATGTCGACAGACCCGCCAAAGGTGAAGGGCACGCCGGCCTGCGAGTACATGGGAGCGGAGACAGGCACGATAGCCGCTTGCGTAGAGGTCATTGGGGGAGGCTGCGACTGCTGCGGGTTCTGCGAGGCAGCGGCGGGGTTGTACTGCATCCACTCGTTCCAGCTGGCGAGGTCGTCGGCCGGGGCGGCGAGAGTCATCTCGTCCGCCGCAGTGGTCAGCCACGGGCCACGCATGCCGTCGAACGGGAAGTCGCTCGACATCATGGGGTCCTCTATGCTGCCGTCCGTGGTGGTCCTCGCCAGCGGCGGCGGGGGCTCGGGGCGAGTGGTCTGCTGCTGCTGAGGACTCGCGTCAAACCCAAAGTCTGCGACGCAATACGGGCCAACCTAATAGACTTGTCAGCACAGCGGTCAACTAGTGACAGTGCGCGGGCCGTGGCAGCAGCACGCACGGCAATTCTCTCCAATTCCAGCCCGTCGTCGGGGCTGCCATAGGCGTCAGTAGCCATGAGGGCAAGTGGGCAGTGGGCAGCGCGCAGAGACTCTGCTGCGGCGACAGTGACATGGGAGGGAAAACAACAACGACAACAACGACAACAAAACACCAAGATGGCACTCGGTATCGACAACAGCGTGCAGCGAGGATAGAAAGAGAAAGGCGCCGTCTTACCAGCAAAAGGAGCCACAGATCAGGTCACCATGTACCCGCGCTTTCCAGAGGATGCAGACAGCGGACAGCGCTCAAGGGTCGCTGCAGGCTGCTCGGGGGCACGAACGGGCACGAACGGGCACGAACGGGCACGAACGGGCCAGCTCACGGTGACGGCTACGCAAGAATCGCCTGTTTGCAGGCAACGACTAGGGGACGTTGCCGTGGCTGCTCGAATCCTGTGCAAGAGCTGCAGTCGCGCGGTGGGTATGGTCTGATGAGTGGTACGACTTCGAGGCAATCCGCCTAATGGAACAGGGGGCAAGGGGTCAGCCTCGACGTCGAGAGGAAGGCGCCGCTTATCGAGCAGGATGGGCGATGCTGCACCACGCAATCTGAGACACGCCGCACTCTGGACCCCGATCGTGGGGAAAGCAGATGCAATTGTCGACAAAGGAGGAGATGGGCGGAGCAACGCAGTGTGTTGCGCGTGCCTTGGCCTGGACAACGGCGCCATTAGCCGCGCCCTGCCTAGTCTGAGTGCCCGAGAGGCGCCGTGAGGCCGAGAATCGAGATGCTGCGCTGCTGCAGGCCTGATCCTCGTAGTCATTCATTCATTCATCATCATCATCATCATCATCATCATCATCATCATCGTATCTGCGGTGGTGGTTCCTCGTAAATGCATTGCCCCATCAAACCATCAACATGTGCCTATTTCCCTATCGACAACAGCAGTCGCTCCTTTTGACGTTTGCGCTCAGTGACAGTCCGGTTGGCACATGGCATGGCATTTTGACGGGTTGATCTCCCGGGCGTGTGGACCTGCATTTACCAGCCCTACTGGTAGCGCCGTAGCCTGACGCGGAAGGCCGTCCAACTCTGGTAGCCTCACGTCAACCTCGAAAACTCCGATGGTCTACCGTTCTTCACGTCGGTGGAAGCGCTATCACGTGGAGAGGTCCAAATCGCTACAAGTACGATCATACGTCAAATCAGCCTTTTGAGTCTGTGGTGATCAAGCCAGCGACACATGGACTGTGATCTTGCGCTTTTCGATCGTGAAGAAAGAGGTAAACTTCTCATCATTTCCAACCTACGATAAAGCTTAACAGGGAGATTTTTCGCTCAAACATAGGCGATCAATTTCTGCTTTGATTTTCTGATTCTGCGAATATACATTTGGACAGAGAATGGGATTGAGGCAGTGGTAACGACATTCAACGCGTATGTTGAGCACAGGACGAGGGTTTCTTGTCTGTACATTTTGAACTGATATATGGAGTCGCAGTATCGGATCTTGGAACTTCAAGGTCGTCAGCAAAGGCAGACATGCACCATCGCCTTGTGCGTTTCGAATATCTCTCATGGCTTATGTATGGGTTGGGAAAGAAAGCAGAGGAGCTGCGAGATCTTTTATACCTGGCACTGTCACTGGTCTCGGCACTCGTGGAGAGAGACAAGATGAGAAAGCCTCGGATAGTAACATGATGTGATGAAGTGCCGGGATGCAATGCTGACCCTATGTATACCGTTGCTATCCATCTAATGCACGTAATCTACTGAATCTTGAATCTACCATCGTAAGCCCAACATCTCCTTGCCCAGTCCATCACGCGCCTCCTCTTTCGTGATCTGCTCTGCCGCCTTGACAAGGTCGTACGTAATCTCGTCACTGACCACACTGTCTTTCTTGTACTCCGGGTGCGTCTGTACGAAGTTCCTGATCCATTTCGCTGCTGTCCAGTACGTGCCATTTGCCCTCTTCCTGATGAGATCGAGGTACGTCGCCAAGTCACATCTTGTCTCGACATCGACGTTCATGCTGTTGAGGTACGACTCGACAAGTGGAATAAGACCAGGAAAACCGCCATCTGTTTGCTGTCCGTTGATGATCTCGTTGACGCTCATCTGATCATACTCGTCCTCAACAGGACCGGGTGTAGGCGGGCGGCTGGGCATATTGGCGGGTGTCGACGTGCCCGTTCCGTTTGTGCGGCCGGAGGGTTGAGATGGGAAGGGGGATTTCCTGAACCAGAACTTCTGGCTCGAGACAGCGTCGCGGATGTGTGCTGTCTCCATATTCTCTGAAACGCGTGTGATTGGAATGTAGAAGTTGAGGTTGAAGGAGAGGATCGCGCGGGTGATGAGGACGATAAAGATGGAGAAGGCCGCGTTTTCAAAATCGGTGATCTGGATCTCCATTGGTCGGAACTCGACACGCCAGCCGATTTCAGAGCCCACTGGTGGTGGCTTGAAGCGCATGTGTTGCCAGTTGGTGGACTGAAGATTCTCGAAATGGTCGGCCTTGTTGAGGTCGAGTTCCTTGAGATCTTCATTGAAGATGACAATAGGATCGCGGATGAAGAGGTGAGCGAAGTGGGTTGCTAGAGCGTCATCCATGCCACCCTCGATCAGACGCTTCTTGAGATCTTCGTCGATGATGAGATCAGGATCCAGATATTCCTTCCGTAACCGCGGATCTTGAGAAATGTAGGTTGAGTTGGAAGCATAACGAGACTTGGGTAGTCGCCAGCGATCGTTCTTGAGAGGCTATATGAAGTTAGCAGAAGTTCGCCAGTTAGCCATCATACACTTGCCTTCTCTCCTAGCTCCTCAGGCGTACGATCGTCAACGGCCCGACTGATCTGGTTCCAGCGTACATCAGTATCTGCCAAGAATCCCTTGTAGATGGGTGTAGCTGCAGTCAGTGCAAGTAAGATAGGCCCCAGTGGGCTGAGCTGGTCATACATTGTCCGCCCCTCCTCGATGTTCTTGGCTTGGAAAGTAATTTGCAGACAGCAGCTGCCCATACCAAAAGCCATGGCATCCATGTGAATGAAATTGTCTGGAGCAGCTCCGTTGCGGACATCATCGTCCTCAGGCCAGTTGTGCAGATCGTAGTCGACGGTGGGGTCTTTCCACGGCCACGGAGTGTTCTCGTCTCTGAACACAGGCACGTTGACTTGCACCTTCCTGCCTCTTCGCCAGCGAATATTCGCTGCTAGTGTTGGGAACCGAATGTGGGGGTTTGCGATCTCATCCGGCACGAACTGAGATCGTAGCTTTGGTCCTGATGGTGGATAGTCCGGTATGAGGCAGTCTTTGTTACCAAGTCGAGGGAATGTTGTCAAGGTAATTGGGAACTCAGTTGCCTCCATGTGCTCCTTGGCAATCTTCCGTCTGCAAAGCTGGTGTAAGCATAGATGAAAATGGTGTACTTTGATTCACGTACCTCCACTTCATGTTGGGCTCCACATCCAACAAATCCTTGAAGCCAATGCCCCAAGGTTTCCCGGGGGTTGCTTCAAGCATGAAGCGCCCAAACTCGGGGTGGAAGACTGGTGCAGGGTTGCTTATCCCTCTGCTATGGTCAACATAGATCCTCACCGCCGTTGTTGTGGACCTACTTTGTATCGCCGGTTTGTACATCGGGGACACCTCCACCCTCGGCAAGAAGCTTCTCATCCGTGGCTAACGCTGCAAGAATGTCTGCCTGGCGGAGAGACAATCGGACCTTGTGGTTGTTCTGGTCATAGCAGACCACCAGATACTCGATCTTGAAGCCAGTCAGTCGGGGTTCATTGCTCTTTACAACTGGTGATCTACCTCATCTCCCCATAGCAGTGCATCTCTTTCTTTGCCCTTGTAGTCTCGCCAGATTGCCAGTAGTTGCTGCAAGGTACGTCAACTGCCACGTTCCTGACCATGTTCATCTCAAACATACTTCGATACCCCAAGATCTCACATGACTGGCGACCTTCTTAGCTTCAGGCCATTCGAGCGGCGTTCCAATAGCACTATCCCCGCATTAGCTCCCACGAACAAAGCTGACCACACATGTCTCACAGTAGTCCCATCCCGTCAAGATCTCAAAAAAAAAAACGAGCGGTCCGAAGGTGTTCGTGGTTGATAATAGGTGGTTTTGCACGTAGTGGGGTTGTCGTTCCGGAAGCACAACAGATCTAAGATTAGTGGGGCAGCGTTCGTTCGAACGAGTGGGATGTCTGCAACGAAAGGCAAGGCAAGGCTGCGTCCACGGTGCGCGCAAGATCGTCACAAACAAGCAGGAAATGTGATGACGGGAATTCCGGGCGCCAATATCGAACCGTAGGAAGAAGGGTAGCTAGAGCCGGCGGTTTGGCTGACAAATGTGAGAGGAGTGTGGGATGGCCGGCATTCCGAGGTTGCAGCGATGGTCCGATGACGTTTTTGAGTCTAGACTGGGGTTTTGAGATCTGTGAGGAACACCATCACGACAACATCGTTCTTGTCAATACTGTCAGCCCAGGTGGCTGCACGTTGAGTCGCAGGCATCCTGAGTGACTTGGGCGTACCAAGAGTGTAAGTAACTGAGTAAGCACGTTGTGCCTTTACACATGTCGATTAGTTCGCACTGGCCTCATGCAGCCTCGTTCTCCGCGTACCTCACCTATACAATTCGGTGCGCATGATGTCTAGGAAGAACTACTGCAAGATGGTAGGGCCTTTATCACGTAAGAGAATGACTTTCAGATTGTTCTCTTACCTCTCAAGTGCATGAGCAACGAGAGGCAGCCTGAAAGGCTAGAGTGACTCACTTCGATGACCTGGTGGTTCATGCAAGAGCAAGGAGCCAGCCCGCATCTTGCATACGAACTTGTGCCCGTTCTTCTTAGACTGTAAGCATCCGTCTCTGTCTTCCACAGTCTGCACGTGTACAAGCACCCCCCATGCACCTACAGCTGCGCGTGAACTTATGTTCACTGAGACAATTGAGGGGACCTGTCAGCTATCTAAGGTGCTCAGGCATCCTACGTTTCAGGACTGCTTATGTAACAGGAGGGTATATCTTCACTCACTTTGATAGATCTATCAATCAATCAACTGCTTCCCCAATCTCCTCTCATATTGCTGACAGGACCCGTTCGGCCAGCATGCCTCCCCTGCGGCCCTTAGATCTCACCAAAACTTTCAGCGCATCACTGCCCAAGCTCCAACCTTCTCCCAGGTATTGCGAACGTCCCTACGCGACCGTTGGCAGCGGCCCACAACGTGCATTACAAGCCGCAACGTTTGGAGTGTGTACGATCACTAGCGGCACTTCCACACTTCAGCCACCCATCTGCCGCGGGCGCTTACGTCCTCACGCATGACTTCAACATGACCGCTCCTCCCCAACAACCGCCTGCGCCTCTGGACATAACCCCGGATGACATTGATTACTGGCTGCGGGAATCGTTCGTCCCGTACTAGCTAATGCGTCTTAGAGAGACATATCATCTTGATATCGGTGATCTGAGATCGAAGTGCTTCGTTACGGCAATATCCGTCTCCCTACTACTGGAGCATCATCGATCTGTTTGTGCACCGTCTTGTACCTACCCACTTGTTTCCTAGTCGTGTGCTGTACGTACCCGGCAGTGCTTTGTGGTGCATCGATGCTGCTGTGTAGTTGCTACGTAGATGATGGGGCTGCGATGTTATCGTGTGCTCGCCCGTTTAGGCGCCGTGCATGTTTGTGATGTGTGACAAGCTACAGTTGCGCAGGATTCCTTGATCAGGTCTCGTTTTTTGGCACAATGGAGGCCGGAAGTGGCCTGACAGGTGTGCTCTTGTGTTGCCTTCTGCGAAACTTGCTGGATTTGTTTGGCTCTACGCTGAGACATGTGAATGCGTCGCTTTGACTCAATGTACTCCACTACTAACCTCTCACTAACAACCGATTGTGGGTAAGTGCAAAAAGGAACAATGAAGATCTCGATTACTATAGCATTCACATTGCTGGGCCTAAAAGCCTATGGTATCTCTGCAAAACGACAAATTGTCTGACACATAAGCACTTCTAGTAAAGTGCGGGTCGTGCAAAGATGCCATGAAACAACAATCCACTCGCTCGATGGCAAGTTTTTTCGACCCTAACGCCAGCTTATGATGGATCCACCCTAATAGGGTATCGAGTGAAGAACGCCCTTGACCAGTCGTGGGGCCTAATAGCCCTGCGCGCGTGCCGAAATGCAACTGTCGCTGGTATGTAACAGTAAAAAGACAACTCAACTCGACTACAGCTACCACAATCCTCTCTGGCAGGCCTGGTATCTGAGAGATCCAGACCTACCTTCCACGTTCACCAATAATACTGGTGCTTCATTCTGAACTCGCGAAATGGCGAAAATGGCGAATAAGATGCTTCCATCATTAAAATGTCAAGGCCATGTCTCTGATAAGGCAGCCTGTAAATGCAAGCATGTAAAACCGTACGCCAACGCTCCAACGATAAATCAAAAGACGCTTGCAATGCTGTCGAGAGATGCAAAGAGAAAGTGAACGAAGGTATGTACCAATTGATCCGGAAGGTAGATCGACGCAAGATCAGCTCGGGGTGAGCGGGATGCTCCGGAAGAGCGGGATGCAGATATCCTAAGGCATATGGTGACTCCAATTAGATCGACCAGTAAACACAGGGTGTTCCTGCTCAGACTGCAGGGGAGCCATGGTCGATCGATTTCGGCCGGAGGTTAGAGCTGGTCATGGCATCCTTGCCAATCTTCCTGGTTAATTTTGCATAGTCTGCGATGGATCAGTAAGTGAAGAAAGAAGCACAGAGGTGCAACCTACGGAGACCACAGGCATTGCACAAAGTTCGAGCGCCATCGGGGCCTCTGCGCCATTCAGGTGTCTCGGCACGATTGCAGCTGTGGCATCGACCAGGAGGAGCGGCTCGCTGTACCGAGGTCAAGATGATGCAGTCAATGAGTGGATTAGAAGGACTTACGCCTCGTTTTCGCGTCTTGTTGTCACTGCCAGCGAACCCACCGCTGCTCTTCATCTCGTCGCCGTAGTTGCTTGACGCCTCATGGTCGTAACCATTGGCACGTCGGTAGTGAGCTTCTCGAGGTGGCTCGGCGATGCTGGCTTGATGGTGGTTGAAGACGACATCTCTCATGCGTTGGAGAGACATCTGAACCCTTTCACCTTGTTTGATCATGTCGTCGATATCTTCCAGTCTTGGTAATGACTGAGGCGTCATGCCGATACGCTGGTTCTCATGTGCTCTTTGACGATAAACCTTGGAGAATTCCGAGATGCGCCCACATCCGTCGGCCATCTAATGCAGTTAGTAGTGTTGGAGGAAACCGACGTCTCATGATACATACCTCGTTCAAAGATGCCTCAAGGTCGAAGCTATCCAAATGACGTTTGACAGACTCCCCATACGGAGCGAGGCTAGCGCGATTGAGCTTCTTCTCTTCGAGGCGAGCTTCGGTGTTGTCACGTAGTGATGTAGGGTAATAACGAGGAGTTGCGGAGTAAGTCGAGGTCGAAGGAGGATATGCCGCAGGCGGTCCACTTGGAGCAGGTGCCGACGGAGGGTAAGATGCGTATTGCTGGTAGCCATACTGACGATTCATGGGTTCGGATGGTTCAGGAGCAGGAGGATCATAGGCTGGCGACGGCGCAGGAGGGTATGAGTATGGCAGGTTTGGTCGAGCGGCAGGAGGTGGTGGCGGTGACTGCGTGGTCTTGATAGGGTGTAGTGATGGTAATCTCGGATTGTGTTGCGATGTCGAGTACGCAGGACGTGGCTCATATGCTGGTCGAGGTGCCGAATCCACTTGGCTCTGTGGTGGTGGTGGTGGTGGGGGTGGGGGTGGTACCTGGGAAGCGGATATACCGACGAAAGGACTACGAGGGTGCGAGAACGGATTAGACGGTCCTTGGGCGCTATAAGAATCAGACTCGAATGGTTTTTTGCGAGGTTCTGAGGGTGAGGTGTTGGAAGAAATCGGTGCGTAATGCTGAGATGTTGGTGCCGGGACAGAGGGTGGGGGTGGGGCAGGTCCCGGGTAGGGCAGCGATTGTTCTGCTCCCAGGGCCTCAGATATTGACGGCAGCGATAGCCGTGCCGCAGGGTTGTGGACATCCTTCTCGTCGCCAGAGGTCCTGCGTGATTCCGGGGGCGATAGCAGACCAGCAAGCGAGCCGGGTACTGCGCTGGCGGGCGGCGATTGGTGGGTGCCGTGCAAATGCGACGGCCCCGAATAAGGGTGCAACGGACTGGCCATCGCAGGTGTTGAGAGTTTCCGCTGGTATTCACTCTCTTTTCGCTTGAACCTATTGGAGTCCATATGGTTTATCGAAGGCAGGCCAACACTGTGACAAGGCAATTAGCGAACGATAACTAGAGAACTACAACAATATCAAGCCTACTTTTGTCTAGCAGCGTCTGGTGCTTCCATGACAGGTAAAACAGTACGAGCGACGGCTCACGTTGGGGTTGTTGCAAACGTCGAGGGTCGAATGCGAACCGCTGCAGCGACGCGGTGGCGGGGATCGGGGGTATGTGCCTTCCCGCACAACGTCAACGGCGCGACTGATCGACCGTTCCTTCCTCAGCAAACAACACGGCCAAGCAACTTCCTCCTAGCCCGCCTCAGAATGTTACTGTCGTATTGCCCAGTCCACCAAACAACTGCAAACAAACGATATTGCTCTCGAGTCTGTCACTGCGTCCTCTTTCCTTCACGGCAATTTGCAGTATAAAAAGTCGATAGGTGCTGTAGCTCGCCGGCCAGGTACGTCGATGATATTGTCGCTGTTTCTCCTTCTGGGTGTCGATGTCGGTGGCTGATGTAGTGTCGCAAACACAACAGCGTGGAGGGGTCGTTCGGAGCGAAACACGCACAATGGCCACACTTTTTAGTCCTTCTCTTGCAATGCACAGCTTTCAGTAAAATGGGCGGCGATGGCGTTCTCGAGTGGTGTGAAGGAGCGTTCGACAAGTGTGACCTGGGCAAAGGCGGCGACAGCAGCTAGTCCCGTGATCTGATCTGACAGTTCGGTCGATTTGTCGATTCGGATCTCAGCGCCTCGTCTCGCCGGCAAGCATGGTGTGAGAGGGGAACGAATAATGCTGGGGCACTGACGGCTAAAGCAGATGCAATCGGAGATGAACCGTCCCGGCAGCGAGTAATCGCTAAGTGTGACGAGCCTCTGCAGTGAGCAGGCAAGGATGTTCGACACCAGCACATCTGATGTTTGCCCCCGGCACGATATGGGCGGCGAACGCTGCCTACTGGGCAATGATTCTCCACAGCTCCAGCAGCCTCCCCAAAGCGTCGAGTAGGAGAGCAAGGATACGCGGCACGCGAACCTGCCCTTGCAAGTCCTAGCTTCATCGGTCGCATTCGCCCCTCAAAGCAGTACAGCACGCTTTCTTTGGCGTGGGATCAGCGCCTTTGCAACTGCAAGAGTTGCTTGCGTCCTTCGTGCACAGTCATGCCACTGCAGCATGGAATCCCTCTGCCAACAGAACCTGACGCGCGTTTTGGGTTTGTTCACGTTCTTTTTCTTTCGATCCGCAGCCGTTGCGACAGGGGGTGGGAATCGCTGGCTCCATCCGTGCCAGTAGTGATGCCGCGAACACGAGGTGAGATTCGCCCATACTAAATTAGGAACAGCCCGATGATGTGGGACGAATCAACGATGGCTGCGATCGAGATGACAGCCGAGGGCCCACCAGTGCATTATGGGGGTTTGCACCCACGTTCGTCTGTCATCCTTCACTTGGCGAAGACAGGGCATGTCACCCAGAATGCTGCCAGCGCCACCAGCGCAGGGCCTGTGGTTTTCGTGGGCACCGCAGGTCGGTACGAAATGAACTGGCAGCCTACGCGGTACCTCGTCTAGCCAGGTTTGCGAACTCACCAACCGGCGCTATCGGGAATCTCCATGTGCAGTGGTGCTGCTTAATCTGAATCGACCGCGGCACGATTAGGATTCACGTTAGCGGGGGCAGCGGACGGTAAGCCGGCCATTCATCGTTGTGTGAGATACCGAACAGCTTTACTCATCGCCTTCTGAGTCGTGGGCAGCAGCTCCGCTATGGTCGTCCAAGCGAGGATATCAGGCCATTTTTACCAGGGAACCTCAACGCGTCCCCAAGGCTGTGGAACCGCTCGGTTACGTCAGACCATCACATGTGGCTTGCGAGCTCCAGTCCAGGCATCGTTCCCGCTCCAGCATATTTCGCACGATTCCGCACAACATGTGGGCCACAGCATCATGGCGGGACCTGGAGCACGTTGAGAGAGATCTTCTTCCATTGATTGTGGTTCACTCCTGCTCGGCTGTGCGGCGCGCTGTCAGACGAGTTTGGAAGATGAGCAAGCGGTACCGACCCAAAGATCTTTCCAGGGTACCTACTGAAAGGGAGTGCAACGTCAAAATATCGTTTTGATATCGACGAGTCATACATTCATTAGCCGCGCAGAATAACCCAATGTCCAACACTGATAACGTTATGAGTTCATAATGACTAGCAATTGTCAACGCCCGCTCAGATGATCGTAATACATCGGCAGCGGCTTCCTGACATTGTTGCTCGGTTTCCTTGTTCATTCGGAGGACAGCTTCCAAGGCTTCGGGATGCACAATGCCAATCTCGTGCAACAAACTCCCACACACAACGGTAAGGAACACCACGAATGACAGCTTACTGCATCGCTGCCACATTGATGTGATCTGGCCTGATCTCACGAACGCTTCACTCGAAGTGCCAGAAGACTGGCAGCTGTTCATGTCAAGAACATGTCAGAGGCATTGGCGCTAGATCTGTGGCTTACAACGTGGAACCTGCATGGAATTTTCCGTGGCACTATCAATTTTCGTCAATACTCTCCACGTTGCTCATCATTCCGACGTTCTCTTTGCTATGGGTATTATGTATTGCGCGTGCGGTAAGTGGTCGTCTTGTCGAAAATTGCATCTCCTGTGTTGCGCAGCTTCCACTACGCATGCACGCCTCATGGCATGATGTCCAGTAAGGCGCTTTCATAAGCAAACACCAAAAGAGCTCAGGATGCATCCACTCGCCCTATCATAACTCATTGGATATGATGGCCACCAACTCACGGCATCGTACCTGATCAAGTCTATCGTCCGGGTATATTGCAGGAATTCACCTCGGTACACCGGAGCGAGATACTGTTTACAAGATGTCTCAACATCAGACGTTTCAGACTTCGGACCTCACAGCGCATTCACTCCTTCAGAGCATGTTGTTCCAAAGCAAGATCACAAAAGGAAGTATAGCTGCATATACGCGCACTGCTGCATGGGAAAGAGACATGGCATTGTCAGAATATGGTCTGGACATTATCGACTTGCACGGCTGACACAACGTCTTGCCTGGTATGCCTGCTGGGGTGATGTAGACTTCACCAGCCTTGTGGACCATTCACCTGATTATCAGTTATTCCCGCTCATCTTCCACTAGCGTCCTGTTTCGAGATCGTTTGCTGTCTCCAGGCGTACAGGAGAGTATCCAGGGTGCGAAATATTTGCCACCGGTCCCCGCTATCGTACAGTCCCCTCGAGTCTCGCAGCTACTGTACGAAAGTGGCCCATGGTGATATTGATGCCCGAGGAGCAACTTGCAAAGGAACTCCAAGCGTGCAGTGTCCCTCCGCGGCCACTCATTCATCTCGTCATTAGCAGCAAGCTGGTAACTTGTTCTTTGAGCAGGATATCACATACGTGCGTACGACGACTGGAGGTGGCCTGAGCAACACGAACAGGTTCCTTGTTCCCGGGTATGTTGGAACGTCGGTGTATCCGATAAGAAGCAGAGCCCTGCTCATTCACGTGCAGACGCATACACATGACTGTATGAAGACACGGCGTAGTCGAGTCGTCCTGCAACCCCAGGAAGACTTCGAGTAAATCAGATTGGCGATGCTTACTGCAAAAACAAAGTCGGTTCGATTCGAATTGCCATCTGCCGTCCCCACTCAAAATAGATCTCGATCTTGATACGAATTACACCTCAATCCCTGCATGGGCCCTATTCCTGGGTAATGAGACACGGGTAACGATCAAAACAGGTGTAATATCGTGCGGCGAGGCAGTGCATGGCTTAGCATCCCAGCTCACAAATAATGTCTGCGTCGTACGACGCTACTTGGGCGAGCCATTTGTCCGCTTGAAAGTGTTTCAAAAATTCGCAGGTCTTAGTCCTAGGCTAAACGAAAGTGTCTCTACCAGCCATCATGTCTTTTCAGCAAAGATCGTCATACCCGCGGCCGTTATGGTACGGATGCTGCATTTTCGAGGCGTGGTGATCTTCGCGCACGGCACGGGAAAAAGAGATATCGTTTGTACCGGCTTTCAGGGTCCAGACAATAATTGACAAGCCTGGTCAGAATCCTTTTGGGCACCGGAGGTGGTGATCCTCATCAGTAACCCCCTTTCTGCTCTAGCCACCCGCATTGGGCTTTAGCGAGCACAGTGGAGCGTCCGCATCGGAGCAAAGCACCACACTTACTATCAGATGCGTTGGCCGTTGTCCCTTTTTGGCACCCCTATGTGACAGGTGGAGCACACGCTCAAGTGGCCAAAATGCGGCCTGAGCATGCCGATGTTCGCTGAGCGAAAAACATGGCACACCGAGTGTGCTGTGCCGCTGCGTCAAGATGGCCTCATCTTGGAAATTACCGACCAACGAGACGGCACAGCATGTTCACCCTTGTCATGGCGGTAATCGCGTATCTGGTAAGCGGAGAGGACAAGTGACCGTCAGCTCGTGCGCACAGTTAACAACTGAGGTGGTCAACTCCATCACAGATCTTGTCCAGATAATTGTTACCCTGTCATTATTAACAACACTCGCGGAACTATCAACCCGATGTGCGGCACAGTAAATGCCGTTCTCAATGCTACGGACAGGCAGAGAAACCCTGTTTACTGAGATCGTTCAATTGCATGTACTGCACATGGGAGCAGCCTGACAAACCACGATCATTCTGAGGCGGTGGTCAAGACGGACGATTTTTTGCTGGCATCTGCATGTCCATATTCAAGCCTGCCGCGACTCCTCAAGACACCTTGTATGCTAATTCCCTACTGGCAGGGATATGTCGCTCTTGCTACTGACTATGCGCATTCTGACCAGCCACTGAATGCATTCCGTCTTGTCTTCGAGCTCAAAGATATCATTTTTGTTTCTGCTACCACTAACCCGCGACAATGGTCGCATACTGCAGGGTGCAACATGAATAGCACATCCTGGTGATGCACGCAGCATGTCCATCCTTCAAAGTTCTTCTTTGCAGCTTTTCCTACCTGCAAAGATCCACGTGAAACCAGGATACAAGTCGACGTGTCTTTACACTTCCTTTTGTCTCGAGGCGAATCACCAAAACGAGCGATTTGCGCCATACAAATTGTTTTTTCAATGCACACTTAGGTGCCACAGCTGCCACAACAGAACGTCCCTCGTTGCGCCACCACCTGCAATTCATGTTTGCTTTTCCTACTTGCCTGCAGGTTAAGTCCTGGGGGATTGGTGTGATGGACGTACAACGGCGGGCGGATGTAAGTTCCCGTGATGATCAGCACCTGCAGACTCGTCCGCTGCCAGAGGCCTTGGCCGCACAACGAATAATGGCATCATCAAACCCCAAAGTCCTGGACAACAGATTGCACATTTCCGGCTTCTACCCTTTCGATGCGGTTGTCACGGTCGATCTACATCTACTTTAAGTTGTCGCCCTGCATCAAAACTTTGAACCTTGCCGAAAAGGGCAATGCGAACACGAATCCGACTTCCTCAACGCACTGGCTCGCATCCACACGACGGCTCAACCCGCCGCAAGATCATGTCGTGAGATCCCCCATCGCCTAACATCCTCTAACGCTCAGGAACACAGATCGTGCGTCTATTCGCGAGGCACGCCGGACCAAACTCCGGTGCGCGGGAGGAGTGGTACATCAGCCGAACGCGAACCCGAGTTTCATCGTGGCTGTATATCAACTTCCCTCGACTCCACATTATGGAATTGTGCATGCAGATTCTTTCACTGCGGCATCCGACGATCCCAAGATCTTTTGTCAAGTCTGGACTCCAAGAGATGAGCAGAGTTACGGCACACAGTATACCGGGACTTGCCTTTCGGCAAATGCCAAAGTTGACCTAATGCAGCAGTTAGGGCCACTATTGATTGGTGGGTCGAGGCAACGTCACAGCTTCATTCTGCAGGACAGGATGCTGAGCCGTTCAGCCTGCGAAGTAACGATCGCCTCACTGTCTGTATTCCCTTGGTCGGTCCCAGATTTGGGGTACATGAGATTCGTATGGCCGACGATACCTTGACGATCTCGTAAGTGTGGAGAGGGGGGATGACTTCCAAGGAATCTACGATAGATTGGCGAGGGATATTGGATACGAGACTGGTGTTTCCGATGGGTCGTTCATCGCTTCAGTACGACTCGAGCAAGGTACGCGACTCTTACCAGATCTTGTGAATCTTCATGCCGTCTAGGTCTAAAGCCCAACTTCTTCCTATTCTATTATCCAAGACCTCCGAAACACTCATCGTTCCAACACATAGAGACTGCTTTCTTGAGAATGTATCATAGGGCTGTGAATGTCTGTCTGAGAGAGGATTGCGCGAAAGCTATCTGGAAAGGATGATAGGTAGGAAGCGTGGACGACAAAGCCAACCCAGGTAATATGTGGAGTTCGACTCGCCTTAAAATCCTAACCTAAATCTCTACATACACTATCTTCTTAACACTACATCACTCTATTTCTGTACTGGAATTCAAAATCACGTTATCCCACGGTATGCCCAGTCCAAACGTTCGACTTCGTGATCCATGTTTGCTTCCGCTGTGAAATCACAAACCGTGACAGCTTTGCGATATGTCTATCTCGATGCACAAAAGTTAAAATGAAGGAATACACGCGGCCGAGGTCCTAAGCGTCCTGGATCTGTAAAGTCTGTTTGGCGGCCCAATAGTTTATAAGTGTCGTATCTAGTACCAGGAACGATGTCATGTCTGCTGCCTTCGGGGGTTCTTTCCTACTCTTTGTTGTCATTCATATGGGAAGAAACATTCATCCAAAGTTTTGCTTGAAGTAGCTCATGTCTACCGCGCTTGTGTGCACCAAAACAGCGAAGATTGCTTATGATGTTGTTGCCTCTCTGCATGCTATATGAACCATGTTTCTCTCTCTTTTCATCCTACCCTCTGTATATCTACTTGCTTTGGAAATCACAAAGGTGAAGTCTTCATGGACATGTTTGACAAAAGGACCCGAGGGTGCTAGCCAAAATATCTGCTGTCCCCGTGGAGGCGCAAAATACAGGTTCAGAGAGCTTCATGATTGTTTCGTTGCTCGAAAAACAATATAGATCGCATGCATCTGTTCGGAGTCTGAAAATTCTCACCGCATTGGTCATAGTCGTTGTTGAACGATGATTATAATCCTTCACCATCCCCCATCAAGCTCTTCTCAACCCTTTCAAACTTCCTGCACGATTAGCAAGGAAAGTCCATGTTACAACCCTGAACAAAGACGCGGAGTTGGCGGTTTATTACCAACAATGCGTGACAGAGCAATGGAACACAACACCTCACAGTCATGTGATGTCTCACAAAACCCTACAGTGGCCCAGGGCCAAGACTATGAGACAATACAACACAACATGTGATATCCCACAATTCCCACAAATGTTCACCAAATCTCACCAGGCCCCCCATGGGACACGGTGGGAAACCATAGAACTTTATGAGACATCTTTAGTATATAGCACTTAATGCTCTTGTTACGATCAGCGGTACACTAAGTAACACTGACAAGGATCGCTCTCACGCTAACGTAGGCAACGACAGAGCAGCAGCAAGTCTTGGTTAAGCTGAGACGGAAACAAGGCCAGCTGTCAGACTGCATATGTAACAATGCAGAGCCCCATTGTGCCAAATGGCCAAAAAGTACATCAATATCAGCACAACTGCTGATATTGGGCTCTGCATCTAATATATAGGCATAGTGCAAGGCACCTCCTTACAGCATATATGCTCTCACTGATCTCACAATCCGACGTACAGCAACAGAGCACGCAGAGCACTCTGCATGAACGCTCCCACTGCTCTCACTGTGCTGTCAGATCCCACAGAGCAGACAGATCACCACGTAGACACGTTTAGTATATAGCATGTAGGAATACAACCCTTATGGTTTGTGTTCAACCTTGTCAATCAACTTTGTTATTGGAATCTCACCTGCACTTGAGCCAGACAGTATACTCTGTACTACTCATTACACCCTAAGCCATTGTTAGGTGTTTCACCCAGGCGACTTACCACTACTGTTCCAGAACCAGAGCTCATCCTCGAGAACCAATTGAATAGTACTTACGAGCTTTGCTTAAAGTACAACTTCAACAGCTCTACTTTGTCAATCAGTTTTGTTATTAGGATCTTGACCCAGCTTTCAAACTAGACAGTCTATGTTGAAGTCGTGTCTTAAGCAAAGCTCGTGGACACTATTCGATTGGTTCTCAGGGATGAGCAGAGGTACAGAAAGCCGTCAGGGGTTGGTTATCACTGAGCGAGCTTGGAGCGGCAGAGGTTTGACTGTGATAAACTGCTGTGATAATCAGGGGGTAGTCGTCTAGTCAAAGACCATGGCGACTGGTTGCAATGAGTAGTACAGAGTATACTGTCTGGCTCAAGAGCAGGTGAGATTCCAATAACAAAGTTGATTGACAAGGTTGAACACGATGCCATAAGGGCAGCGTGTCTACTTGCTTATATACTTGACAGGAGGATTGATTGTACCGCTCATATCAAGTATCGTCAGTGACTTGATACTCGGTCCAATCAAGCGTTGTCGACGTGACCTCGATACTCGGTCCTTGGTGTCCTATCGATCGTTGTCAACGTGGGTCCTCTGCAAGTGGGTCGGTATATGGGTCCGTTACAATCGTTTGTGTACGAGATCCACGTTGTATCCACTGCAGTCCTTTTCGTACAATCTCAGTTTGTATAACAGATATTGCGAGTGTTGATTATACTGGGTATCACTGACGCGGCTTCACAGCTCGGTCAATCGATACTGCAGTTCCTTGGCTGCTCTCGTCTCGTTGC